AGTATTAAACACATGTCTCTCCAGGAATCTGGCCAACCCAATCGTCGATTCTCGCATGCCGCCAGCCCTCCTCATGTTCATCGTATTCTTCGCTGGAATCGTTATCTTCCTCCATCTCATCATATCTATAGCACGCCGACTCTTCCCAGTCACTATCGTTACTGTCGTCATGAACCGCGTCAGGAATGTCTGCAGCCCCTTTCAGCGCCACCAGACGTTGAAGTACCCATTGCATCTCTAGTATATGCCAGTCCGGCAACGGTAGCTTCTCAGGGTCCTTCGTTATCAGCTCTATAACTTCACCCGACCTGATGATATGCTCATCTCGGGAGCTGCAGATCGCGATATCTTTCGGCCGGAAATCATGGGCGAGGGCTGGGATGTCCATCAGGTCAACCATTTCCTTAGATCTTTCAACCTGACGCTTATTCAACCAGTAGAAGCCAAGTTTTAAGGATCTTCCATCTGATGTCGCTTCGATGGGCTGGAGCGCAAATAAACCTTTCGCATGGTATCTGTGGAGGGAAGGAGAAAAAGATACCTCATTCTCAACAAATTCGGTACCATTTTTGAAACGACCTTCCCATTTCCCGATGCGCTGGGCCCACAAAATTTTTAGCAAGCTAAAGAAGTTTGCTCGATCGTCGCTTTTATTAAGAGAAACAGGGAATAAATGAGCGGCATCGATAGGTCCAGCGCTCTTAGTAACAATGCACTTGAAATCATCTCGCTCCTTGCACTATAGCCCGCTATTAGGAGGGAATATAACTCTAGGGATAAGTAAGATAAAAATGCAGACTCACCATCCTGCTAACCGGTTTAGATCTGCTCGGGCTTGAATCAATAGATATATTTCGCGATGTACTACGCTTTCTCTTGGGGAATTGTGCTCCCGAAGCCCGGGGTTCTGTGCTCGACATAGCTTGTCGACGTGGTGATGGTTCAGAATAATCGCGTTGTAACGAGCGTGCTCGGGCAGAAGAGACGGTCGAGCTTGAACGAGGTTTCTGACACCCTGCCAGAGGCAAAATTGACATTTTAGGCACAGAAATAACTCGAAAGAGGGGCATCTCAAACTCACATTTTTCGACGATTTCATCCTCCTCCATCGAGCTAGAGAGTCCTTTCCGCATTGTGGCTTTTCCCTCCTCAGTTGCATTCTCGAACGACTGGCATAGCCCTTCTAGGTACTGGATATCACATAACATCAGAGAAGCCTGAGCACCCCGAGCGACTTTTTGATCTTCCAGGAACCCCTTCAGCCTTCTCAGTAGCTCCAGGCGGACAGGATCGCGGAGTTCCGCTCCTGGCCCAATCTTGGCCTCGTCAACCTTGTGCTGCATGATTGCAGGCACGGGACGGGTAAGGGTTCAGCGAGGATTGAATGATCTGATGAGGAAACAAACGCGAAAAGCCGTATCGATTCAGCGGAAGCTGAAGAGGACAGAGCAAGGAAAAAGAAGTCAGAGAAATGTGGAAAACAGGAGAGAAATCTGGGAGAGACGATGTAAGAAAGAGGAGAGGAGGTGAGGTGATATTGGACAATAGCATTAATATCGTGTGCAAAGCACGTTGATGACATTGATGAACGTTGATAACAAAGGAGGATGATGATATTGAGCTCTATAGTCGATCAGAATGACAGCTACCGAGATGATTACTAAGGCAAACAGACCAATAGTATCGTATTATAGCACAGCCAATTATATTACCTTAAATGTAGTTAGTAAGACATGTCAACAATATTGACCAATAATACGTAGAAATACCTTACAGATGATGGGGGCGGGGGCACGGGTAGATGACATAAGAAATCCGGCCCGGGCGATGACATCATCACAGAGACATCACGTCGGTTTTTCTTTTGGAGGCTCGCAACGACATTCAATCTGATATCAACAATTGATATCTGGGATCTTCTTCCGATACAGGTTAATACTACTATATTACCATCTATCAAGCCTAATTCTCATGCGGCGGATGTCCTGTATACCCCACAATGGAAGCCGAAAAACAGGAGCAGACACCGACCTTAGCCAGCCTACCACCAGAGATTATGTCCATGGTAGCAAGCCATCTCCCACCGGTGGATGTGGCCTGCCTTGCCCTATGTAACCATGCAACTCTTTCTATCCTTGGAGCGTGGGACACATTGGATGCGTTTCCCAATGATCGGCAGGTGTTTTTAAACCGACTGGCGGCTGACCTCCCACCGTTCTACTTCTGCCACTTTTGCTCTATTCTCCATCCTAGGGACTGCCTCGATCTTCCTGGGCCAACACTCCTTCCTAAACCTCCACTTTATTTTCATGGGGGTAGGGTTAGCTCCCTCCGTCCATTTCTTGTGCACCCAGAGCTGGACTCTCTTTATTCCTTCTACCACTACCACTTGCAGCTCGCTATGAAGAGGTACTATTATGGACCGGAGCACGGTATCTCGACAGATTCTCTACTCTTTACCGAAGTTCATAGACAAAAAGAAACCTCTACTACCTCTTTGTTATCCGTTGAAGCCCGGGTCTGCTCGGGTCCTTGCCTATGTCTGCGGATTCAAACGTGGGCCGCAGTAGAGACCCGAAGCATAGATAGGCTCATTCTCAACATAAATTTTGTATTTCTCTGTGACCATGTTGGAATGAGACGTGTTGGAATAAGAGGCCAAAACCCAATAATGCCTCCATTGGTTAGGTCGGCGTTCACCAAGTCCAAAATCTCTAAACAGCGTGGACTCCCCTTTGAACCAGATGTCTTCAACTGTCGAGCATGTGGTGCTGACTATCAGGTGGAGGTAAGAGCTCTTGACAGAAACAGACTGGCTCTAGTAACTACTAAATGGATAAATCTTGGAGCCGGCCTTGACCCTAATGATATCCGTTGGAAGAAGAATAGCCAGATACAGTATTCTGTCGATTCGGATGCTATAAGATCGTCTAGAGAGACTCTGTCTTTGTTTGAGGGTGCAGAAGGCCCCTCCCTGGATTCTCTAACCCAGAAGAACGAATCATACTTATTATATGATAGTTATATGTACTCCTTGGACCACTGGAAGTTTAGAATCTGGATGATGCAAGGCGGAAAACATGGCTGGTGGTTCCATTTCTCTTATAAAGTGGCCGGAATTTTTGTCCAATTTCTTCTTCTCTGGCCATGGTGGACTGGTGCCGCTATGCTTTACCTTTCTGCTTATTGGTATAACGTACTATAAATCAGGACAATCTCTAATACGGATCCGTTTTATTTATCTCTCTTCCTACCTAATCATCCAGCACTGCCTCTTACGGATATCTCTTCCTGCCTATTATGTAGGCATTGATATGTTTCCACCTCTTGATGACTATATGCCATCATATGGAAGGAGACATCGATTCATGGGCTATTCTTTCCTATTATCAGTTGCAGAAGTTGCCGATAACACTTATATATACCAACATGACCCTTTGCTCTTTCTGTTCTGTTATCCTCTATTGTTTTTTCCATCCTCCGATTAATGTTGACTTTCTCGCGTTCTTCCTCTGCTGACTAGCTCCTTCCGTTCTCGGAAGGGGGCTGGTTTCTATAGCGACGCGGAGCGCGTCCTATATACAACCTTTTCTTCTTCTCCTTCTCCTTTTCTTTCTCTTTTTTTCCTTCTCTTCCTCGCGCCGTGACGCCACACCACATTATCACATATATATTTCCTATTATATATTGTTATGATGGCTAGCGAAAAGCCGAACATTTGGACTATTCTACAAACCGGGGCAGCCTGGCTACAAGCATTGTGGCCGATCCTGGTTGTAGCCGTGCCATACATGTACAGACGATTCACGAAAAAACTAATCGGCACCGGGGGGAACCACCTGGCTGTTCAAGAAGACGGATTGGTTCTTAGCAACCGTCAGACGGATCCAAACAGTTCTCTGTCTGGATCCGTGCGCGAACTGGCAAAGTCTATTGACAACCTTGCCGGAAGAGTTGAGAAGCAAACACAGATGATGAGCCAGCGAAAAGGCTCAGGGGTTGACACCCAGGAGAGGAGGGCTTCTCCCATAAGCCCCCCTTAGGGTAAAACCCCAACAGGACCCTCCTCGAATGAAAGGTTTTCATTCGGGGCATCGCGATGTGTGAGGTTCCGCGCACATCGCGATGCATCAGCGACGAGCTCGCACTTCTACGTAGTGCTGATGACTAGTAGCCATCAAGGCGAAGCTAAGACGAGCTCATTGAATGGTATATAATGTTGAGACAGGTATGTAACGTTATTTTCCGCACAATAAGTGTCACAGGGAATTGGATATGCGAGCTCATGCATGATTGTCAATTTACTAACTGGGATTCGATACCTAGACATACGATAAAAAAAACCTTCCCTGGTTTATGAAATATATATATATATATATATATATAAGTAATGCTATATTTGTGATGTGCAATGCTAGCAGGCATCCAACAGTAAAAAGACCGCTGAGCTATAAGAAAAAGAAGAGCCGAGCGAAACCTTCTAGCTAGCTAGTTGAATAAGCTGCGTCTGGCTGTTAACATATTGGATGTGTGTATGTTAGAATCAGACTCGTAAGTCAAACGCCGGCTCAATAACTAGCCACTACACAACTGTCCATCCTCTATCTATTATCTCATCCAGATATGGTGCTAACGCCCAGTCTGCACCTCGCTTTCCTATTTGAAAAAAGCCCACCACCCCTCCACTTTCATCTTCGTCAATCACTATAGGCGAACCGCATATTCCGGAACAAACCTCCATTCCGGCGGGACCAATATATCGGTATATATTTTCTGTTTGGAAGCGGGTAAACTCAACTTCAATGCCCGGAACCTGGGGAAAAGGGAAAAGTTGAATCCCAGCGACTCTCAAAAATACCAAACCACTTGCCATTCCATCAAGTGTACACCAGGTATTGATTGGTACCTCGCTGGAGCGAAGAAGTCTCTTAGGTTGTTGAGACTCAAAGTATTCGTTATTTGTAAATGATGTCGACGGATGAAGTTTGACTAAGGCGACATCGAGAGCTGTAAAACGTTCACTTATTTGTCCTATACAGAGTCCATCGGGGAATAATGAAGGATGGTACACGTCATCGGAGTACGGGAAACCATGATTTGATACTGTTAATCTGGAGCCTTCAGAGGATCTAAGTAATACACCTGCTGTTGTGGCTATTGTTGTATCAACGTAACCTCCGTCTATAGAGGTTGTACCACTTTCTACTCTAACGCCAGGACATAAGCTGTGTAGTTCTGTTGAAAGATAATTTGTCATATCATGGAGACTGGCGGTTGGTTTAATCACGCGCTCTCGCCCTTGGACCTTAAGGTCCCAGAAAGGTGTTTGGCTATGGTGGTATAATGTGAGATGATTCGCGACTCTCCCTGGGAGCGATCTCATTTCGTACACCCGTCCATCATCAGCTCCAAGTTCAACTATAATTATAGAATGAACAAAGCTGATTGACTTAATATTCATCATATCCTTGAGCTTATGGAATACCACTTGGTACTCCTCTTTTGATGGTTTGCCCCATTTACTATAATGGAATTTCACAGGGATAGGATCAGGTAGTCTCGGGTTACAATAGCTGATATCTGCCGATAGCGGGTTCACTGGGTGGTCTGGTGGGACAAAAAGACATGGGACACAAGCTACCGTTAAAGGCACCGGAACTGGGGGCGAACGCGTCTCGATAAAGATTTCTGGCCATGAGATAGTTAGCCCAGTTGCAGAGAATGTGTCTAGTATCCATTGTTTCTCGGAACTTGTAGGGTAGCGAAAATCTTGTTGTGAGTTGTCCCAGAGCGTGAATGGCGCCTTGTCTGCAATGTGTCTTGACCAGCTGCCATCATCTGTCGTGGTCCAATATTGCTGTGTATGACGGGTAGCTTGCTTTTTCTCCTGCACTTTAACATCGCTGTTGTCTGGATGGGCATGTGTGAGCCTTGAACGAAAGCTCTCCCAGGACTCACCGCGCGATGGAAAGGCGAGGTAAGGAGTTGTATATCGAAGAGAATTAACCGGAGAAGCTCTTTGATAGAACGCCATGTCGATAAATGTGATCTTAGTTCAGTAAGCAAAGGTGATGAGGAAATAAACGCCAAAGATAGAAGAAAATATACGTTACACAGCGCGGTCAGATCAAGGGTTCTTATTTATATGTCCCTAGTTCGTTCGCGAGAAAGTATGACCTCATCTATAACTAGCCACTTCCACAATTAGTTAACTTTTCTCTACCTATATAGTTAACTAACGACTCGCCGCATCCATCAACTTAACACAATAACTAGCTATGTTGCTCGTTGCCTTGGATTTCATTTTAATTCCTCCTCCATCTCTATTTAAATAGCGAGTAGTAGCTATGTCATCGATGCAGAATAGCGACACCACCAATGGTGGTGAGGAAAACAATCCAATGACGATAGATGACATGAAAGCATGTTATTCTCAAGCTGACGTCGAAGATGCTATGTTTACCCGCAATTATGTTGAGTATTACCCTCCATTACTCCTATTCTCCGCAATACCCACTAACAAGATCCCCAACCATATCCAGGTACCGGAATAAAGAAATCAAGAAGTTACAAGACGACATCGAGACAGCAAAGTCGTCGAACGACGTCGCTGGCGTGGAACACTTTGAGAAATGCTTGCGGGACTACAAGGCGGAAACGCCATCTTTACCTCCGTAAGTATAGCTGATCGACCCTGACAATCCAGCCACTACCACAATAACTAGTTAGTTATAGGTGGTTTTTAGTTTGATCTAACAAGGGAGTAGTATTGACCCTACTGAACGGGGAGACCTGGACGCGGATGTACTTTGGAGAATCCGCGTCCTAAAGTACCAAATCTATCCCGACTCCAGTAACTTCCTACGTGAGAATATAAATGCTATTCTGAACGCGTATCGTCAGGGACAGCTGAAGCTAGACTATGATCAAGTTACTGTGTGGTTTGCAGGTAGGCTAGTTTATGGGCCTGTTCCGCGGAAAAATTTTGACCTCGGGGCAATGGTAATGGAAAAGGGGCGCGGCTTTTATGAGAAGTATGGCCCAGGCACCCTATGGGCTGAACCGGTAGCTATCCGAACCCTTGAATTTCTATTTTGATATTTTATTGATAATTTATCAACTTGCTGAGATATGAGCCTTTAGAACATACCGGTTACCCAAAAAATGATACGTGCAAGACTTCCTCCTCAAAACGAGTTTCATCACCACATGGTTTGTTAAGCATCACTACATCACTTTCTGGCTTGGCTGGTATTCTTATCCAATAGCTATTATTAGTTCAGTGTCAAAGTCAGGGGGATTGGACTCGCCCATGAAATTACAGTTGACAATGTTCTTGACGATACAGGCTCATCTTACTTTGAGCTATTTGGTAGAGATCTCACTTGTCTCCAACTACCTCCAGATTATCCAAACTTGTTAGGTACTGCCATAATGGATACTGCCAATGGTAGAGTAGAGCGGAGAATACTGAATGTAGAAGTGCAACTTCTAATAGATGGGGTCCCTTTCGGGCAGTTTGTACAAACCACCAGCTTTCTTACTCCAAGAAGCCCGGCAGGCTCCAGTCACTGCTCTGGGATGTTTCTTCGCTCCTTGTTTTTTACCGCCACCTGCCCGGATGGGCGAGGAATGCTTTATGTTTCAGATAAAAAAACCGGTGTAACAGGCCCTCTTCCTGCAGTCTAAATAACTTGATGGGAAGAATACCGTCTTCTGTACCAATACTTGTGAATTTTGCCCCTGAGGTTTTCGATAGAGTATCTGCTTAATGCTATTAATTCCATACCACATACTTGGTATACAAATGGCTACGCATATTTTCTGACTACAGAACACAATTTTTATACTATCAATGTGTGTATATTTCGCTATTCAATATATTTATGGGGTATAATTAAGAAGAAATTAGTCTATGAGCTTATTTAAATGTAATAACTAATGAAAGACAACTTAACGCGTCTGGGAATTTGTAGTGCTAACGCGGGAAAGACCGGTATTTACACGGTCAATATCGTAGGGGTTCCCTTCATACTCGACGGTTGCTGCTGTACGAGTACGCGTGAGACCAGATCGAGCAGATTGTATTCTGTCCAGCACCTCTCGTGCTTCTAGGCTGTTTCTTCTCGGTATAGGGCCGGTCTCCGATACCTCTAAATCACTCTCAAGGTGCGCTGAGTTTGCCTGCATAAGTTTTTGCATAAATGCATCAGCCTCTCCAGCAAATTTGCAGCGTTTTCGAATGTTTGCGCCGTATATGTAGAACAAGAAAGGAAAGGGAACACACGCCAGTGCCAGGAAGGCGGGAATAGTTGAGGCCCAGTGGATTCCAAGGTTCTGGTACATATATCGGGTAAATAATGGGAACGCTGCGCCAAACAGAGATCGAAGCACAGAATTTGCGGCAAGGACTGAGGCAGCATATATAGTATATGCATCAATGAGATAATTCATTAGACTCAAGAAAACAAGGACCATGCCGAAGCCAAACGGAGCCGATGCTATGATTGATACAATCCAATGTATCTGAGGTCCATTAGTCCAAGCAAACCAGAAGAGCCCGATCGGAATAGCAATTCCCCCAATAATCGCAACTGGCAGCCGTTCTTCAGGAGGTGCGAAGCCATTGTATTCCTTCGAAACTTTTGCATATCTTTTGTTATCTAGAAGGTTGATTACCATGGCGGCGAGGATTCCGCCAAGGACTCCCAAGAATGCAAGCCCTCCGATTCCGGGGCTCCAACCCCTATGTTGCTGATAAACGACTGGAAATGCTGAAAAGAGCATGTAAAGTGTTCCATAGACAATTGCCATATATGTTGACAGCAACAAAACGATAGGTTCGCGGAATAAGAGAATCCAGGGTCGCATGAGTGCAGTCTTGAAAGCTTGTCCAATGGATAATTTCCCTTGTTCAACATCCATTCTGCTCGCGTATACCTTTCCAGTAAGTTTAGACAGTCGCTGAGCCCTCTTGCGAAGAAGCACCGGGGGATAGGTTTCTGGAAGGAAAATAGAACCAATAATCCAGACAACTCCAGAGAATATGGCCAGGAATCCTTCGACCCATCTCCAACCTGCTGACTCTCCAAGAAATCCTCCTATAACTGGACCCAGTACTGGGCCCAAAAAAGGGGCTATGGCGAATATCCCCATGGCCAAGCCACGATGTGAAGCCGGAAACATATCTGCAATTACACCCCCGGCATTAGTCAAAGGGGATGAGCCAAAAGAGCCAGCAAAGAATCGGAGAACAAGCAACGTTGCCATATTAGGGCTACCAGCTGCCCCAGCATTAAAGGCTGTCAAAGCAAGGTAGGTGCCGAAGAATAGCAGCTGGCGGCCAAATAATTCGCTCATAGGAGCCCATATCAGCGGGCCGATTGCAAAACCAAGGACGAATAAGGAGACACCCAATGTGATAACTTCCGCGTCGGCATGAAATTCTTGAGCAATTTCGATGGCTCCTCCGGTATATGCAGACGATATCAAGGCAACGGCAAGCGTAGCTATTGCAACAACGAAGGTGATCGACCACTTTTTAACGGCAGAATAGTTCATCGGGTTTCGAGGGTCGTTTGGAATCCATTGTACAAGATAAGGGTCCGCTTCCGTCCCGGATCCGGGGTAGGGATAATTAATTATCTCTGGTGTGACGGCGCCTGGATCAGTTACTTGTCTCCAGTGAGGAATCTTGGTCGGTATCGACTTCTCTCCCTCTATGGCATTGGCATCAGCCATACCTTCTTATTGTTGCTCAAGTGCAGAGCCGCCTTCCGAGCAGTAGAGAGATAAAGGAGAGCCAACCAGGTAAGAAACTGCCGTTAGATAAGGGTTAGGGTAGAACGGTGTTGCTGTTTGTGTGATTTTAGGGACACATATGATGCCGCAATCTAACTAAGGGGGAAGCAGACGCATTTTAAAGCGATGCGCACGCAATCGATCCTCGTCATCGGGTGAGTCGGGTTGGACGAAAAAAAAAAGTCTGATAGTGCAAGTTGATACAACTGCATAAGTGGATACACAACAAGCTCCTTCGCGCTGATGAAGTTTCTGTTGTCACCTCCTTTGGCAACCCAAGGCGCGGCAAGTCAAAGATATGACGTTAACGAGAGACCCTAGACCTCGGCTGAGTCAAAGAAAAGTGCCGTGACCCGAATACGAGTTCGTATTTTAAGTATCCTGGTTCGCTCGTTTCCGGACGGACGACCTTTGGTCCGAGTATTTGGATTTTTTAACGTTTTATTTGGTCTCACTTCCAGTGCCTCGGCTGTTTCTTCTAGTGAAGCAACGAAGAGAATTCTGCGTTTTGGTCTAAGGTACTTGAGTACTTGACCTGGAAAACCCATCCAGCGGCTAAAAATGATCCCATGCGTGTGTGGGTCGCGATTGGAGGACAAGCCTTGAAACAAATCTGTTCATTGGTTAAATGCTTGCTGGGCTTGTTCTGCTCTGGCGGGCGATAGCTCAGCTCAACAGACCAATTCTCTATTCTCCGTAGAGCTTCTGACAGTCCTAAAGTGAGATAGACTTTTTATTTTGGCAGACGGGAGTAGCCTAAAACTAATATCGTACGATGCTGTGGCCTCCTTTGCTATGACAAGTTAGCTTTCCCGACTATAAAAGGACCCCGTCTAATTTGTTAACTTGTGGCCTCCGAATTTCAAGCTGTGCTAGCCAGTATCACTTTGCCTGATGGCGGCGGCACACCTATCTTCCCCTTATTCTTCCCCTTGGTGTGAACCCTTCGATCATTCGGGTCGAAGCCGCCATTCCCCCACAAGGCCCACTCCTCGGTCTCGCGCATATAGTCTTCAGGAGCAAAGGATTCACCAGTTTGCTTTTCACGTTCTAGGAGCTCAAAGAAGCGCTCATAGTTGATTCTTGTATGCCATTTGCCGTTTACCAGGAAACGCTTGGATGCAAGTAGGACGCAACAGCTATGAGCATGCTCGGCAGATAATCCATATGAAAGGCCACGCCGTTCTAACTCCTCATTCAGTGCGACCACAAACGCAACAATTTCGTGATAAAAAGGAACATTCTGCATCGTTAAGCCCGCATTTGAACTGGAACTCGTTCCACAGTAAGTCACACCTTTTATTTCGATAAAACAAGGCAGACCTTTCTCAACGAGGTCAGCGTAGCCCTCGACCTCATCATCAATGTTAAATCCTTTGACGAGAGTAAGTCGATACACAGTCCTGTGCACATTTCTCTTTTCTCGAAGTATGTCCAGACAACGTTGGAGGCGTTCCCAGAAGTCCCGATGTAAAGGTCGGTCAATTTTGCGGAGGCTTTCACGATTGCTGGCGTCAATGGACACATATAGCTGTGTCACTCTTTGTAGGGCAGCCAATTCATCAGGATGCTGCGCATTGCAGACCAAGAAGCTGGAAATGTGCTCACCGTGTAGAAGCGAGAGCAACTCGTTGATGTGAGGATAGAAAATTGGCTCACCGACTAAGCTCAGGGCGCAATGTCTGATCCTCATGGCTTCTGCGAAACGCTCGGCCCTAACCCCAGGAACACCGCGCAACATCTTGATTTTCTTGTAATGACCCTCCTTGACGCCATTGAAAATCAGCTCGGGAGGATCAACTTTCCAGCGCCACGTGGTTCCGACCGGATTCGTTCCATGTCGCCAACAGAAAATGCATTTGTTACTGCATGAGAGGGAAGGTGTCGATTCCATACAAAGATGCGATTTGATTCCATAGAAAGAGTTTTTGTAGCACGAACCACGCCCTCGTAGAGCTGATTTTGTCCACCGGCAGATTTTGACACCAGAGTGAGATCCAACAATAGTGTACCCTTGTTTCGTCAATGCAGTATACGTTGGAGAAGTTGACGGTACCATCTCCTTGCTGAAAAGCGATGATATCTTGGTGGGAGCATAAGTGGTGAAGTCAATAGGTTCATCATCAAGAAGGTCTTTCGGGTTGAATTTGATATCTTCAAGGTCGGCGACTTGGGAATTTCTGGCTTTCGTTCGTCGTGGGCGGCTGGAGTTGTGGGGCCGCTGATTGTCCCCCTCTGCATCTTCCTCGTCACTTTCTATAGGGTCGCCGCTACCCGGAACACCTTCACCCAGGCCACCACCATTCTCAGATATATCATGGAGCACCGAAACGATCCCGTCACACCACTCTTGCAGAGAGTGGTCTCCGTCAGTCTTCGCGTCCCCAAACCCGAGAGGATAGGCGCGCCGTTTTCCAGTCAGCTTGGCCAGCCACTTATCAACGGCTACCGCCTGGGAACAAAAGCCTTCTTCCACAGTTGGCCATCCTTCTTTATCGCCAAAACCGAAAACACAGTACCCGGTCAGACCGGACAATGGCGAAGTATCAATGCGGAAGTCATTGTGAGTTTCGTCTAGATGGTTGAGAAAGTTATTGATGATGCTGTCAATGTCATAGCTTGGCAGTATTATGCAATACAGATACGACAATCCGGGCTCTGATGTCGGTGGCTTAGGTGCGGTCACAAAGTAGTCGTCGAAATCAATGTAGGATAAATCATGTAATTCAGGTTCCAGAACCTTGCACTGGGCATTCTGCGGTGCTCCTTGTAACTTGGATTTCACGCTCTCGAATGCAGCTCGAGCGCTTTTCTCTGTGGTGCCTGTCAAAGAAGTAAAGAAGAAAATGGGTCGAATGGCAGAGACAACTTGAGCTGTGACATTCGCATCCCCCTTCAACGGCCTCAGACCACGGAGTCTCTTTGGTCCAGGCTTTGTTTCACGTTTTAATGACGTAGACTTTGCCAGCGTTGTATTTTCTGGCTGTGCTGGTTTATCACTAACAATTGTCTTTTGAATAACTTGCTCCGCTCCTTTCGATTGGTTTTCCTGTTTGCGCTGGCTCGAGAATTCGGTTACTGCGAGAAATGTGACAGCTATAATAACTAAGATATATGCCCGATAAGCATGCCATAGTGATAAAGCGACTAGAATCCCAGCGGTTAGCTATCTCGGTGGCTAGCGGGGGAAGGGGAACAATCGCGTGCTTATCATCAGTTATCTCTCACTTTGAAGGAGTATGGCAGCCATGGTTGCTAGTACCAGGTTTTTCTCTTGCCAGACACCGTGCGGGCGGAGAGCACCGCTTGGTAGATCTTGACCTCTTTTTCAACGAGATACGTCGTCTTGTGCGGAAACAGATGGAATAACTATCAGGATACAGTCTTTTGCCTTTCTTTGGTTAATTATTCTTTTTTTTTTTTTTTTTTCCTTCTGAGGCGATCCTGATGCTTACGTCATGTTTGCACTGTTTACATCCGGATTAACTATTTTCTATGCCAAGAACTGAGGGGCCAGAGATCATTCCCTCGGGCGGAGAGGTCAACGTCAAACGTCAAACATACATCGAACATCCATTCCGAATATGAATTAACACTCGATTGAAAGAGAGGTCGTTAAGCTTGGAAATGATTCTGATTAATCTAAGACTTAAAACGTCTATTAAAACATGCGAACCCTTCAGTCTATCGTGCTGCAGAAGGTGATAAACTATGAAAACAATTCCCATGTTTTTTTGCCGTCGTGAAAAGACCCAGATGCTCGCATGCTCCCAGAAGCAACAAGGATATATCGCCACAGAAATGACCCAGAACGCCAAACGGAACGCTGAATAAACATAAAAGACAAGCGAAGACAAAAGTCGAAGTATACAAATGAAAGGGAAAAGGTAAGGGAGCTCAGATGGTCCCCTGGATCGCTTTCCGCGTCCTACACTGGCCGAACGGCGCTGAGTGCATCATCAAGTTAAATCAAAAGAAATAAGGAGACATGACAAATGCGACGATGGTGTCGTCGAGATGATCAGAAGGCAAGTCGGCTTCGGAGTTCCTTCCAAAGGGCAGTCTGACTGGCAGTTGAGCGTTCGATGGCATCTCGGTTCTCTTCTGCGCGACGAAGGAGGTACATGACACACTCCTCGGTGGAGCCCCAGACGACGTACTTGTACACCTGGGCATCCTCATCAACCTCGCTGGTGGACTGGGTGATGCTCATGGAGAGTTCATCGGCCATTCCCATGAGCTGGGAGTAGACGACGTCAGCAAGGGGAAGACCATGGCGGATCTGGTCCTGGCGTAAGGCACGGATCTTGTTAGTGCTCTCCTTGTTGTGACTGGCGAGCACCAAGCTTATCTTGGGAGCTGAGTGGTCTTCGATGTGCTGGGTGGCCAGCATATGAGCGGCTTCATCAAAGGCATTATCGGTCTGCTCCTTGGTATCGAAGATGACATGGCGAGGGTCGGAGTTGATGTATGCGCCTCGCACAAGCTTGACACCGAGGGTGAATCCTTCTTGCTTGGCTCGCTGCAGGTGCATGGCCAGGGTAGCTGGAGAATCCTTGAGGTACCTATACATGGGTTAGCCCTGGTTCTATAAATGCTAAAAGAGACAGGGAAGAAACTCACATCTGATATGTGTTGTAGATGACGGTCTCACCATCCGTGTTGTATCTCTGCATGAGGTCCATGGTCCAGGCATCGATACTCTTCTTCTGGGAGTAGTGCTCGGCATCAACGCAAACTCTGACGTTGTTCTGCTTCGCCTGGACACAAATTTGCTCAAGAGCATCGGCAAGGACAGGGTCGATGTCTGCCCCCTGCTCGAGGAGTTGGACAGCCCCCTGCCCGGCACCAGAGTACTTGATAGCAATGAGATCACCAGAGCTGGAGTACTGGATGGTTTTGAGGGTGCCATCGAGCCACTGGGCGACCTGCTTGCGGTGCAGGGCCTCCATCTCGGCCGGGGTGCCTGTCTGGTCGATATTGTGGTGTGTGTCGACCTCCTTGGCGTAAGAGAGAATGGCACCGCGGTATCCCATGGCCTTGAGCCCTGAGACGGTCTGTCTGACTTCAGCCTCGTTACGGCCGGCACAGAACTGGGCATAGAAGATGTTGTCGAGAAGATAGTTCAGGACCGGATTGCCCGTGATAACTTTGAGGTTCGACTTGAGCAGGCTAGAGGCAATATCCATGAGGAAGGGGCGGGACATAGCAGTCTGGATGGCAATGCTGCGGAGAAGATCCCTGTTTGGCAGTCTATCGAGGGCTCTTTGTGGCTGCTGCTGTGGTATCTGATGCCCAGCGACATCCTCAGCAGCACTACCACCACCGCCAACTACTGGAACGACAGTCTGAGGTACCTCCGCGCCGGCACCCCATGCTGGACGAGGCCCCAGAGACCCCTGATTGTCCGTGGGGATGTGGATGGGCCGGAGCTTCAAAGAGGAAGCATTCTGAGCGGTGTTGGTGATGGGAACACGTCTGATGGCAGACGCTGCTTTGGCGGTGGTGCGAATGTAGGATGGTACACGAGAGGCCATTTCACTATGTGGAGGTTATCTGCAGTGTGGCTGTCTCTTCTGGTAATGAGCTGGTTTGGTCTGAGGAAGAGAGAAGAGAAGGAGGAGGAGGAGGAGAAGGGGAGGGAGGGAGGAAATATATAAGTGTGACTTGACGGTGTGCCTGTCCAGGCGGGACGGAGGAGGTAGAGTGTGACGGCGAGACGGAGGAAACGAAGGAAAAGGGCGAAAGGGCGAAGCTGCTGCTATCGGCGGAACGAGATAGAAGAATGTCGTCTTCCGAGAGTCACTAAGCGACCGTTTCCGGGCCTTTCCTGGCACTTCCGCCCTCACATGACCCAACTTCGCCTCCTTCCTCTTAGCTTTTTGTTTTTTCTTCTCCATCTTTCCCCTTTTTGGCGCCAACTTTACTCTTTTTTTTTTTTTTTTTTTTTTTTTTTTTCGGTTCCCTGATTACGGAGTACTTAAAAAAAAAAAAATCCAATTGCGTTTCTCTGGAGTTGCTTCTGCGAGTTTCCTGCTATGTTACCTTGTAGGGCCCGCTGCTGCTGTTCAAGCTTATCTCTTGGCCGGAACGCCAGGTCTTCTGCAACATGACTCCTGAATGGACGGAGGAGGGAATGAAATATTCAAACGGCACACCTCAACAATAAGGCCAGTCAATAATGTGACGGGAGCATCACACAGCCAAGGACCGACCGACTCGATGGTCATTCAACTTTTAGTCACTCCTCTGTACTCCTCACTCTCTTGTGTCTTTCTCCGTGAGGTCACCGGGAGTGCGTTTGCTACTCCGGCAGTGCCGAGGGGAGGGAAACGAACGCGAAGGAGCGGGAAAGCGAGAAGGAAAAACTTGAGCTATCCAGGTGACAAGTGCTGGTGGATAAGAAACAGTCGTGGGTAAGCAAGCAGGCTTCTCCGGAACTCCGTGCATATACTCCGTACTCCATAGCTAAGTAGGAGCTAGCTACTTAGTAAGGGACATCGAGGCGAGAAGCGTGTCTAAGCATGAATAATGAAAATCATAATAATGCGAGTGGACTATCTATCCAAGAGTGGCTGGCTGGGCCCTCCTAGTCAAGGGCGAGATAACACCGAGAGACGGCCACGTTGGCACCTGGAAGGGAACTAGGCAGATTCGCGGGGGAGAAAAGCAAGACACAAAGGACACAACCAAGCCCTCTAGCCTACGCTTGGCCCTGCGCGAGGCCTGGACTATTACTCCGTATTATATTTATTATTTATTTCGCCCTCCCCCTCCTTGCTTTTGTTTTCTTTCTTCCTTTCTTTTTTTTTTTTGGTTTTACTTTTTTGTTTGCTGATGCAGCTCTCCCTTGTGTGCGTGGCAGACGGCCGATAGGGCGACAGATGAAAATAAGCGTCGCACGGATCTCGGCATGCAAGATCTGCTCCCACGTCTTATCTCTATTATTAATAATATCGGCACTATCAAGTTGTTCGGCTTTGCGTAACTTTCGTAGTTTAATTGAGATAAGAAAGTTCCAGTAAGCTTTTAACCTTTTGATCTAGCTGTAATCGGCCCATACTAGTACATACATGGTTAGACAGGGAGCTTGGGACAGTGAAGCTGACTGATCCAGCCAATGGGGGAATAAAAAAAGAAAGGACAAAAAACGCCTGGAGAGCTAAAAACAGGAGGGAAAGGGGGCAGGGTTCAAGCCCTAACTGTCACGGAAGCGGATCCTCGGCAGGGGTCACGGGACAGGTCACGGGGTAGGGCAGAGTTTTTTTCTCGTTCCTGCTTATTTTGGGTATTTTTATTGAGGCCTGGACCGCCTTGGCAGGGCTGGCCGATGTCGGGCAAGCAAAATGATAGAGAGCAATGAGAGCAACGGGAGTGTCGAGAGTGACGAGAGTGACGAGAGGGAAAGGAGTCTACTTATTTGTTGCTGGGATACTCGACCTCTGAACAGCCGAGGAAGTCTTCCTTGATGGAGCGGATGTTGACGAAGCGGGTGAGCAGGTTGGCGCTGCCGGCCTTGTCGTTGGTGCCGCTCGCCCGGGCGCCGCCAAAGGCCTGTTGCCCGACCACGGCGCCGGTGCTCTTGACGTTGAGATAGAAGTTACCGGCCGAGTGGCGCAGCGCGTCTTCAGCCAATCGGAGTACGTTGCGGTCCTGTGCAAACACCGCGCCTGTCAGTCCGTAATCAGTCGTTCGGTCGATCAGGCTGCACATCTCTCTAAACGCGCTCTCGCCAGCAGCGTCATCGTAGACGTACACGGCCAGCACGGGGCCAAAGAACTCTTTCTTCATCAGCTCGTGCTCGGCGTCGCTGACCTGCAGCACGGTTGGCTGCACATAATATCCCTGCTTCTTGTCGTGGTTGCCGCCAGCCAGCAGCTTAACGCCGGAGTCCTGTTTAGCCGCATCGATGACGCCGGCCAGCTTGTCAAAAGAAGCCTCGTGGATAACGGGGCCAATGAAGTTAGCAAACTCCTCTGGTGGGCCCATCTTCAGCTTCTCAGTCTCGCGGACCAGGATGTCCCGGAATTCAGTCCAGCGGCTCTGCGGCACATAGACGCGAGAGGTGGCACTACACTTTTGTCCCTGGAACTCAAACGCGCCCCGGACGGTGTTGATAGCGGCACTATGGATATCGGCAGAGCTATGGATAAGGTGGAAGTTCTTGCCGCCGGTCTCACCCACGACGCGAGGGTAGCTGCGGTAGGTGCCTGCAGCGATTCCCTGGCCAATTTTACCATATAGCTCGCGGAAGACAGCAGTACTACCGGTGTAGTGTAGGCCGGCAAAGTCGCGGTGGGCAAGAGCGACCTTGGTTACCATCTGGGCATCTCCGGGCACAAACTGGATCACATCCTTGGGCAGACCGGCCTCGAGCAGGATCTTATGCGTCAGATAATTGGCGTAGACGGCATGCGGGCTGGGCTTCCATAGGACAACATTGCCCATCAGTGCAGGTGCTCCAGCCAGGTTACCTCCGATGGCAGTGAAGTTGAAGGGTGAAATTGCATAGACAAACCCTTCGAGGGGGCGGTACTCGCTTCGGTTCCACACACCTGGTGCATGGTGCTCTGGCTGCTGAGCATACAGCTCCTCGGCATACTGTACGTTGAAACGGAGGAAGTCGGCCAACTCTGCAGCGGCGTCGATCTCGGCTTGCCATGCATTCTTGCCCTGGCCCAACATGGTGGCTGCCATGATCTCGTAGCGGTATTTCCCCGCCACCAGGTCAGCGGCCTTGAGGAAGACGGAAGCTCGGTCAGCGAAGGGAAGGCTCTCCCAAGCTGGTTTGGCCTTGAGTGCATCCTCGATCATGCGCGAGACGTCCGCCTCAGTGGCATTGAAGTATTTGGCGACAGTTTCAGCGTGGGCGGAGGGGTTGCGCTGGACATCGGCGGTGGCAGAAGAGGACTGTCCATCCAGTTGTTAGCCCAGGTGACCGTTTCCAGCGTTAAAGAGCGTTTCACTTACATCTTTGAAGTGGTAGGGAACCTGGACGGGGAGAGAGGCCTTGAGCGACTCCAGGGCTGCCTGCAGCCCCCGTCTCTGCTCCGAACCTCGGGCGTAGTGATGCTAATAATCAGCGTCCATTGGGTCAGCTTCATCAGCTCACACAAAAACAAGCTCACATCCCCCAGATCAATTGGGTTCTTACATTGGGTTCGTTGGCGATGGTGGGTGCCCTGAAGCTGGACAGAGCTCTGTATCGGATGGCGTTGCCGGCCAACGGCTGACGGGCCAGGCCCAGACGAGCCGAGCGGGAGAGCAGCGATGAAGACATGGTCAGAAGGCAGCTTAGCTCTTTGTTCCTCGTTTGACGTCTCCTGTATCCTGTATGAGAGGTTGTTTGAAGCTGGCTTGGGACAGATAGAGGCGAGGTAACAGGAAAGCTGTGAGATGGAGAGAGAGAAGACACCAGGGCAGGACAGGAGAAAAAGCTCTGCCTCTCGGGCTCCAATGCTTTTGCTTCCAATCTGGCCTGCGAACGAGGCGGCGACGCCAAGAACCTTCTTTTTGCTTCTTTTCAGGTTCGTTTTCTTGGGTCGGGGCAGGAAAGCCGCTGCTAACGTCGGAAGGCCGCGGGACTTGGGAGGAAAAGTCGGAAGTGGAGCGGAAGCTGTTGAAGCTGACTCAGCAGAGTTCCGAGGAAGTTAATTACCTAAGGAAGGAATAAAATAAATACATAATAATAGCGATGGATGATATAAGTAGATGTCGTTATTATTATTATTATTATGATTACGGAGTAAACTACGGAGGACAGACATCCAACAGAAGTTTCCGTTCAACGAAGCGCTGTTTTTACGGTAGGAGAAGACTTGGGCCGGAAAAGTGAGGATACAAAGTGACCAGCTAAGGACGATGCTGGTTCTACGAGAGTCAGACGTGGCGCCGATGCTGCAGCAGCTGACGCTGGAGGAGTGTCACCGTCTGCTGCAGGCACTCTGGCGCAGTCTGGCAGCATACTCGGCCAGCAACGCGGCGGCCAGTGGTGGCAGCGAGGCCGGAAGCGTCCACCAGCCAATGCGGGAGTCGATACGGACGGCAGATGGCAGCACGACGCTGTTCATGCCAGCGTCTGACACGACGACAACGACGGGCATCAAAGTGGTCACTCTGCCTGGCGCCGGAGGACCCCCCGCAGGAGCCATCGCCCTGTTCTCCCCCAAGAGCGGGCAGCTGGAGGGCATCCTCAACGCCGAGATGATCACCGCGTTTCGCACTGCACTCGCTTCCATGATCCCGTTTCATCTTTTCCAGCTGCCCCAGACCCAAGGTCAGGACGGGCGGGGAAATAGGCTGCTCGTTTTTGGCGCCGGCAAGCAGGCGGAGTGGCATATCCGTCTGGGACTGCTGCTTGCTCCCAGCATTGCCTCCGTCACCGTTGTCAACAGAGGCCGTGGGGGGCTCGACAGGCTGCGAGCCAGTCTGGGAGACGTTGCTGCTGCCCGTTCAGACGTTTCTTTTGTCTATATCTCCCGGGAAGAAGAAGAAGAAGAAGAAGCAAAGTACGAGGGCCGGCTACGTGCTGCCGTCTCAGAAGCCGATGCCATTTTCTGCTGTACTCCATCCACCGAGCCGCTCTTCCCTTACTCTTATCTCCTTCGTCAGCACGCCGGCGGCGAAGGAGAGGACTCTCAGGAGAGGAAGAGACGGTTCGTCTCCATGATAGGCTCGTTCCGCCCGCACATGCATGAAGTTGACACGGACACGTTGCTCTCGGGCCAGACGCTCCTCGTTGACTCCAGGCAAGCCTGTCTCGCTGAGGCAGGCGAACTGATCACTGCAGGGGTGCGGCCTGAGCAGCTTACCGAGATTGGCGAGCTCTCCCCTGCCTCCTCCCTCTTTGCTTCTTCATCCTCCTCGAACGTTGTTTTCAAGTGTGTCGGCATGGGGATCATGGATCTCGCGGTTGGGAGGGAGCTTCTGTGCCTCGCCAGTGAGAGGGGGATTGGCGTCCCCATCCAAGGCTTCTAATTATGCACCCATGCATGCAAAATTCGACACCTATCATGATCCTCATATGCGGCCCTGTGCCCTGTTTTCATTCCTGTTTATACTCCGTAGAGTTGCGTGTATCTGACCTAGATTCCTCGTATATGCAACTGTCTCCATATTCTTCCCGTATTCTCCGTTCTCCGTAAGCTCCGAAGTTCCCCATCGCAGCAGCCAGTCACCAGTCAACGGCATCCTCTGGCCTAACAAGCATCAGCCGACCTTCATTCTTCGTTTTTTTAGTCTGTTTAGTTCGCTTGTTCGCTTCTCGGGTTTGAGAGATCCAAAGGGGAAAAAAGGCCTCCCCCCCTCCCCCCCAATATCCCCTGCATCCCATGCTTATATCTGCAACGCAATGGAATACCGGTGTCCTCGCTACCTCGCCTGCCCCTTCGTCACCCTCACAAAGCCTTGTATCTGCTACATTCACCGAACTACCCCAGCGCCATCCTCATCGCCGCTGTCGCCCTAGCTCTTTTCTTTTCCTTTCTGACCCATCCGGGGGCTCCAGAGGTCCCTACTCTACATACATAAGTACTGTATATAACTAGTCGACAGCCAGCTTATGTAAGAGTCGTGCTTAATACGCATCACCTGACCACTGCTGGACTGGGAACGTCGGCCTTGGCGCGCTTTTCCGCCCAAAAGAGCGAGGAAGCGGAAGCAAAAACGACAAACGCCTTTATCGCTTTCATATCGGTCGACCTCAACGGCTTCATTCGTCGCTCTTCTGCATTCTTCCATCGCATTCGCTCGTGGCTTATCTCTCTTAGCCTTCGCCAGCGTCAGGATACGCTCTGCCTGTTGCTTGGGACAGCCCTCCCTTAACCGTACGGCCCGCCCAAAAAGCCCGCCCATGATACTGTGGGCGGGAGTTCTGCCATGTCCACCGCTGCTCCCACCGGAAAAGTCCACAAGCGAGCATACCAGGTACACCCCCGTGATTGATACACATTCCCTCTGTCTGCATTCGACGCCAAACAGAATAAAAATAAAATAAAATAAAATAACCGTATCTGACTCTTTGACCAGGCCTGTATTCCGTGTCGAGAGCGGAGGGTGCGTTGCGACCTAGGTTCCGTCGATCAACCACACCAAGGCCCCTGCGGTAGGTGTCGGCGGGAACGCAAGATATGTCACTTCTCTGCTACGCGAGGGCGCAAGAAGACTGCTCCCACTCCCACTCCTGCACCCTCTGGCCCCGGTGATTCCATTGCCGGCACTTCGGTGGCCGCCACCCCCGGCATCACTACAACTTCTACTACCGCAGGCATTACCCCTACCCGGCCATGGGAGGAGTCAACAATAGCCATTGCAGGCACCCCAGCGTCGCTCCCAGGGCTCGTCACGCAGGCTGGTGAAAGTTCGGTCAGCCCCATTGCTGTCCCTCCAGCCATCAAACGCGAACATTCCCTCCAACATGTCCTTGCACACGATACCCCGCGTCCCTCCACCCGCGGCGATAAAACGGCCGAAAAGCTACTTAGAGACGCCGCCTACACTTCACACGATGCGTTGAATTTACTCTTCGAAGCCGGTAGACATAGTGAGCGGGTCTCCAGGCCGGACCATCACCATCACAACAATCATACCGCTGGAGCTGCCTCCCAAAGGCTGGGCCCGACACCCACCCGCGAGCTCAGACCATCTGCCGCCCCGAGCCTTCATGATAACACTCCCGACTTCCATCCTTGGTCAAACCTGCGTTTCGTCCGCACCGGCCTGATCACCGCCGAAGAAGCCTTTGATCTCGTAAATTACTTTCATACATACCTTGCTCCATTTACTCCAATCGCTTCCTCCTCCTTCCAGGATCCCTCTATGCATGCCGAACTGCTCGAAGAGGAGCCCATTCTCGCCATGACAATCCTCATGCTAGCCTCGCGATACATGAAATTATCAGGACCCGGGTCAATCTCTAGATCTTACATGGTTCATGAACGACTCTGGCAACATCTCCAAGGGATGATCTCCCGCATGATCTTTGGCCAAGAGCAGTTCACCGGTGGCACGCACAATCACGATGCCCCTCCAGAGGCTTCAAACCTTTCTACGCACGAATATCCCCTAGCTGGCTCAAACTTTGGTAGCCTCAGGACACTTGGTAGCTGTGAAGCCCTGCTTTTGCTGTCCGAGTGGCATCCACGGTCTTTACATGTGCCGGCTGGAGATGATGGGGACAGCATCGTCGTGAAAGATGATGTTCGAAGAACAATTGCAAGCACAGCTGGTATAGGCGGCAGAATACGTATCGACTGGCTGGAACCCGTCTGGAGATCCGATCGGATGTGTTGGTCCATGCTCGGGAATGCTCTTGCTTTGGCTGTTGAGCTGGGCATATTTGACGAATACGACAACACCACTATAGGAGCTCGTGAGTCCCGGAGAGACATCTGGAGTAATCCTTCATCCAGCCAGCGAGCATACCTTGTCCAACATTTACTCTGGGTCTATCTTACACAGACTTCAGGCCGACTTGGTAGGAATTTTTTTTTTTTCCCCTTTAATCCTAATTCGTTCTTTTGACCCCATCCGGAAACAAAGCGACTGATATGTCCTCTAGGATGGAAAAACTTGACGTCTGTCTCAGTGTCACATCACGATACCAGTATAAAACATGGTGACACAATTCGCTGTTGGGTGGGCGTCGCTTCATTAATGAAAAGGGGCAATGAGCTGTTGTTTCCGTCACGCGAGAGGACTCGGGAGATCGTCAAGACTGGCGAATATTTAGCTGTCCTTCGTGTCCTTAATCCACTCCTCCGCGAATGGCAGAAAGAGTTTGATCGTGCCAAGTGTAAGTCTTCCGTCTCAAAACTCGGGTGTCTAACTGAAATACAGAGCTAATGGGGCCCTCGTTATCCCCTCGACGCAGTGTCAAGGCAAATGAGATCCATCTTGACAATTGAATTCGGATACGTACGGGTATATATCCATAGCGTTGCCCTGCAGGCTGTCATCGAAAATTACTATCACGTCATGCATGAAGGCGGCACTATGCCGGAAGCTAGCTTGCTCGAACCCTTTGAGGGCAACAGGGAATACTTTATGGAAGTAATCGCATCAGCAAAATCGATACTCCAGACGGTTGTCGAGGATCTGCTTCCGGATAACCATCTGAAGCATGTTCCAATTCGAACCTACTCGAGAATTCTTGCCGGTGCTATGTTTTGTTTAAAGGTTGGTTGGCTCCATGTGAAGTAGTGTTGTGTACCCCTCTCTAAACTGTATGTTGTCGTTAGGCCACGTCTCTTGGCGCCAAAGACTTTGAGACGTCAGGGTCATTAAGCCTCGTTGAACGCACAGCGGATGCGCTATGTACATGTGTGGTGGATGATGTTCACTTGAGCAACCGATTTGGAGAGTTGCTGCATGCTCTGGCCGCAAGTTTGCGGAACAGAGTAGTGCAAATGACGGCAAGTGAACAACCAAGCGGAAGTATTATTCCCAATACTCTGGCTTCCCATCGTCAATATGCTCAATCTTTTGAAGGTGATACAAACAATCAGATGATGGTGTGTGGCCCTGGCTCCTATCATGAATTGTCCATGGGTCGAATGGGACTGGGGGACCACTCTATCGCTGACCCAGAGTATGACAATTGCCAGGCTGGCTCTACATCTGCTACAGCAGCGGGCACGCCTGCTTATTATGCCATGAATCCGGCATCGGGTTTGATTGATCAAGTCCAGAACGATCCGTTGATCAACTTTGCCGGGTTGGGCCCCAATCAACTTGGTTGGTCCGGTGGGCAGGACTTTTTCGATATGCTCGGTCCTCTATTGGACGTACAGTACGAGCAGTATAAATGATAAATTTCCTGCCCACAACACTTTTTTTCGCGCACGCTTTCGCGTGAGGGGTGTTCAAATATAGCAAAGGGCCTGGTGTCCCTTATTTTGACATTTCCTCACAGGCGGCGCGTATCGGCGTTGGGGAAGGGAGGTGAACGAACTGGACATGACCAGTCGAACTATCCGCAAGTTTTCAGTCCCAAACATACCCTTCTCTCCACAAAGACAACCAAAAATCAACAAAAAATCAATCAACAACACACACCACATAATATTCTGACACTAGCCACAAGCACACGCGCACACACGCACACACATCATGCACTCAGGGCGAACCGCGACTCGAGCTATATCTAACCACAGACAACTCGCAGCCGGTCTCTGACATGGATGTGTGGGAGAAAGTATGCTAACCTCTGCTTGCAGTTAATTAAATGGAACACGATGTGGTGACAGCCTGCATTTTCAGCCTGCCTTGAAAGCAGCAGTCGCTTGGGCTCTGTCTCCTCCTGACTTCCAGCGCAGAAGCGATAATAAAACACAACAATCAGCGAAAATAGAGGGTACAAAACACGAAAGGAAAACGACAAGACAGAAAGGAAGTTTGTTCCTGGCGTGATGCTCCACTGGTGGGTGTGTCTTGTGACAAGCCAAAATAATAACCCGTTTCCACCTGCTTCGAAGGTCAGCGTACTACCATTGTTCAAGAATATCTAACGTTAAATGTGGCTCTCTACAGTAATATAGGCACACCATTTGTCCGCCGACGAGTTACAGTCCTTCTACCCCATCCACCGGCCATTCCGCAACAACCACGGTGGTTCTCACCTCCATTAACCAGTTCTCATTCAATAATGAAGTATAGCGGACTAGCTAACTCGAGCCGTACGTCTAGATTGTTTCCTTTCCTTTCTTTCTTTCATTTAGATGAATTATCCACTCTCCATGCTGCTAGCCAGCATCGCGAACGGCAGTAAATAGGCGGGACGAGAAGGATAATGATAGGATAGCAGTCGGCCTCCCTCATCATCACGTTATCTTTCAATATTTTTTTTACCATTTTTTATATCCTCGGAGCATATCAGATATTGGGTGATGGCGGCCTGGTGGGAGGACGGCCACCTGCTTCCAAGCTTGTTTGAGCATACTGGCTCTCGGCTTTTCTTTTCTTTTTATTTTATTTATTCATTTCAGCGAGGAGTCAGGCCGGCTTGCTCTTTTTAACTAGAGACTTACAAAGACCTCCTACGTCCTCCCAAGGTCCATCTGCGGTCATGGGAGTCCATCTCTGTGCTCTTTCAGCTCACGGCCGTACGTGCCATGGTATACAGCCCTTAGTCAATCCATTATAGTTAATCAGTTATGGAGGACGGACAAACGCCATCATACAATTCATGCTTATATACTCCGTACTGGTACGGGAACAATGCAGACACCGAGATGATCGGGTATTGCCATCGATACAATACTCGTAGCAGATAAGACTAGCGGAAAACAGGATGCATAAAGCTATTATTGATGGACAAGGTAACTGCTTATCGGAGTCAGTCGCCTGAAAGCATTCAACTACTCCGTATATTTTCAAGATAACTAGTTATCTCCTCTCCCTGCTGAGTTGTCTATCAAACTTGAGCATTCGCGGCAAATCATCCTTAGGTTGTAAGTTATTTCGTTAATCCCCCCTTGAACGCCCCTGACACCGGGGGTTAGTAACTAGTTAACTAATCGGAGCTCTGATAGCTGTCGCTGATCTCTTGTGTACGGCTCTGCCTGTCTGATTGGCCGTGCAAGTGGCCAAAGTAACTTGTTATCTCGCTAAGTTAGCAAAGATCCTGGTCTGTCGCCTGCGAGATCCAAGGTCGTCCAGAAGCCGAGAGGAAATAGCTGAAGAAGACCCAAAAGGCTCATGAGACCCCGTCAAAGTAGGATAGAAGATGGCTTCTTCATTGCTTCTTCCCAGTCTCACCGGCTGAGCCAGCTTCTTTCTATATTATTGTCGGGAAGTGGTCACTCGTTAAGGCCTTGCCATGGAGTGCAATACGAATTGCCTAGCGCCAGCGAGCAAATGGTTTGATCCAATTTATCCCTATCTCAGCTCGATACCAGACTACTCGCTCGACAAGTACCTCTCGCCTCTGCCGCTTGTACAGATACAGCCCATGGGGAACCCTCTGCATGTCGGCATTATTGGCTGCGGCCTCGCGGGGCTCAGATGCGCAGATGTCCTGCTGCAGCGCGGGATAAGAGTCACCATGCTCGAGGCCAGAGATCGAATCGGCGGCCGGGTAAGCATTTCCTAGCCAACCCAGCCCACCAGCCGAGCAAATTGGCAATCAACAGCTCTTGATTCGTGATCTGATGGGGTCGCATAACTGCTATAGGTCTGCCAAAGTAGCCTCGGGAGTGTCTCCGTCGATCTGTTGGTTTGACCCTGCTCTGCTTCCTCTTGGGCCCGATGACCGCGACGGGCTGCGGGTAACCATTATTGCTAACAAGGCACGGCGGACAGCGGCCCCAACTGGATCCATGGCACGAGAAACAACCCCCTCGTCGAGATCAGCGAGCGCTCTGGCACGGTGACAGACTCATGGGAAGGGCTGCAGACGACCTTCGATACAGATGGCAGGCTGCTAGACCCGGCCCAGAGTGCCAAAGTGGCCGACTTTATATGGACGACCATCGACCGGGCTTTCACCCTCAGTCAGAAGGATTGCGCGAACATTCCGGCCAGCAAGAGTCTGCTCGACTTCTTTAGGGACGAGCTCGCGCAGTCCGGGTTCAGCCAGGCAGAGAAGGACGCCTGTCTGGAGTCGGCAAAGATGTGGGGGGCGTACATCGGCTCGCCCATCGAGAGACAGAGCTTGAAGTTCTTCCTCCTCGAGGAGTGCCTTGAAGGGAGTATGTCTAAACACCGTGATGATGGCCCAATGATGACGAGGATGATACATTCTACACACCCGGAGACTGACTCTTTGCCTCTTTTGTGACAGCCAACTTGTTCGTTGCGTCGACATACAAGAAAATTCTCCAGCACGTTGCTCGGCCGGCTCTGGAGGGAGCAGAGATACGTTTCAACGAGACAATCGTTACACTTGAAGGCAAGACTCGTTCCGCAGGGACGGACAGCCGGGTACTTGTCCGCACGTCGGCCGGCAAGGAGTATCATTTCGATGAAGTCGTTGCTACGTTTCCCCTCGGATGGCTGAAGCAGAACAAACAGGCATTCAGCCCTGCCATGCCACAGCGTCTCTCTGAGGCAATCGACCATATCTCCTATGGCCGTCTGGAGAAGATATATGTGAACTTCCCGGCTGCATTCTGGCGGCAAGAGCCAGCTGCGTCCAACAGTATCAACCCAACGTTCCAGTTTTTCTCGCCTAGCTATGTCGAGCACCCCAGTACTCCCTACTGGAACCAGGAGTGCCTCTCTCTGGCTGATCTTCCGGGGAGCTGTGCTCATCCTACCTTGCTCTTCTACACATACGGCACCTGTGCGGAGCATATAGTGTCCAGCATATCTGGCCACCCAGCTGACTCAAAGGAGTATTACAGCATCCTGCACTCCTTTTTACTGCCGTATATCTCTCGACTCCCAGGATACGACGACCAGAACCCGTCATGTAAACCTACTGGTTTCCTGGCTACAGAGTGGCAGACGGATCCCCTTGCGGGAAATGGGAGCTACTCTAACTTCCAGACGGGTCTGACCGATGGCCTGGGTGACATCGAGGCTATGCGGGAAGGCATGGGAATTGACAGGGGTATATGGTTTGCCGGGGAACATACCGCACCGATAGTTGGACTTGGGACTGCTGCTGGAGCCTACTGGAGCGGGGAGGAAGTCGCCAGGAGAATATGTAGCATGTAGCAGCATTCTCTCCGAAACATCTTGAAGCTAGACTTTTTTTTTTTTGGTATATCGTTATATTTGATTGCATTCGAACAACGCTTATAGAAGGCCTGCAACTAATGTACATATAATAACCGTGACTAGTCATCTCCGAGTGCACCTGATGAACGAAAAGATAAGAGAAGGAAAAAGTAGCAGCGGGCATCGGTTCATGTGGTACTCTGAGACATCAGGTAGGGAGGGAGATCGTAAGAGCGTATGATGACTGACAAGAGAGATTCCAGGCAGGCGTGGGTATCAAATTTTTACTTCACTCACGACCGACTCATGCACCAGCCAACGCATACAAGGGACACGGAAAACGCCAGAGAAGCAAACAAATCCCAAAAGGCAGAGGAGATACGCCAGGAAATGAAATAAAAAAAGAAGAAGAAAAGGGCAAAAACAGGGCCATAACGCAGGAGAAAATTTAGGAAACAAAACATAAGACGCGTGAAAGGGAGGGGGAATAGGGTGAACCCAAGGACGAACGCACTGATAGCGCCCTAGTCCTCCCATATAGTCTCAAGGTCAAGATCCTGTCTGCCTTCAGCACCGCAGACACTCCATCGCTTGCGCTTGTCAGCCCAGCCGGATCCAAAACGCGATCCGGGAGAAGGAGAAGATATGTCGACGGCACTGCGTCTCTTGAGATCATGGGGGAATCCGCCTGCCTCGACAGCAGCATCTGCCTTATCAGCGGCAGCTTTCAGCCTGGCGATCTGGTCGGCTTCGATAGCAGCGGCTTCGGCGTCGGGAATGTCAGGGATGGTCTCGAGAGAGGATATGCTGGGGGAGCGAGAGCGGATGCTGGTTGGGGTAGAAGGCATGGAGGAAGCCAGGGAGAGGGAGTACGCCGGATACGGCTCGTTGAATTTGGCGGGCAGGATAAGCGGGGATGGACGGGAAGGAGACGAGGCCGATGAAGGCGTCGAAGCAGTCGTTGCAGAGGATCCAAGTATCCCACCATTTGACATATGGCCATTAGATGTGTAGCCATTGGATGTCTGTCCGGGGACGTGGGTGAGTAAAGGGGAAGAGGGTCGGCGCCTGGATACACGGGGGAGGGTGTTGTGAAGAGCAGGAGACCACGACGGAGAGACCGAACGTCCACTCCCGGGTCGGCTACCACTAGAGCCATAGGCGGTATAGCTGGCCGCGGACTGGCTAGGATGGCTGGTGTATGAAACTGGCGAAGCCTGGAGCTCTGGCTGCTCCAGGATGGGCTCTGAAATGGCGATGCTATGGCTGCTCGGGAGTGGCTGGCTGCCGCTCCCGACACTGTCGAAGGAGGTCCGTAACGGACTGGGACGACGCAAAGGGAGCTCATGGGGAGTGACGCCGACCGCAGACGGTTTGCCAGGGCCGCTCTGTGGGAAGACGTATCTGCCACGAGAGTCGAGCCCTGGGGACGAGTGAGCCCTGGCCATGACCGGCGCACTTGACGGAGCCGCCAGGGACCGAGATCGAACGTGGGCGTGGCCTCTGGGACCCAGTCCGTTTGCAGGAGCATGCAGAGTCGGCGACAGCATCAGAAACGGCTGCTCTTGTCTTTGTTCCTGATCTTGTTCTTGTTCATGTTCGTGTTCCCGTTCCTCTTCCTGTCCTCGTTCTCCTAGTCGGTCGTCCGGTCGTCGTAGCGCCTTAGGCCGTCCGTCGCCGCGTCGACCGGGGTCATCGTGGCCATCCTGCTCGCTCTGCTGGCCGGTCATCGGGTCAGGCGTCATCGTCGACTCTTCCTCTGCCGCCGTCGCCGTCCTGGATAACCACCCAGGCGCTTCCGAGGTGGCCGTTGGGGCTGTCGTTTACCCCAGAGTCATGACACGGCGTTTGTGGGGAGACGCCACTCTCTCCGTCCGTCTCGCTCTCGCTCTCCCCCCTTTCGCCTTTAGTGTCTCTAACGACCGCTCTGGCACTCCGGCAGCCAGTCCGCCGTTACTGTCTCTCTCTCTGTCTCTCTCTCTGTCGCTGTCGCTGTCGCTGTCGCTGCTGTTCGCTTTGCTTTCTGCTTCGTCTCTCTTCCACTCCTGCGCGGTGTTGGTTCCCCTTTTTGGCTTCCGCAAAGAAAAGTCACGCGAAAAAACAAAAAGAGCCTCCTTTGCTGACTAAGACGGCGCCCTTCCATCCATCAGTCACGTTCACGTGATGCCCCTGTAGCCCTGGACCTCATGGATCCACTAGATTGGTAACCTCGGTAACTTAGTTAGTTAACTCGAGTAGTGAGTCAAAGGCTTACGAGAAGACGCTGCGCGATGAATATAGATCTTGATACTTGATAACTAATGGATAGTCCAAGCCAGGTGGGCTGGAGGGAAGCAAGGTACTATGGCTATGCTTTGGTGATGCCCTGATAGACCTGGCTTAGGGGTTAGAGGCCGCGGGATAGGCCTATGTTACGTTCTTGCGAAGTGTTGGCAGCCGTCTTCACCACGGCATCTGGCTTCCATGTCGGCCTTCCACTACTTGACATCGTGCAAGTTACACCTTTTGAGGACGTCGATCTGGCGCTAGTTAGCCTGTCCTACAGAGTTGCAGAGATATAGCTCTTCATTCTAGGGCTTGTGTATTCTAGACGGTTCTCGTCGGTGGGAGCTAACATGTTCTTAAGATGCTAGCCACGCAGGGACAGGCAATGGCCATAGCCAATGGTGTCATAGGATATGCTCTCGCGTACATAAGAGCAGAGGGCTTGGGCTGGCTGGCGGAAGATGCTGCGGACCCGCCTCCAGGGCCGAGATATCAAAGCCACCTAAGGTACGGATAATATAGTTACATCTCTCTGGTATCAATTCGAATGCTGGGGAAGAATTGGCCTGAACAAGCAACTTTTGGCAATCTGAACGTTACCTCAACATCAAGATGAAAGATATGGCTATTAGTATTTGTGCGTTGAAGCCACCGTAGCATATCAGACAACCGCCGACGATGGCCGTTTCATGTAGTTAGTTAGATAACTAGTACTTCGTAGTTACCAAAGGTGACAAAAAAAAAGAGTAACTTATGTCGAGCCAGCAAAACCACCAGGTAACTAGATATTAGTGCTCCCATCGTGCCATATCAGAAATAGTTAGACGGGCGGACACTCGGCGGAGATGGACTTCCAGATCATATCCGACCTCCATCTAGAGACACACCCGGCGTACGACTTTGTCATCGAGCGGACCGCGCCGTATCTCGCCCTGCTGGGTGACATCGGCCACCTCGAGCACGACCAGTTCTTCCCCTTCATCGAGGAGCTGCTCTCTCGCTTCGAGATCGTCTTCCTGCTGTTCGGCAACCATGAGCCGCAGTCCTACACCATGGATGCTGCCCGCCGCAAGGTCATGGCCTTCCAGGACCGGCTCTCCTCTCACTCGTCGCCCTGCCCACCGTCGACGTCGACTGGCCGCTTCGTCTTCCTCTCACAAACCCGCTTTGATGTCTCGGACTCGCTGACGGTGCTTGGGTGCACCTTGTACTCGCATATCCTGCCCGAGCAGGACCAGGCCGTCGCGGCTCGCATGTCAGACTTCAAGATGATCACCGACTGGACGACCAAGACGCACAACCACGCCCACGACGCCGACCTTGCCTGGCTCAACGCCCAGGTCCGCGAGATCGAGCAGCGAGAGCCGCACCGCCGCATCGCCATCTTCTCCCACCATGCCCCCAGCCTCGATCCGCGCGCCGTTGACCCCAAGTACGCCGGCAGCAGCGTCACCTCCGGCTTCGCGACAGAGCTGCGCGACCAGCCCTGCTGGACCAGCTCCGCCGTCACCACCTGGGCGTTCGGCCACACGCACTATAACTGCGACTTCCAGCTCGGCGGAGTGCGTGTCATCGCCAACCAGAAGGGCTACTATGCGTCTCCCAGGGACACATTTGTCCCGGGCCGCATATACTCCTTGTAGCGTCCATGTCAGCCCTTGCTCCTAAATACTTAGATCTCTCTGTTGCTTGGTAGTCATATAGATAGAATTGGAAGAATAGATTTAGTCAAAGAATAGTCAGTTAACTCGCTAACTGGTTAGTTAGAGCCCTTTGTAGTTGACTAACTAACTGCGGCGAGGAATCTGCCGAGGCGCAACTAACTAACTAGTTAGCACTGTCAACATCAACCACTGACTTTCTAGCTATTGCCCAGAAGCACCAGCAACAGCAATAGCAATATCCGTCCTCAGTGGATATCTCTAGATACATATTCTGGATAAACTGGCTCGCCCTTTGAAAAGCTCTACCCGGCTGAAGCCCGTCTCGCGCTGGGCCGTGGCCAGTTCTGTCTTCCGCCGTCTGTTCCCTCGCATCCACCACCGCATCAGCGCCCGCTATTCCTACCTGCACATAGAAACGCTGCCTCGACTCAAACACCGCCTCCAAGCTCGTATATACAGGGCTATCGTCGAGAGACAGGCTCGGGTGCTCAAGAGACAAACTGCCGGGCGGACAGGATTCCTGGGTCTCTTCTTCCCGCGGCAACACCCTCTACCAGCCCGACGCTTCAGCCCCTCTATAGCTGCTAGAAGACCGGTAAAACATGGGCCTGACGGTACAGTCGGCATCAAGACCGGAATGTTAGGCTCTACCGGTGTCCGGGCGGAAGATGGCGGCAGTGGCAGCAGCGGTGGCCTGGGGGAGGAGCGGCTGGACGGCGGCGGCCGTGAGAGAGGCGCCAGGCGGAAGAAGATGATGGGATACCTCAAGGCAGCCAATGAGTTACGGCAGGCATACTCGGCCCAGTGGACGAGAGGATACCAGGATCAAGATGCCAGCAGTCCGGGTATGCCTGGTGGCTACCCGGAGGGCGAAGCTACCATTCACGGAGACGAGGAGATGATACTATTCCCCAGCTACGGGAGACGCCATGTCCATGGAGGCAAACATCACCGCCAGACATCACTCTCCACTGATGCTGCTGATGAATTTGAGGCAGCTCTGCCAGCCGCGCAGAATGAGTGTCAGAAACCACAGAGTGACACTGCCATTGTCGACGTTGATGCCCGGGGATGGATATACTCCCCCCAGCGAGGACCCCTGAACAGAAAAACCCGTATACTACTTGCTCTGGCCAGGCGTCTGAGTGGTATCCAGGTCTCGAGCGCCACATCCTCCGACGTTGATGACTCCTCTGCCCCCGGCAGCCCAAAGTCACCCGGTCAGGATGACGCTTCTATAAACCAACGGGTGGACTCAATCATGAACAAGGCTCAGGAAGGCGTCGAGGAGGCCCAGCAGGCCTCGCAGCAGATGTCTCCTGAACAAATGGCAGCTGCTAATGCACAGCTGATGGAGCGATTGACACCTTTTCTCACCATTCCGGCAGTCAACATTCCAGTCACAGTCTTCTTCTTTAACAAGACCCAGAGCCAGTCTAGGACTATATCGACTAATGCTAGTGGCCAGTTCATTCTTCGGGCATCGCTTGATTTTGTTCCTACTCATGTCCGTGTACTCGCTGCGGAACACCTGTCAGCCACCGAGGAAGTTAGCTTGTCTGATCCTGGTGGTGTCAGCCTTATCAGCGACATCGATGACACCATTAAGCATTCCGCCATTGCAGATGGGGCCAAGGAGATGTTCCGTAACACATTTGTCCGTAATCTGAACGATCTTACCATCGCTGGTGTTGGTGACTGGTACACAAAGCTCGCCGAATTGGGAGTCGGTGTTCACTATGTCTCCAATTCGCCATGGCAACTATACCCGCTTTTGAAGAAATACTTTAGCCTGGCTGGGCTTCCTCCGGGCTCGTTCCATCTAAAGCAGTATTCTGGCATGCTCCAGGGAATATTCGAACCTACCGCCGAAAGAAAACGCCCTAGCCTTGAGAGGATCATACAAGACTTTCCCAACCGCATGTTCATCCTCGTTGGTGATAGCGGTGAGGTTGATCTCGAGATATATACCGAACTCGCTATGGCGAACAAGGGCAGAATCCTTGGAATCTTTATCCGTGATGTAACCACGCCTGCGGCGCAGGGGTTCTTTGACCGGTCAAACCCTCGCCTAGAGAGGCGAAGGAGGAATAACTCCAGCATCGACTTTAGCAGCCTGTTGAAGACACCAGAGAACAAGCCTACTCTACCACCCAGGAGAAAGACTGACCGAGAAGAAACAGTAGTCCCAATGGGAAACCTCATCGACTTGGATGACTGTGATGATGATGTACCGAAACTAGATATTTCAAGTCAGAAGCCAGTATCCACCTCCGTGGCACCTCCAAAACCAGCAAAACCAGCGGGCCTTCGCTCTGCAACGATAGAATCCAAAGGTATTAGTAACAATAACAATACTACTCTCAAGTCTGGCCAAGGGCCATCGTCCACTGCCAATAGAAAACCAGTGCCAGGAAGCCCTGGCAGGTCAGCCACGCTGTCCCGAAACCCATCCACCGATAGTTACGTTAGCAGCTTCAGGAACCAGGCTGCCAACCTCTATAACCAACTACCTTCGGCCCGAGAGTACGCTGAGAGAATATCCAGTGCCATCCCCCTATCTTCCAATCGAACCACTCCCACTTCATCTCCAAAGGCAAAGCCCGCACCTCCTCCAGTACCTCCTCCTCGCCGGAGTGCTACCATAACCAACACTGGTGCCTCCATGAGTAGTAGCAAAACTACGCCGGGCGCAACAGGAACATCCTCACCCTCCCTTAGGAAAGTCCAGGAAGGGACGGACTCTCTTGACCTTCCTGCTGGTGACCTGAATAGGACAAACTCCATGCCCCCTACATCTTTCAGAAGGGCAAACTCATACCAGTCTTCCGAGGCAATGACAAGTGGCCTGAACAAACGGGAAGAGATGTGGCTGAGGCGGTGGGAGCGAGCGAAGGAGATGCTTGATCGAGACGGAGTCCCTTTATATAGCTGGCGGGACGGCGGAGACGTGGAGGAGATATGCTTAGAGTTGGTTAAGAAAGCCCAAAAGAAGATTGGAAACAACAATGATTGTTCAAAGTGAGGCACCAGAGATAATTGGTTTAGATGTAGACTACAAGAGAATGTCCAATTGCTCCCAGACATTCTATGTAAACTTCAGCTTCCAGATCTCTAGCTCTCGATGTATATACTATAGCCGAGGATAATATGTTGAACTAGTTACCACACCCACTCTTCTGCATGCGACCAGTCGCCGATTATTTTACCATGGACAAATTTAACGCACAGCCTCTCCTTTGCTTCTTTGCTACCAATCACGGGCTCAGCTTAGCAGTTTGACACAATATCAGTTAATTATCAAAGAAATTAACTATTCATCCAATAATATGGAACAGGTTAAATTTTTCATTCCTCCCACTCTGGGCCATATATTACCTCCAACGAAGCTTCCTGCTTATACACAATCAATCGGTAACGTCTAGCCCTGACTCGTTTGCTAATACTATGCAAAGGACAGGGATGGAAACACCAAATATCATATGTGGTCCCAAAGAAGCCATCAGAATGCGCCAGGTGGGGACGACAGTGTGGCCGTTAAAGAAATTTGGACCCGGTTGGTATCCGCCGGGCTGACGAGACTCACGTACCAATAACTACCCCGACCGATTTGAAAATTTGTCTCACTGTTCTCACCGTATCAATGTTCATATTTATGACAATGTTTGGAGTCAACGTCGACATATCTTGTACGTTTGTGCATTGGTATTAGTAGGACTAGGACTCCATGCACCAATCAGAGCGGAGAAAACAGTAACTACTTTCCAGGATAATGCTTCTATATGCCCGTCGGTAGCCCTTGTGTCCATTGCCATATCTTAGGTCGTTTTTACAATCTCATTCGAAGTTACTGGGATGATGACTAAGAAGTTAAAATCAGCCTAAATATGGGATAATATTAGTCATCAATACTTAGTCATACGTCTTAGTCATCACGCGGGGTGTTTCTTACGTCATGGAGAGGCTGAAGATGGAGCTGAAGAAGGACGAAGCAAGAGACAAGAAGGAGACAAGAAGGAGAGAAGAAGATGGAGAAGACGAGCAGAGAGGAGAGCAGGGACGCAGTTTGCAGATAAGCGTACTAACAAGGAGAATACAGAGACAGCCATGCCAGACCAGAAAGGAAGCCCAGAAGGCCCAGGCAGGAGACTGATGCCTGGCAACATCATCTCGACGGCGTTGCGGATCCTGCCTCGAGCAGAGGGGCTTCAGTTGAAGAGCGCGCAGGAGACGGTGGCCCTCGTTGGCCATGCATGCATGGTGGAAAGCGGTTTCAGGCTGATCGGGTTGGGAGAAGAGCACCGGACAGGTACGCAACAAGCCATTATCTCCAAGCTGACAAGAGCCTAGCTCATGATTTTGTGTACAGATAGCGGTGATGTCCTGCCTAGAGACTGGAATCTGGGCAGCCCCCCGTCTGCCTTCAAATACTCACACTCGCATCATCCGCCCTCAGAGTACCTGCTCCAGGTCAACCGCCTGGGGAGCATGACGGTCATCTACGCCGTCGCCCTGTTCAACAGCCGGACAACTTCGTTCGACATCTCCACCGATGATTTTATTTCAGATTCGAAGCTTCCGATAGACGCAACAGCCACGTCTGAAGAGACTATTCGGAGCCTCTTTGTATCGCAGTCTCGCCTTGAGGAGTTTTGCCGTCTGTTTAATGAAAATATTGTGCAGAAATTGATGCCAGACCCATCCATAGCTCAGACTGGCGAAGGGGAGAGCAAAGAGCCCCTGGTCAGTCTACGGGAGCAGGCTGCCGAGCAGTACCCTTCTCGGGGACCCCTACGTGATGACCGTAGCCCTGGACCTACCCGTCCTTACCCATTTGACGACCCGCTGGCCATTCCATCTCGTGAACCCATACCCGCTCCTTCCGGCGACTTCCCGCCGCCACGGTTCGAAGACGAATATGAAATCAACCGCGGGCCCAGGGGATCGTTCCCTCTCCATAGCGGATACGGGCGAGATGAGAGGCAGCCTGTAAATATCGGCGAGAGAGATCTCTACCCACAGGGCCTTGCTCCTCACGATCCGCTGCAGAGGCACCTAGGCCCAACCCGGGGCGGTCGAGGAGGCTTTGGCAGCGGCGGAGGCATGCACCCGACCTTCGACGACCCAATGTTCGGTGGAGGCGGACGAGGTGAGGGAAGCTATGACCTGCAGGTACCTCCTGGAGCACGGTATGACCCCGTCGGTCCAGGAGACGGTCGACCATATGGACGGGGTTCAGGCTCGAGATCAGGCTCCGGTTTCCCGGGGGGACCAGGGCCGGGCGGCTTTGGCGGCTTCGGCGGCGGCGGCGGCGGTATAATCTAGCCCATAGTCAAGTAGTAGCAAAAAATGTACCATATCACCCCGTTAATCGTCTTTTCAGCGTCTTGTACTCCGTGACTCTCCTGTAGCTCCTTGTAACTCCAAGAACTTGCCTGGAGCTTGTTGTTGACGTCTCTTCCTCTCTCTCTCTCTCTCTCTCTCTTTTTTGTCTTCCTGCGGAGGTCATGTGAGGTGGCTGGAGCAGTGTGGCGTCTCCAAAACACCAAAACGCCAAAACCATCGAAACGCTCGAAAAAAGACCATTATTATTTGCCAGGATCAACCAAAAGTCGACTGAAAGACCAAACAATAGCCTGCAGCTCCTGTCGTCGACTACCCAGGACAAAACAATTCACGACCCCTCCCTCGAGCTCCCTCGCTGTGTCGCATTCTCCCACTATCCGCGCCTCCTTCGCCCTTCCCGCGCCCACCTTGCTCGGTTGATTGCTCACTCTCTCTCATTTACCCCCCAGAATAAGCGACCCCCCTCCACCGCCCGCGAGCTGCTTCTAGGACCGCCCCCCGTCCCCCGTCTTTCTAGTGCCATCGACTCGAGTACTACTCATGGAAAGCAAGATGGAGATCGATTCAGGGCGGTCTCCTGAACCCCACGGCCTCTCGCTCATCACCGACCCGGAGTCAATACCGACCCTAGACGGCTGGATCGAGAGCCTCATGAGCTGCAAGCAGCTTGCAGAGATCGATGTCCAAAGATTATGCGATCGGGTGGGATTTCTCTCCTTTGAAATTTGATGCTTTATACAGCGCGGGAAATTCTCTTCTTCTCCTTTCTTTTTTGACGTCGTCACTGTCGTTGTCGTTAGATGCCCGTTTTATGCTATTCTTGCTTGTTTGATGTGCCTCCCTTAAGGCTAACCAACTTATCTACAAACAGGCCAGAGAGGTTCTGCAAGAAGAGTCAAATGTCCAGCCAGTGGTATGTTTCCCTTCCCCGCCTGGCCATTTGAAGTGTTCCAGAGCAGTCTAGGGGATATACTGATGTCCGCTGGTGTGTTGCAGAAATGTCCAGTAACAGTCTGTGGAGACATCCACGGCCAATTCCACGACCTGATGGAGCTGTTCAGGATTGGTGGCCCCAATCCAGATACAAACTACCTCTTCATGGGTAAGTCAATACTTGAAACCCAGAGCAGAAGACAATGCGTGTCTCCCCCGCCGAGTACTGTCAGTCTAACATGTTTTATGTAAAATGATGTGAAGGCGACTATGTCGACCGTGGTTACTATTCCGTTGAGACAGTCACTCTGCTTGTCGCTCTTAAGATCCGTTACCCCGGCCGCATCACCATCTTAAGAGGAAACCACGAATCACGCCAGATAACGCAGGTCTACGGCTTCTACGACGAGTGCCTGCGAAAATACGGCAATGCAAATGTTTGGAAATATTTCACTGACCTCTTCGATTTCCTCCCTCTCACTGCCCTCATCGACAACCAAATCTTCTGTCTTCACGGAGGTCTCAGCCCTTCAATCGATACATTGGACAACATCAGATCTCTCGATCGTATGCAAGAGGTGCCGCATGAAGGTCCCATGTGTGATCTGCTCTGGAGTGACCCAGACGACAGGTGCGGCTGGGGAATCTCTCCTCGTGGGGCTGGATATACTTTTGGTCAGGATATCTCAGAGGCATTCAACCATAACAATGGCTTGACCCTCGTCGCGAGAGCACATCAATTGGTGATGGAAGGTTATAATTGGTCTCAAGACCGGAATGTAGTAACTATATTTTCTGGTATGTCTATGCTGTCGTCTTCCCTCCGGTCTTTGGTGAATAATGCTAACCCCGTCAATGTGATCAGCTCCAAATTACTGTTATAGGTGCGGAAACCAAGCAGCAATTATGGAGATAGATGAGAATCTCAAATACACTTTGTACGTCACTCACTCCTTACTTCACCCCTTTTCTTTTACTAACTTGGACATCTTAGCCTTCAATTCGATCCTTGTCCCCGTGCAGGAGAACCAATGGTGTCTCGTCGCACGCCGGACTACTTCCTGTAGATACGAGAAAAATGACCTGCAATACATTCAAAGCCTGTTGCATTCCAGTTCGTCTCACAGTGTCCCACCTCCTGAACTTTCCACAATCTTCAAATGAATTACTTCCACTTCCCGTTGTTGTCACCACATGACTGGATTGTACACGGCACTCTTAATATTCTATTTCTTCTTCTTCTTCTTCTTTTTTTTCGTGCTTATTCAAAGACACCCTCTTCCATTATTTGTTTCATCCATTGCCTCCGTTTGCTTGTGTATGCTGAGGAAGCGAAAGATTCTCGCGCTAGGTTGTAACGGATCCTGTTGAACAAAGAAAGGATAGGACTAACTCGGGCAACTTGACGAAAGAGATGGCCGGCTGGAACGCCTTAAAAAGGAGAGATAAAAGAAATTAGAATACCCGAACCTCCCACGAAAAAGAACTAGAAATGCAAATGAAGATGATAAGTTTTTCGCCTCAATAGAACAACATAACTCGATATCGTATGGATAAGTGGTAGCTTTCTTTCGTGGAATTCCCCATAGGTTCGTCTCGGCAGGGTAACTACATCGCAGCCCTTCCGCAGTTAGCTGTCTGATCGTCTTCGACCAAACCAGGACAGGGACAGTAACTGTCCGGCCGGTTTTCCGCTCCTGACTTTCTCTCATCTAATCTTCATCCTCATCTTCATCGTCATTTTCTCGCATCAACTTACTACCGCTTTGGGGCTGCTGACAAATCGCACTTGGTGAATCAACTTAACTATGCAAACAGTCCAAAATATGCAAACACAAACACTGCAAACACGCCGTCTCGAAAGTGATGCAAACATGACAAATGAAGGAAATACCAAACACCGTCAGCACCCACCCAGCTACCAAATGCAAACTCACCAAGACCACATATTTGTAAGTATACGAAGCGTACGCAAGGATAGAAGCTGAAAGAGCAACACAGATTAAAAATCAATGTAGAAGATATATACAGATTGGGATTATCTAATGCAGCTGGAGAGGTATATAAAAACGGTGGTCAGCACCCGTTAATTGGGACACTACTCGAGAGCAATTAACAGAACTCAACCCAGCATATTATCAAACATCAATCATTCAAATCCTCCATTTTATCAACTTCCATAAAAGCACATCACAATGGCTACCTACTATGGAAAAAATGCGGTCATCATCGGCGGGAGTCATGGTATTGGACTAGAAGTTGCTAAAACCCTCGTTTCCCAAGGTGCCAGGGTGGTCGTCTCCGGACGGCGCGCAGAACCGGTTGAGGCTGCGGCAAGGGAGCTCAATGGACTAGTTGCCGGGGCTTCTCTTGTTGTTCAGTCAGACATTACCTGTATGAAGAGTCATGAGGAATTCGAGGATTCCGTCAAACAGCATTTGCTGGCCGATGGTGACTCCTCCATCGACTTCCTCTTTATCAACGCTGCCTATGCCAATCTCATCCCGTTCAAGTCTGTTACTGAAGAAGACTTCGACAAACACTTCAATACCAACACACGAGGGCCCTTCTTTATCGCTCAGCGGCTGATACCGTACATTCGACAGGGTGGGTCTATTGTGTTCACCACAAGCGTATCCATCGGCACCGGGTATCCGGGTATGGCTGCATATTCCGCATCAAAGGCAGCGGTGTACTCAATTGTGCAGACGCTTGCTGCTGAATTGGCCAGCGGGGAGAACGGCAAAGAGGGTATCAGGGTCAACGCAGTAAGCCCCGGCTTCGTTGACACGCCGACCATGGGAATTATAGGTGCAACGAAGGAGGATAAGGAGGCATTTGCGAAGATTGGCGCCCAGACATCGCCAATGGGTCGAATCGCAAAGCCCATAGAAATTGCCAAGGCCGCTTTGTTTTTGGGCTTCGAAGCCACATATACAACTGGTATCGAGTTTGTGGCCGATGGAGGCTCCAGATATTTGAGTACCCAGCTAGAAAGTCACTGACGTGACTGTATGGTCCTCAAAGTTGGTCGTGATGGCAAGAATTTTCAATTTTGATATATATTTCGGGGGGCGGGGTCGCATGAACAGAGATAAATCAATAATGGAATGTATATCAAATAGAGAAATTGCTTAGTAGACTATCATCAACCAGTCCTGTGTTACAAATAACTCAACAGCCCATAGCTAAGAACGGGAAAACATGCATTAAAAGGGAAAATCGCTCTGTGTGCCGATAGGAAAGGTAATAGGAATATAACGAGGTTTTCGTACATAGCTTCATGACATGACAACTTGACTTTGGCCCTCTTCGTCGTTGTCCGATGTCTTGGGTTCTATCCGGTTATCAGAGTAGTTGCGCACTTTAGAACTCCCGTTGGGAACGAAAAATCTGCGATCGACCCGGCCAAAGAGGAATATGTAGACGACCATGGCTTCGAGGACAAAGTTGAAAATATAAAAGCACGCCTTATGATGGTACCACGCAGGATTGGTAGCGGCTCGGATAGGGGAGGCACTGACTCCGATACGGAACCCTGCACCAAGCGTCAAAAGGAGAGCTGCAGCGGTTACGATGATCACTTTTGCTGACCACGATCCAGAGCCAAATTGATCACGTGGTTGCCTTTGAGGAGCCAGATGAATAAATGCAAGTATAAGTATCGGGAGGAATGCAACAAAAGTCAGCAGACTGCCACCGAAAAGCTGTAAGTCACGATCTATCCGTCTAGTATTAGGAACCAGGGTGAAGAAACTTTGCACAGTCGCTGTGATGACGGTAACCAATGTTAACCCAATAAGGATGTAGAGTATTTTAAAGGCGTATGATACTGGACGAGACCATCCCACGACGGGATGGCTAGCACGAAGCATACGTTGCGCGAATATCAAATTGATCACAAACAGTATCAAGACCCCAGCGGCAACGAAGACTTGTGCGGCAATTGCGACATCGATGTTCATTGGCTTCGCGGCCCACACAATTCGAAGGGTATTGGCCACGATACGAGCTATGCAGAATCCCCCAGTTGCTGCAGACGGGATGAACTTGTAATTGCGCTTCAGGTTCTTTCGAAATAGGGTAAAATGCGAAACAGCTCCAACGAGGAATATGGCAATGAAAACGGCAGAGATAGCAACGTCTACTGATAGTGTAGGGCGGCCACCAAGCCCAGCACCTGGTGGAGGATAAGGAGGCCCGTGTGCCTCTATACCAGGCTGTTTCAATAATGTTAATACCATCTGAGACCAGGGATATTCAATAGCAATGAGAGTTCACCATTCTTACCTTCCCAGGAGGGCCATGGGCCATGTCTGGAGAGCTGGACATCGTAATAGTGCGTTGGATAAGACAGTTCAACGATAAATACTCCGTACCCTTCCAGATTTCGGTTTTGAAGGTGTAACGAAAAAAGTCGACGGAACCGGGTCAATCACAAAAGGCCAGCTTGAGGGGATATCAGTCATTTAAGAAGTATCCCATCTTTCAGCGTCATGAAACGATGGGCCAGCCATAGTCATCACGTCGGAGGCCGGGCTCTTGCAGGCCCCAAGGGTCATGGTAATTGGTAACAAGGGGAATATTTATACATATTTCTTTTTCCGGTCAAGCAAGATGACGGAGTGCGTCTTCGCTGTCGCGTTAATGTAATCGCCGAAGTTGCTAGCTATATTTCCTAGACCCAACAGTATTTTCAATACAAAGCTCATCTGACATGGCGAGTTGTCGGCAAGTCGGTCGATTTTATGGCCGACTTGCCGACTGTGAATTGTAGTGGGGACTTGGCCAATAACATTAGCACATTTGGTTCCTTGACACGAGGACGACCACAAACATGTTCCCATCCCGCCGGAGGAAGTGTCGCCACAGTTAGTGCGATAGTTGGTGGACGTTCAAATCAGCATTATTGCTAAAGCTGGTAGCACAATATGAGGCTGTGCCAAAATTTCGACTCGAGCTTTCCTCTGATGCGAGCTCTGTCATGGCAAGTTAATCTGAGATCCTGATGATACCCACATGGGGATCATTTCTCAAACCCCATGCTATAGCCACCAGTTTTCTCATCCTTGACGAACTTGAAATTATCCGTGGACAGACCAAATGGCTTTAGAATCCCATTTCCGAGCTATAATCGACAGGCATTCCATCAGAGAAGGCCTTTGACAAAAGGAAAAGCTGCATACGCGGAAACTCTCAGAGGATAGGGGGTGCTTACATCTTTTAGTTTACCCATCATCTCGGCCATTTCTTTATCCTTTGCTGCGTTTATTTTAGCAGGCAATTCCCTTAGAGCAGTCTTGACCGCTCTAGTGTCTTGCGGAGGGAGAATCCCAAGCTCCAGCAGGCTCTTGTAGTCCTCTTCAGCACCCTGGAGATTCGCCCATCCGCCCAACTGCATTCTTGCCTTCCCTCTCCGCATAAGAGACTTGCCTCTTATACGTAGTACATCCTCCCTATGCGTATCCTTTTCTTTCAACGTTCGAAGGACCTCATCCTCCTGCCCTTGACTCGTATTGTCTGGTAGTTCGACAACCCTAGAGGTGGCATCCGCCGTCTTATTTGAACCCGTATCCGCATCCTTACTAGATTGAGAGGTTGTAGCGAGAGCTATAGGAGCCAAACGATCCAGAAATGTTATGCTAGATGTGGCTGCATCTACAGCCGATTCCCATTCTTCCAACTGTATATGGCATGCAGCAATATTGCTTTTTAAAACAGCCACCTCGTAATCGAGGTAGTTAGGACAGACGGCAAGAGCTCTATCGTATGTAGTAATAGCCTCTGAATAATTAGAAGCAGAAAACAGTGTGTTCGCATCGGCTTTGTAGCTATGTGACTGGCTTAATAGGTCCTATCACAATTAGCGACGGTCGACTTCTGTAGGGTTTGTGGGCACCTACGGCTTCCTCGTCTGGGGGAAAACGAGCATCATGAAAGACTTCTTCGTCCCCATCGCTTTCACTGTGCTTGTCACTTGGTGCGTCTGTCATGGCGTGCTCTGCAACACACTGACTGCGATATTCTCTGTTTCAAATTACAGGACTTGACTTACTCAAAAGTTGAACTAAGGTTAAATTATTAGTCAGACGCACTAGGCGCACCGTCCAATCATGTTGTCAATCCTGCCTGCCACATATTATTTCCATATGTTATCGATAGCACCTTCAGGAACAAGATTAGTCATATACTTAGTTAACGAGTCTAGCCTTGGCGGCGCTTATAACTACAAACCTTCCTTTCATTCAAAATATGCTTCACGCAGCTCTCCGTGCAGCTTGGCCATCGCCTGGCTAATTAGCTACCCTCTCCACAGCTTGAACCGCGCAATGTCTTTCCTTCGACAGATGGCATCCCAATCCCGCCGCACCATGTTCACTATCAAAAAGTCTCCATGGAAGATACCGTCTAGCCAAGGGCCTTCACTTCCCCAGCATGAACTTGTCGATGAAGAGATTTGCCCTGGATATAACCCAGCCTCCTTCTATCCAGCACAGCCAGGGGAAGTGCTTATCAAGAAATTTCAATTACTTAACAAAATTGGATGGGGATCACAATCAACCGTGTGGCTCGCCCGAAATATCTCCAGGTAACTACTTATCCTTCTGTACTCCTGCTATTGATGTTGTGCACATAACCATTGACAACAACTAAGGAATAAATGGCAGTCGGAGCAGATCGTCGCGGTCAAAATAACGAATAATAACAACGTTGAAGAGGCACATCATGAAAAGGAAATCGAATACCATATTGCACATCTAAATCCAAAGCACCGAGGACACCTAATCCTACGAACATGCCTTGATGCTTTTGAATTAATTGGTCCCAAAGGAAAACACATGTGCCTTGTCTATGAACCGATGAGGGAACCTCTGTGGATTTTTCAGAAACGCTTTATCAGTCGCCAGATCCCTTTACCTATTGCAAAGACGTATATATTTTTCCTTCTTGTTGGTCTCGATTATCTTCACTCGGAGTGCAAGATTGTCCACACAGGTGACACATTGTCCCCTCTTTACCTTCGATTTACTTCAACTAATACATCGCTAGACCTAAAACTTGACAATATTCTCATGAGCTTTGAGAGCGACGAAATCCTTACTAGCTTCGTAAAAAAGAAACAGCAGATGGAATGTAAGTTAGATGAAAAGAGTGGCCAAACTATCTACCGATGCAATAACGACTTCGGCCCTCTTAACGGTAAACAGTTTACGAACTTAATCCCCAAAATAACGGATTTTGGTCTCTCTACAAGACTAGACGGATCGAACCAGCTATCTTCTTATCCTATTCAACCTGATTATTACCGCGCTCCCGAAGTAATCCTTGGCTGTGGTTGGAATGAGAAGGCAGATATCTGGAACTTTGGTGTATTAGTAAGTCCATACCACTTATCCCTGAGAATCCGGTTCTTACTTGCTCTTTATTATTTGACAACCACTTCATAGCACTTGTCACTAATATCTCTGTCTGATAAGCTGTGGAATATCCTGGGAGGCAAAGAGTTGTTCCAGCAGGTACATGACCAAAACGGCCTGTACGATGCAAAATCACATCTTGCTGAAATGATCGCTCTACTTGGAGCTCCCCCCATTGCATTAATTGCAAGATCGAAAGCCGGCTCTGGGAATAATTGGCCTCAACATGTCACTAGCAAAACTGGTAAACTCTGCAATAATCCTCAAGAATTTTTCGATGGTCCTTTCTTTTGCTCTGAAGGTAACCTAATATCAAACCTAACATACAAAAACTTGATATGCTAACTGTGTTTTCAGGAGAATTCTACCATAATGAGCTTATACCGTCTCGAAAATTAGAGAGCACGATACCGTTTCTCGAGGAGAGAGAGAGAGACGCGTTCTTGTCGTTTGCTAGCCAAATGCTCAGCTGGGACCCGGATCAAAGGAAGACAGCCCGCGAACTGATTGACCATCCATTCCTTAAATTGGGTGATAAATAAAACACTACAATTTCTTTAGTGTCTAGACATGTAACTACGGTCATCATATCAACTGCACATGGATAAGCAGATCCGTCCTGTGTGAGAATGAGAGTAGTGCTATAAAAGAAAACATCAGGTATCCTTCGTCTCTCTTAATTGACCGCGACTCATGTGCTTCCTTCACTGCTCTCCATACATATATCACTGCAAACAGAAAGTGATGAACGCCCTGTCGAAATCATTTAGCCGTAGAGCTAGGGCCATCTCCTTCGGGGGCTTCGGAAATGCGTGGAATATTCACATCATCGATTTTAGAACTCGAGAATGCGACCCTTCCGTTTGGGTATACGTGGGCAGATGTGACGCGTTTGTTTCCGTTCATTAATGTAATAGAAACATGGTAAGGGTCCTTGGTCTTTGGGGTATCATGAGGGTCGCCCCTAGACAATATTAGCTGACTTCTCAAGCCAGAGTAAGGCAAAGTTCATACTGCACGGTTGCTGAATCCACTTCTTTGAGCAACTTGGGAACGTAATCCACGGCATTCTCGGCATAATATTTGGCCCATTCCACGTCCTTGGTTGTTCCGTTATGACTCCAAAGGAGAGTCTTCAAGTTTCGCGCGGTGGAGGAGAAGGCTCGAGACATAGTTATCACGGTTCCTTTCTTTCTGTTCCTGTTGAATGGAATAGCTAATTATGTGGATAGAAATTGCGTAGTGAACCTTGCTGTTCGCTGTGTAGGTGAAAGTAGTGGAATGGATTTCTTGTCTGACAGGAATTCTGCAGGGTATTTATGTCGTCAACTCGTCGTCAACCCCAACCATTGACCGAGCACATAGGCTATTACAGCCAACTCGCAACTATTTACGCGCCAGGGTGAAGCCATATGCGCTGCCCCTTATGCGCCGAGGACTTCTGTTGACCTATGAGACCGTCATTATGCAAGGGCGTTTCACTTTTTGAATCTCTTGTAGCCAATAAATTCGGGCGTTTATCAAAGCTCTGGCATGTCTGAAAACAACCAACTCTTTCGGTTGCGAATATTGATCTCCCGAAGCAGTTTTGGGATAGAGCGAGCCAATGGTAGTTTAAACCCAAAACAAACTTCAAGGTTCAGATTAGGCTTGACCGCACATCTCTCCATTCATTAACTTAATTCGGTTTAGTTGACTCAAAAGCGGAGCTGTTTGTCAGAAATAACCAATAATAGTACCGAATATGAACCATTAACCTTTACATTTAAGCGCCCAGCTGAAACCCAAAGAAGTACTATTTATAGTCTAAAAAGACGAGAAGGCATTAAAGATTTTTTTAATGATACCCTGGTGAACGAGTTACGCTATTATAAATTCTAAGAAGTAAATTTTGGACATTCAGAAACATTCTGGGTGGTAACTGTCAATCTCTGGGTTCCTTCCATGGAAGGTTTGCCCGCGTGCGCTCCAAGGAGGCAGTTCTGCGGTGTAGGCCAGATGGAAGAGCAATTTAGGGGCTCCATTGAGTAAAGAAGAATTGCTGGCTGCTATAGGTAACAGCTACCCCGCTTCTACATATACGTGTTCCAGCCATGAGCCGTTCTCCCGTGTATAGGTCAACGCTGGGTCAGGTGATTGAGAGATCACGTGACTCCAATGGAGCGGCCCCTCAAACACTGCCTTCTCAAATGGGCAAGTGACGCCTCGAGGCTGGCCGAGGAGCTGGCCATAACAGTAACCATTAGTTAATTCATTATTTAAAAAATGGCATGCGGGCTTACCTATATGTGAGCTACGTATGATACTAATAACTATCTCTCTGTTACCACCGGGAATTTTTTTTTTTTTTTTTTTTTTTTTTTTTTTTTTTTTGATAGAATTATATAGTTATAAAATAAACAAAATAAACAATGGACAATTAGGTATTATCTCCACATGGTCCAACACTTAAACTCATGAGCTGTGCTGGAGGTCAAGTCTAGTCCCCGTCGAATCTCAGTGTCAGTGATGACTTGAAGAACTCGTTGATATACATAACTAGCTGCCTTCCCATTGAAAATTGTATAATTTGTATTTATCACTGTACCTAGACATGCCTCAGTTTTCAGTACAAATTGTTCCGGTACTAAAATTTCAGTCTTTAATCGACACCTCTTTTTTCGAAGACGCAATAGTTGGAATCGATCATCTCGGGAACCAGACTCACAGCTAGTTATTAATAAAATTGGTGTGCAGGAGAAATTACCCCCCCTATATGAGAGACAACTGGCATTAACTGATTCTATCCTACAAGAAATATCACTGAGGAGATAGAGCCACTCAAGGCGACATGACAAACCAGCTTCAGGACCATTCTTCTTTCAGAAATAGGCACTTGGGGACATTTCTGTTCCTTCAAGCCTCCTTAATCAGTCATCGGTAACCAAAGTAAAACGTCATTGGGCCATCACCACTATAGCAATGATGTTACAACCGTGACAGAGGTAAACAAGATCATTAAACGAATAGCTACTAGAGTAGTGAATAGTTATCTTTACCCTATAATTACCCTAGTATCGAGGTCACAACAGTAATATCCGTTTGATCAAAACGTACAAGGTGAGTCAGTTACCATCCGTCCGAAAAGTTGGTTAGTTAGTTATCGGCAAATTGGAATTCGGGGCAGAGGAAGATAACTTATTTTCTCAAGGCTTGAATGGTGATGCAGTTTGTTCCAGACTGGAAGAGCCAAAAGAGTGATCCTACGCGAGTAACTAATTAGTCAGTAGCTTATGTTTGACAACTCACCGTTTTTTCATTATTATTCGATCATGGTAGTTATGTTTAAGCGACGGTCCTGCAGCCCTCTCGGGCCGGGCAAAGGTCGTTCCTCATAGGGTTAGGGTTTTAATATTGCTCAAGAGATCTCGAAGGATTCTAGATTGCTCCGCCATCGGTCTGGAGACAATGCATGGATAAGCTTGAAAGCTCCATGTTACTCTAAATCATCTTTAAGACCTACATGCTTGAAAGCGTGGGGCTTAGTATTTAACACATAGTTACAGCTAGTTGGTACATGACCAGGTCACTGGGGAAATTTCACGTCGCAAGTGCCTATTGGTTCTCTATTGTATTTTTATGTCAATGCTGTAACCGCTGAGACATAAACCCCAGCTGTCATACTCCGTAGAGTTACGCCTCTCACATGGTAGCCGTTCCACTGATGTAGTTAGTTAGATAAGCCAGGTGAAGTGATCGCTGCTAAACCCCACGACTGTCGGCCCGGCAAGATAGTTAATTGTGTCTTTAATTATGTTCCTGGTTGCAATCTCCCCCAAATCCTTCAGACCGATGACTGCAGGTGAGATGGCTGTGTGACCGCTGCATAATAATAGATCGACCCCGCGGCTGCTATAGCTAATGGTATACAAGACCTCCGCTCGATCCCTTATATTACGAACGAATAGATAGCGAAGAATCACATTGGCCGGAGAGGTGGTTATGGATAGCCGAGGCTAAGCGTGGAACTCGGCGGTCTAGTTAAAGTTAATTATTTAACTAACTAGTTAGTTCGTTAGTTAGTTAGCCTTCAGGGGAAGAAAACTGCAAAAGCAAAGGTTGATATCAAAAACTCCAAACATTTTTGAATCCTGCCAATTGGCAAGACCAGACCAGCAGACAACGTATAAAGGCCTGCTCTATCTGCCGCCATGTCTGCCCAGAATGAGTGAGAAAAGACAATCCTGTTTCCCCAACTGATTAGCTACTCCTCTGACCCTCTGCTGTGTGCTCCGAATCATGGCTGACTATAACTTGAACCGCAGACTCCCCCCCATTCGGGCATGTCTCTTTGACATGGATGGCCTTCTTATCGACTCCGAGGACATATATACATTCGTGATAAACCAGATTTTACATGAATATGGAAAACCCAATCTACCTTGGTCTATCAAGGCGCAGCTGCAGGGCCGTCCCCAGCCACAGGTACGCGTTCTATTCTCACACAGTTATTCTGGGGAGCATTCACTATATGGCATAAACACTACAGGAAAAGAGTTCATTCTAATTTACTTTTCTTCCCCACCGTATACAGTCTGGTCAAGTGTTTCAAAAATGGGCCCAGCTACCCATCTCGCAGGAAGAGTTACAGAAGAAAATCGCTGCACTTCAACGGCCTCAGTTCCCAAAGACACAGCCGCTGCCCGGTGTTATGCAGCTGATTAGCAACCTATCCCGCGCCGCATCGAACTCTCCCCCTGTACACATTGCACTGGCCACATCCTCTACTACAACAAATTTCAAACTCAAAACCTCCCACCTCTCGGGTCTATTTTCCCAGTTCCCCCCATCCAGGATCATCGTGGGAGATGACCCCAGAATAGCCCCCGGGCGAGGGAAACCACTGCCTGATATATATCTGCTGGCACTTAGCATTATCAACAAGGAAATCCAGGCAAAGGGTGAACACCCAATCACCCCAGCAGAATGTCTCGTTTTCGAGGACTCCGTTCCTGGTGTAGAAGCTGGCCGGAGAGCCGGTATGAGAGTTGTCTGGTGCCCTTACGAAGGGCTGCTTGAAGTATACAAAACTCAGGTGCCGGAAGTCCTTGCTGGCCTGACAGGAGCACATAAGGACCCCGAGGATAACGGAAATGATACCTCTGCTGTCTCCAATTCAGGCAAGCCAGGCAACCTGAATGATGGCTGGGGAGAATTAGTACGCAGTTTGGAAAATTTTCCGTACGAGAAATATGGAATCAAGGTCACTTGATATCCTATCCCCCTCGTTTATTTCAAATCCTTACGACGACATGACTTCAAGCCCTTGCTTGCTAACTCGGTTAATGAACCGGTAAATCCGTCCAAATAAGAGGAATACCCTTCTTCACCATTTATCATATCAATAGACCAGATCTAAAAACAATGCATCCATCATATTGCGTAGAGTCTTGCGACGTTTGTCTAGATGGATTAGATGCCAAATATCATACGTAGTACTAGATCAATAACTGGCTGGGTTTTGTTTCTTGGTTTTATTTGGAAATCTGGTTTCGGTTTCATTGTAACAAGGGCAATAGACTCCGGCTGAGGAGTTCTTGAAAACAAGATAGGAGTTGGAATTGATGCCAAAAGGAAAATAGAGAAGAATGTTTATCAAATTTTTCCAACTCGTCGAGAATGGACAACGCCACAAGCTATCTGGAGTCGTGCGTTGTGAATATACCTAGTCAAGTACAGAGGAGATGTCAAGAGAAGGTGTGTGAGGGGATATTCTCTGAAAATTCTAGTCGTTGAGATGACCCAGGGTGATTAAAAGAAGGAAATTTATAAGACTTGGAATGATAGTACTCCGTAGAAAAGAGATGTCCATTGATCCCGGCATACCCTCTGAGGCGTTTATTATTGTCATAGTCTGAAACCAAGGGCTTGGAAATGTTGTAAGAAATTTGACAATGGTCCAGAGAGTAAAGCTATGTGCGAGGATATCGAATTGAGGAATTTGAGTAAGGACCCGTATAAATGCTATGATGTGGGAGCATTGTACTGCTCTTGGCGATAACAAAACGACACTTGATGCTTACATTATTGTTTCAATGGCGCATCTTCTTCAAGGGGCTTTCTGGACGGTCGGAGGTGTCAGCAGATCTTTTCCGAGAGGGCTTGCGTGACTTCGGTTGACATGCATGAGTAACTTCGCCAGAAACTGACGGCGATGGAAACTGAAGCACTGCAGATGGCATGCTCGGAGTTCTTGGGGGATATGGTGAAGCTTGGTTGACATTAGGATATGTCTGATCCCAAGGCGACCTCGGGGGAGAAAGGATATTAGAGTATATCGGACTAGCCATGGTATTCATATTGGCCGGAGGTATGTTGCCGGCTACTCCACTTTCAGGAGTACACATTTGATCTTGGCGGAAGCTGACGGATGATCTAGCCTCAAAGTTCCCAACGGGGTATGTGTGGTAGGCTGGTTGTGTCCCGGATGAAAATTGCTGAGTAACCGGTGGCTGTAAACGCACCATAGGACTGGTGTGAGGGCTCGGTTGATGAAAGGCAGCAGAGAGCTGGCTCAGATGCTGCTGAACAGTTGGAGGCATTTGTTGGTTCACATATGCTGGGTTAGAGGAGCTGCTGCTGGCCAAGGCTTCTTGTTTCGGGGTAGAGAAAGGGCTCGCAAGGGGGCGTCGAGCTTCATCCTCAGCAGCTCCGTCATCCTCGGCAGCTCTCTTGGCTATGACCTTCTTGCCAGCATCTATAGTCTGCTTTTTCTTCGCATTTAGAGTCTTATTGGAGTCAACACGCTGTTTATATATCCGTCAGTTATATCCGCTCAGTCTTGAATAGAGTATATGTAAGAAATTCTCACACTTAAACATGAGTTCGGGTCATCCACGAATTGGAGTAGATAGTAAGGGTCTAGCAAATGACGGCAGACTGTCTTGCGGGTCTAACAGAGAAGGTTAGTTAGCCTGGGTCGTCAGAGAGCAAGGAAAAAGTATCGAACCCTCAAAATTCTAAGCATATCGCCAAAACGCTCTGCGAAGTTCTGCTTATTCTTTCTAGTTTTGTTTTTCAAAGCTTCTTCTTCTGGTGTAAGGAAAGGCCCAGCTTCTTGTCGCACAATACAGCAATCCTAATAGGAGTCAGTTCAATGTTATATTTTGACAAATATAAGATAAACGTACTAAAATGTTCCAACAGCATATTTCAATCTTTCTGTCACTAAATTTTTTAGTCGCAAAGGGCTTAATCATTCCCCAATTATCTGTAGCGCATTCAAAACTCCTCATAGCCTTTATAAGTTTGATAACGCACTCCTGCCGCTCATAGGTAGTTCGTGGAATGGTAGGATCAAATGGCATAGGCCGCCTATCTGGGCGATAGTCATTGGCTTCTTTTGAGGAGGAAAACTGCAGGGTGACTGTATCGCTAGGGTCTTTATAATTCTGCCTTTCGTCCTTGATCTCAACAGGACCATCATTGCGGCTTGGATCATTCTGGAGACTCCATGTCATAAGCGCTGGTCGGGCTATGGCAGGGTTTCCAGGAGCCTGGTCATAAGGGGGCGATGAGCTGTACACATTGGAAGTAGAATGGCCAGTGGCTGTTTGCAAATCTTGAGTTACCCCAGGATTCATGTTATTCTGATTTGGGTACGGTTGTGGGGGCTCAACTTGCGGGCCGGCAGTATAGGCTGCAAATGCTTCGTAAAAAGTCCGGTCATCTACATTCTCAGTGTCCAAATCTGCATTGTGATCATGCGGTGATTGCTTTAGCTCTCCAGTTCCATCTGTAGTAGCTGACTGAGGTGTCCGGAACTGCTTGCTCGATTGAACTGGACTAGTATTGTAGGCCACTTCAGAAAAAGATGAAGCCTGGGCGTTCTCAAAATTATGTGTCTGAGGGTTCTTTGGAGCTAGATCGGCGTCACACATCCGGTCTGGTGAGCCAGTCAGGTTGAATAAATCATCGAATTCAAAGAGGTTATTGTCTGTAGTTTGGTGCTCCTGTTGCTCCTGTCCCTGTTCAACAATTTCTATAAGAGCCAATCGTCAGGTGTTAATAATTCAAATTCCATAGTAGTAGTGTAGTCTACCATATATGAAGGATAACTTATTGCCAGGGGAACATACCTTGACCACCTTCAGCATCTACAGCATTAGTTTGATTCTCTGCTTTGAATTCTAGTTCTGTAGATTCCTCGCCATCGACGGCACCCCCTTGGTCATGCGAAGGGCCGGACTGGTCAATATCGTACCTACTCAGGTAAGGGATAAGCACAGACGGACGCTTATTTAGAGTAATAATATAGCTTGGAATAGCCTACGCATAGTTATGCAGCGCCATCAGACCTGCTACGTCATCACTTGCGAATTTTGACATGTCCTCTCCGCCGAAAACATAGGAGTGATTCATTTTTTGGCTGTCAAAAAAACACGCTCATCAGCATGTATCCTCGGACATGGAACGGAAGAAAGCTGCTGATGGTATTTAACTTGAATACGGGCTATAAGCTCACAGTATTCAGGGGAACAGGTCTAAGAGCTCACCTGAACTTTCTGAGGAGATGGAATAACTAGCTGGGCGAGGGCCTTGCTTCTCGACCGTAAGAGTTAGTGAGTTATTGGGATGTCAGTGAACCCGTTAGTCGACAAAATAGCTCGAGCCGGTTGTCGCAGACAGTGGGAACAGGTATCGAAGCGTGCAGACAGGCAGTTTGAGTGAGTAGTCCCGATGAGAAATAGAGAAGTCAGGCAGTGGATAGCATCAGAGCTGTGGAAGCAGTAACGTTGGTACGATGAAGAGTGGTGAAGAAGATAAATAATTTGGAGCTGGAAGAAGTTTGAAGATGAAGATATAGACGTGGTCGAGGGGGTTCCATTGTCTAGTTGACCATTCACTGTCTGAACGGGCTGCCACTCCCGGATTTCCGTCAGTCGTGAATGTAGACCTCACATCGCCGCCGTAGACTATGGGGAATCGTACATTAAACCCGCCTACCTACGCATGCGTAAGTTCCCGAGGGTGAGTTATCAGATCCTCAGTTCAATGAATCAATAATAGATCAATAGCCGGGTACCGGGAGATCCCTTCGAGTACCCAAATTTCAATAAACATCTCGGCCAGCTGACATCCATTGACAGGTATTGTGCAAAGGACCTAGGTCAGCGCTGCACTAGAGCAACAAAGAGGTTCAACTGCCCCCATATTTGAGCAGTTCTCACTTGCAGCGATTCGTGCGTCGACATTTGACTAGCTAATACCAAAAGCGATAGAATAATTGCGTGCTTTGAACAATAGGATGGCTGCCTGTGCTGCTTTTTGTTGAGCAAGTTCGTCTCTAAGCCGGTGTCAGTCCCAGATCAGGGCTTCATCCGCATAGCGCAAGGCAGATCATTAAGTTGTGTTAGCGAACACGGTACACTCTGAGACTTGGTAGAGGTTGTAGCAAGTATTAACCTCTAATAGTATCTCGATAAGAGGTTAGTTATATCTCGAAATACTGGCATCAGGTAGACAATCTAACAAGGGCTGAGGTCTTCAGAAGGGTATCATCCGGGGTTAATAGAGTGAATCATGCTGTCTGCTTCTGCTTCTGATATCTATCACTAGCGAGAGCTCAAACCGGCAACTCTTACTCTCTAGCTAGTGCCGTTTTTCCTGCGACAGGAATTTGATGCTTCTGTTGTGTACGATAAACGAGGCAGGTTAATTTAAACTCTTTAACTTTCTCGTCCACTTCCGGATTAGGCCACAGATCTCGCCGCTTTTCCTTCTCGCTAACTCACACCGGAATAGTACAATAGACAGTACTATAGAGTGTAAACTAGTATACCTGAATACCCGCTATGACTTCCTCTAGAGATTTATCATGAAGGGCGTGAAATAAATATTATTGAAAGCTGACGTTGGTTTAAAGTAACCGCGAGACGAACTCGTTAACTAGTTAAGTTAACCAATTGCCTCAGATTACTAAGTAACTTGTTAAGGGGCGTTGCCACAAAGTTAGTTACAACTAAGTTAACTAACAAGTTACCCCTTCGATACCCCTTAATTTTATCTAGCTTAGGAACTCTATTGCGGATCTGGGAGTTTGGTGAGTAACCGGAAGATATGGCGGGATTCCATGTCCATGCATATAACTATATAACTATAACTTACGGAGTATATATGCGCACTTTACTCTGTAGTTATGTGGTTGAGCGAACTCGCATTATTTTTTCCCTTTCCGCCCATCTCCTTCTGGTGGAGTTGGTCAGTGGGAATATATAACACTGTCAGGATATGTACAGTAACTAACTAGCTTAGTCAGCCCACACCCATATATAGGCGCTGCAAATTCTGCCTGTAACTACACCTTAGCAAGCTCATCGTTATCACCAATTCAACACGGTTATTCGTTCGAATCTCTTTAACCAATCATTTTCAATTTTATGCTGCTGCCAATTTAACAAATATCCAACTCCAATGCCTTGATACCTGCCTACGGTACTCCGTACGCGCAATAAGGCGTCAATAATCAACAAGTTAACTAACCGACCAGCCTGACTACCTTGATAGCACTTCGAGTGCTTAGAATAATCATTCACCGGAATAAAGGGGCTGAACACGAAGGACGACGAATGACGGCCGCATTAATTTGCCTCCCTGTACGGGGTACACGGGGGTTATATATACCCCTATGAGTATGGTTCGCGTCCACGGCTAGCCCACGACAAACTTGGATGCTTGAAGCCAAGTGAGTTGGCAGCTACCAACTCGCCCCAACAGCATGCTGGGGTATAAATTCGGAATATGTGGAAGAGAAACGAGATAACACCAGAAGAGGAGTATGCTCTTCTCAGACTGTTGCTGAACCCGCTTCATCATAGGGCAGACAGGATCATCTATGCACTGTTATACCGTATCCATTATCAATACTTGAAGACAGAGCCAAAAGGGTGAACCCACAGTAGTGGACAGTAGGGTAAGCTTTTATCTTTGGTAGCTTCTTACCTCATAAATGGTATCAAGCTTCTTGGCCGATGATTCTAAGGTTTCGTCCAGTCTTCCGGCTTGCCGCTGTTGGTTACGCCTAAAGTCCCGAGCCTTCACTTGCCCTACACCCTGGGTTTGGAGCATCAGAGTAACTGGCTACTTACCACCTGAATGGGGAAACTTATAATAACTGCCGGGGTTCGCATCTGGTTCTAAGTTAAAGTAAGAAAACGAGAGGGTTTGACTACCTAGCAGTCAATTGGAACAACTTCACTTGATATAACTTTGAAACGAGTTTTATCCCAGTCGACAGTAACGGTGTGTACCAGCTAGAAGAGGGCGCACAATCCGTAACAATTTACCTCCGTTTGCCACTGCACTTTCAAAATACCCGGCTCTCGTCCATGCTAAGATAGACGATGGCGTCACCGTTGCAGTCAATGATTCCGCAGACCGCATTGACGAAGCTGCAGAAGTCCTGCGATTTGTGTGCGGCATCGAAAGTTGAATGCACAAAAGAGACGCCAGGCTGTGCTCATTTTGCTAAACCAGACCATCCATACGTCTACAGTACCGTGAAATGTGCAGGCCGTACCTCCGGAAAAAACGATGATGGCAATGAAATGACGACAATAATAACGACGTTGAGCTGCAGTACCGGCGGCATTGAGAGTGACGGCATCTCGAGGTCCTATATTCACGTCCCGCCAAACAACCGATACCGCCACCCACCTTCGGCCCAACGACTCTAGGATATAACGACCCTGACAATTTGGCCAGGGCCAAGGAATGTCCGACGTAGAGCCTCATTCCATCCGATCCGCAGGAAGTTATACCGCACCCTCTTGCAACAGGATGCTCAAGTTGGCCTAGCAGCTATGGTCTCATGTTCCACCTTGGTCTCGCGGTATGTTTGTGTATCATGCAGCATTTCCGACTGCAATTCAGAAAACCCTCTTCACTATATGATAATCTGGACTATACGTGGCTATCTCGCGAAGTATCGTCTCCAGCTGCACTAAGTACCCTGGTTTCTAAGAAGCAGCCAGATCCGCACTATGCCATTGGTATTTCCTATGCTCTACGCATACTAGGTGCGATACAAATCTTATGGCCTCGCTATATATTAAAGAGTATCTCTAGCTTGGTTAATTTCACTTCCTCTCCTTACCTATATTAACCTCCTTCAAGATTTGAAAAGAAGGCCCGTAGAGAACCATATAGATGTAGCCTAGAAGGCTATGGCTCATAACTATATGTTACATATAGCAGGTTCAAACCTAGAAGAATATAAGGACTTCTTTCTCTTCTCTCGAATAGTTCTTCAGGCCTAGAAGGCAAATGAAAGTAGTACTCGAGAACAAGGCAGGATACTAACGACTCTAGATATTGTATTAGATATCAAGTAAAAGATTTATTAAATAACAACAAATTTCATGGGTAATACTGACACGTCAAACACTCTTAATGAAGTCATGATAATAATGGGAAGCTAGGGTTTAACTTGGATTCGCTGAAGTACCCTGAGTTATTCCAATTCAATACTATAGAGGAGCTTTTAAAAACTAACTAGAGTATGAAGTGTAGTATCACTACTCCTGGTAGTTATCTCAATTGACTAACTTATTCATTATAACTGTTACGGTATAGTACGAAACCCTGTAGTAGGGACCAGCACCGCAAATGTACAGATTGAGATCGGTAAACAGAAGCAGTCAAGTTAATGCCCATATTCTTAAGCTATTATCCACTTGACGTGCAGTTCGGCCCACAAATCCCAGTTCATCGGTGCTGCCTTCGGGGGAAGAAGGATACTGTTTTTGTCCCGAGCACGTAGCCAGGACACCCCCCGCTGGATGGACAGCCGTACTCGCTATAGGGTCTAAATCCATGTGTCAGTTAGCAGAGTAGATGAATATATTCGGCTAACTATCAGGGAGAGAGAACTATACTTACCGTGATGGACCTTCTCCTCCCATGTTGGGCGTAATCCTCCTTCAGCATGGCATGGCTGTTTCCACATCCGCGCGGCACCATCAGTTCCACCAGCCCAAAGCTCCGAGGACCCATTGATGTCGATAAATGCAGCGTCTAATCTTTGGTTTGTATCTGCTCCTCTGCCTTCAAGCCATCCCACGAGTTGTCCTGTTACCCTGATATCATATACCAATGCCCCATCGCTCTTCCTCTCCAGAACGTATAGGTATCGGCCGCAACGGCTCCAGAGAACCTGCGTCACACCATTGCCACCGATTATCTTATCTGCAGCGGTATCTGCGATGCTAAAGGTCGCGATAGTGTCACCAACTCCATTATCTCCGTAGAGGCCGATCTGTCTGGTAAATGTGCCCACAGCAAGTATTCCACTGCCGCTATTCTCAACTGACATTGCTGAAATTATCCCTTTCATACCTACGCCTCCTCCTACTAGCTTTTTTCGCTTACTTGGGATAGTAAGCAACCTAGAAACTGGCCCTTCCTTTCCCGGTCGCGATATATCAAACAGACAAATCATACTGTCACATCCAGCCAAGAAATGTGTGCCGCCAAGGCTAGGGGGGTATAGAAGAGAGTGGGGGGTTATAAAGGCCTCTGTTGTTGGTGATATGAGGCTATAAGACCCAAGGAGTCCAGGGTACAGGGCGGAATTCAGCCGGATGGGGTGGTCCCTAAGACCAGAAAGCAAACAAGCAGTTGACGGATCTTGTAGCTCATAGAACGGGTATAATGCCACTGAATAGATAGGTTCCTTGGAGGGAATGGTGTGATACGGCTGAAGGATATGGGGCTTATCCCGGTCTTCTAGAAGATCCGGAGGCCTTCTCATAAATTAGCAATACTAAACCAGGCGAGGCTACTCTAGCGATACAAAGAAACATACAAAATAAATGATCGTAAATGGTTATCAGCCGAATTGGTGATAATCGTAGTTCCATCTGGGGACCTGAAGTGGTGAGCATTTTGTTTCTTAAATAATTCCACGGATAAGAATAAGAGGACCTCCTTACCACTGGGCATTTTTAAAGTAATTAGACGCCAACCATTCACGAGTGCCATACTCTACAGACCTGTCTGTATCTGCAAGCTCATCACTGCTGGCGTAGCAGGCCACACATTTCATCCCTGGTCCATCGTCGATTGAAGATTGCTGCATGGCCCACACTCCATTCACTTCCTTGCATCATATATCATGCCGCACAACATTATCCCGAGGAGAAGCCGTGGGTGCAATGTGATATAGCTGTAACTAGGATTGTAGCTGTAGCTGTCGTTGTAGCTGTGGTTGTATCTGTCGTTGTGGAAGCTGAGTTGACGTTGATAGAAATGATCGATGTTGCCAAGACATCTGCCGCCAAGACATCGCGAAAGCTCCCAAAAAGCAAAAGAAAAACAGCTTAAAAAAACACATAAAAAACATCTCGATCAAAAGGATCAACTTTGCATATTATTTGCCAGAAGAGAAAAGAGAAACGAAGGGAGGATTAGGCCAGTACTCGGCGACAGCATATTCTCTTTCCTCCCGGCGTCCTCCCGCGCGCCAACTTATGCGATAACCGGTCCTCTCCTTTTGGGCAAAAAACCGAACTCCCCTGCCCTGTCACCATGTTCTCCCAGAATCCTTCCACGACCGGCGGCTTGACAGTGAATACCTCCACTGCAAACTCACTATTGTAAGTCAATCAGGGCTGGACGTCTAGCTGCTTTGCCTGTTTATGTACGCGGTTTTATCTTTGATGAAGGACTACTCGGAGAGTCGTTGTTTACTCTGACTGCCCATCCGCATCATACCAACGGCGAAGCACCTACACAAAGAATAGGACTAGATCTGTTCATAGAGTCTAGAAGAGGCGAAGAAAAGATACTTATCATATTTGGCTTGCCTATAGTGGCGGAACACCCCAGACGGCAACGACGTCAACATCGGCCGGCGGGCTCTTCGGAGGCACCCTAGGAGCCGCAGCGACATCGCAACCGCAGTCAGGAAACTTGTTCTCAGGGCTAGGGGCCACCGGAAGCCAGACGCCACAGAAGAGCCTGTTTGGTGCCGTTGGGAGCAGTGCGGCTACCACAGCTTCAACACCGGCAACATCCCAACCAGCGTCCGGAGGCTTGTTTGGAGCCTTGGGAACATCACAGCCCCAGCAGCAGAACACGCTCGGCAGCGGCTCACTATTCGGCAGGACGACAACGTCAGGCGCCCAGACACAGCAAACCACTGCAACAACCAGCGCGCCATCGTTGTTTTCCTTGGGTACTTCAAACGCTAACCAAGCACAGGCAAAGCCATCTTTGTTTGGAGGAGCTACACAGACTACGGGAACATCAGCAAATACAGGGGGAATATTGTAAGTGTCATTGAATTCTCCCGTTTCTTTTTCTTTTCTTTCTTTTCTTTCTTTCTTTTTTACACGCTACCCAATTCGTGTGCCCCAGGTTAACGTATTTCTTACATATTCAGTGGGAACACCGTCCAGCAACCGCCTCAACAGCAGCAGCAGCAGGGCCCTACCTTATCTCTATTCCGAAACACAACTGGGCCATTGAAACAGGACCAACCAACTGGAACAAATGTTGTATCGGGCGTTAAAATTGACGTGTCCAACCTCGTACCTACGACCAAATTCGAAAACTGCAGTGACGAACTAAAAAAAGAAATCGAAGCCATAGATACCTTCATTCTTAATCAGATACGGATGTGTAACGAGGTATCAGACCTGCTGCCTACTATATCTGCCCAGGGGGCGATGATACCCAACGACGTTGAATTTGTACAAGGGAAACTAGACACACTTCAGGAGGCCCTCGAAAATGATGCTAACGGCATCGAACATGCCCGTAACCTTGCAAAGCAAGATGCAACGGAAGCGAGACTGGCCTTCCGCACTCTAGATACGCTACTTTTACCCCTGCAATACCAACCCAGCCCCGGTGAGCGATGGTGGCCAGCTGGCCAACAAGGTCAAGCAATGTCCAAACATCCACTACGGCCCACCATTGGGCTTCGTCACGGCGGGACCCTTGCACTCCCAGAGGGGATCGAGGCGGATTCTACTAATTCTTCGCAAAATGAACCCGGAAGCCTCGTTGATTATTTCTCTCAGCGGACAGACGACATGGGCTCTGTACTCGAGGAATATCGGAAGAACCTAAAAGAAATAGAAGACCACCTATACAATGTTGAAGATTCCCTTCAGCGGAAGATCCACGCCCTGGTTTCCTCGCGGGGCAGAGATAGCGGAAGCATCGCGAATACACAATCCTCCCGTGTGCGGGAACTTGCTGCAACGCTGGGAGATGTTGAGACTGCTATCCTAGGTGTCGCTAGCAGAGTTGGCACTGCTAAAGAGGAGGTCCAGGAATTAGTTTTGGGTCCAATGGGAGTTAATGGTACTGGGATAGGGAATGGATGGCAACCCAGAGCGTACTAACGACTTGCTATGTCTCAATGCTATGTTGTTCTCTTTTTGATCTTGTCTTTCTCCCTTTCCCGTTTCTCCCTTACATCGTGTTAGCATTCGCCACCTCCTTAACTTGCCCTCTTCTGCCAACGCAAATCCGCTTCACAGGTAGACCAGGACCATTCAGTTCTAACCTGCAGCTTTGGAATGCTCAACGCCGTCCAGCCCGTTCACCGTACTTTATCTTACGTATACCAGTCTGTATTTTACTCTCCGCCTTTTCTCCAGGGTACCCGACCTAAAATTCCATAGAAAAGATGCACGTCTAATACTGTGTGTGCAGAATCTTCAGCTATACTACCCATCTCTGTCCTCTTCATATTTCCGAGCATTGTGGTCAGCGCGTTAGTGGCCAGGTTGAGTGCCGCCTTTTGTGTTGCTTATCGTCCCAATTTGACTTACGTCGTCCACCGACTGACTATTAAGCAACATCATCTGCAACTTCCATGCTCTCTTATGACAACAACAACTTTCATCAGCAAAACACCACCGAAGAATCCAACAGAGGAACCAATACCAAGTATTTATCGGCGTTCTCAACCTTATGGCGCCAGGCTCGAAGGAACCGTCGTTGCTCGAATATGCCCGTTATCACGGAATCGCGTTGGAGCAAGAGATATTTAGTCACAACATGGCCCTTGATGGACTTAATCCACCCAATTCCCGGACAATGAACCATAGTGAACTGCATTGCTTCGTGGAAGACGACCAAAAGGGGGCCCTGGAGTCTATACAGGGTATTGATTCTGCGAAAATTCCCCTTACTAGAGCTAGCAGTGAATTGCTATCCTATGTCCTCAGGCTACATAAGGAATATATGAACACTAATCCTAGGACTCTTTCGCATACCCTTTTACCAGACTGGTACAAAGTTGAACAGCTGAAGATATCTTCATCTATCCCTGAACAAGGCGCATCACGGGGTACCATATCAGCGTTAACGTTCTTAATGCGTGATCCGTCGAACCTGCAAACAACGTTAGAGAAGCTCAATGTTGAACCTGATGAAGGACTGGAATTTCCAACTCTGTATACGGACCTGAAGGACAAGATTCTAGCGGAAGTTGCAGGTGAAAAGCTCGTGTGTCGTCCCACAACAGCTTCACTCATACTGGAAACTCTGAGCCATGAAAAAGTGCGCAAGTTGGAATATCAGAAACCAACCTACCATCACCAGCCGAATGATGTTTGTTCCCATCCATTCGTTACCAGACCATGTGCCAGACTTTTTTTTTAACTGACGTGACGCGGGCTGAATAGAAACTAGAAAATTTCGAGCTGTGTCCACGCATAGAGAAGAGTAAAGAAACCAACCATAGCAGCGTTGTTAAAAATGCTACAAATACCGGTCGGCAACTTTTGCCAGCTGTACCGCGAGGTCCTCTCCTGCCGGGTCTATTCTCAGCCTCCGACAGCGTTTCCAGCTTCATTGAAACTCATGGGAAAAGACCGCCCTGGAATAACAATAACATGTCCAATTCAAAACTCCATAGCTTTGCCAATTTCCACAATACCAAGGTACCTGACCAACAGTTGCAAACAGCTGAGTTTCTGATTCCGCGAAAAACTTCACCCGAGGCAGGTTTATATACCATTCCCCTTGACGAACTGCCCACTACTATTAGCTCCCAAAAACCCATGGTACTCTTTCTGTCTACAGACCTCCTAAGAACTCACGGGCCGCTCGTCCACAAACTGGAAACCCTCTCAAATCCGCCTACCCTGATTTTTCAAGACCACTCTACACCCCATTCATATAATATGGGCGAAGGATTATGTTTGCGAGATGCAGATATAACACTTTCCCCCACGGTAGGGATGCTTTTGGCAACTACCATAGATTTCATGCAGCTACATCTGCCAGGACACTCTATTCAACTTGAATCCGATATAAAATTAAACTCACCTTTCCAGGAGAAAATATATCGAACTTGCAAGAAGTATGACGAACTTTATATCTTTACTCTCCACCATGCGGATCCATCAACTCCCCTAGTCTCAGTAAAGCAAAATACGTTCAACGCAATGGCCACAATTGGCGCCTTCTGCAACTCAATGAATATATATTCAAAAGTAAGGGTGCTCAATGTCACTTCGGACGTCACAAATCTCGCTCACTGGGTTATCAATCTCGGGAAACGTCATCAGAACTTGGTATTACAAAGTGATATTGAACGCATCATTAGCGGACTCAACGGCTTGCCTCCACAGCGTCACTCTGGTGCCTCTGATCTTGAACCTATATCCAGCACCTTAGACGAACAATTTCTTACACAATGCTTAGCATTGAACCATTTTGCTGCTGCATTAGTTGTTCATATCCTGCTTCCTTCACTGGAGCAAACCCAAGAAATAGACCAGGGGTTGTTGCTTACGGCTAGCTGTCCTGACGAGGAGTCCACTACATTTCCGGTGAGCAAACGGCTCACCATCGGCCTAGGTCGTCTTATTGATGGTAAGCCAGAAGAAAAGGCTTATGCTGTATACTTGCTTGGAGAACGAGCTTTCTCGCGAGTAAGGGATCGCAGACGCCGTATGCTTCTCAGCCCATTTGTACCAATGCTAGTTAGAGAATAACGATCCAGTATAACACATCCAGGTTTGGATCAGTCTGCTTGATTACTCAACGTCAATAGAGACTAGAAAGCAGTTATCTATATCCATACTCCCTTATGCTGTTGGGAAATTTTACAGATAAAAGTTATTTAATCAGACACAAATATGGAGATGGAACAAAGACGATAACCCGAATCAATGTTGAGGGGAGATATCCTAGCATGCACACATTCTCTTCCGGTTCTTGTACCCGCAGGCGATATGTAGCAGAATGCCACATCGGGATCCAAAAATGAGTCATCTGCTTGTATATAAAGTAGATAGCGTCAGGCCTTTATATCCTAACTTCATTCTTCAAGTACATTTACTCCAGTTTCAGATCTCTTCATGTGGATGAAAAAAATGAAGTGGGCAAAAAAAAAAAAAAAGTAGCAAACACCAAGGAACAGAAAATGGAAAGAAACTCCTTTCGCTGGCTCTCTTTTGCTATCTTCAGTTGGCCAGGATGACCGACTCCGTAAGTCCGATGGATGTTGCATTCGTTATATTACATATTATTGTACAGAATCGGTCTGAACAACCAATCAGTGGGTAACTATGTGTAGCCGATTTCGCGTGTCGATTTGGTTCAAAGTCCCGTGGACCATGTATATTCACTCTCTGAACTTGGCCAACAGCCTATGGAAAGATAAGTTAGTTTCACCACGAGAGGTTTACGGCGGAAGAATTATATCAACATACTCATGGTCTCGGAACAAGGAGTATTCTTCTTCTCCAAGCTTTACGGGGCTTCCTCCAAACTAATCAATAGCAATGCTTGTCAGCACTTGTCACACAGGCTTCCAGAAAAGAAGGCTCGACTTCATTGAGACCAATTAACACAGTATTGACGCACCTGGGGAACCAAAACCCGGTCACCTGGAGCAACGCTCATGGCAATTCGCTTGCCGTCCTTGTCCAGAGCTCCAGGTCCAACGGCAAGGACCTTGGCCTCGTTGAGCTCCTTGACAGAGCTCTCCGGAAGGAAGATTCCAGAGGCAGTCTTCGCTTCAGATTTGATACGCTGGACCAAGACACGGTCGAGGAGAGGAGCGAGGTTCTTTACGCTGCGGAAGGCCTGGATATACGCCGAATTGAAGCTTGATTAGAAAGGTACTCCAAAAATGCGGAGACGGAACAGCGGACTCACCATTGTTGACGTCTATAGGGGATGCAGAGGCAGAGAATATTATAAAGCAACGATTAAAAGAAAAGATAGGTAGCGAATTGAACGGATTGAATACCTATAACTTGTAATTGCATCAAAGTTGAAACTGGAGAAGAGAAGAAGAAGGAAGAAGTTTTTGTTTTCACCTTCGCGATTAAGGGAAAAAAAAAAACCCCCAAGAAATTTCCAGAAAATATGCCAAGACAACCATAGCTTGTTATCGAAAACGGTTTAGCGCTTTCCAGGCCGAGAAAGGCAACATGTTTATATCAGAGATGGGGGAGACAACCACGGAGGAATACACCTAGCATTATCCCATTATCTCATAGCTGGTGGTGTGCAGGGCTGGATAATTTCTGCAAATTTGATGGGCTATCTATTTTTATCTCGATCTACCATCTTCGCATGCCCTTCCCCCTTGCACCAGGATTGCTGTACGCTCCATGCTGGTCATAACTCCCGTATCCCATCTGTTCCTGCCCGGTAGCTTGTCCAGAAAAGGCTTGTCCACCAGCCTGGCCTCCATACCCGGTTTGAGGCACCTGAGGGTTACCAGCGCCAGGCTGGCCACCTCCCATCATAGCCTGTGCATGTTGCATGAAAGTCATTGGGTCCATTGATGAAGGGTCCATGCCTTGGGCCATCATGCCGGCAAACACTGCCTGCATCATGTCCGGGGAGAGATCTGGCATCCCAGAAGGCATCCCCGGCATGGCATTCTGTGATCCTGGCCCAGCTGCTCCTTGAGGAGGGCCGGGAGTACCTCTACCACCCGTTCCTCCGCTCCCTCCGCTCCCTCCCCCGCCAGCCACCGCTCCAGGTATTAGTCCAGGAAGAGGCGGTGCTGGGCCGCCTGGTACCGGCATTCCCGGCAGGCCTCCAGGAAGACTGAGGAATGCCTGCATATCCTCCATCTGCGACTTTTGGTCGTTAATGTCTTTTCTCAGGCTTTGCTGCTTGAGGCAGTAGCTTGCCCATGTGAACTCGTCAAACCCATAATTGAAATAATCATTGATATCTGAGCCGGGTCTTCTCCAAGGCTTATCGTCTTCCGTAGGAAAATCTGAATCTAAATCCGTAGAAAGAATCGGTTTGTTGGTTGAAGGGTGGACAGGGTTAGCCGATACATCGATCGTCGACGTATGGTGAGCCGGATATGAGGACCCTGGCTTTTGAGGAGCTGCAGATTTCGTGGTGGCAGCAGGAGTTACGGACGGCGTCCCGGGCTTTGGAGTGGGGTGCAGTGTTGCACCTTTGGAGGCTGCACTGGCAGGATCAGTTGCAGATTTTTGGGGTTCGTTTCGATGCGCGGGATGGCGAGAAGTTTGTCTGTTATGATTTTAGTAACCGCTTGGGTCTCACCAAGATGCGTTTTTCGCTTGGGTAAAATCTTACGTAGTAAGCTCTGCAACTACCTCTGGGGGAGCTTCAGTGATGATTTTGAAATCGTCCTACACATAGCTTGCGGTTAGTCAATTGAACGAGCATCAGCGGCAGAACAGTCTATTGGCGCATACTTCATCGTCTTCTTCTTCTTCTTCTTCTTCTTCTTCTTCTTCTTCTGCCTCCTCCTCTTCGTGGCCTTGTCCTTCTGTCATGCCTATGTCTCCGCTTTGGTGCTCTGTGTTCTGAGCTGCAGAGGAACCAGAAGGCGCTACATCTGTCGGATCGTAGAGATCATCATCATCTTCCTCCATGGCTGGCGTTCGACCGAATAGTCACCACGGCAAAGTCAATGTTTTCTTGAATGTTCTCTTTCAATATGATAAGGTATATCCTGCGCCAACAGGATAAACCGTACGCTTTGGTGGTGGTATCGCGTAAATAGAAATACGCCTTGATCCAAGTCGAAATACCGAGCTCCGAGGCAACACTATCTCGTTTTACGCACTGCCACGCTGGAACTTAAGGACGACTCGTATGCGCTTCGGTAACGAGAGAAATGGGCATATCCTGTAAATCTTGCAGCCATTGAAGGTTTGATGCCTTTGAGCTCGAGGGAGCTTGTCAAGGTCACGTGCTTGATGAAGTCAAACTTCCGTGTTACTTATTAAGTAGATAGTTGATTCACGTGACAGCCAAGTGGGCCCGACTAGGTATTTTATCTTGCTTGGCTCTCACTAACACGGACAAGATGACGATTACGTAAGGCCGAGAGCTGGCTACCTGGACCTCACGCTCGGTGTCCTACCAGAAAAGCCGAGATGGTTCTTGAGATACCTCTGTTAAAAGATTCTTCAACCAAGATAACATAACTTGACTGCCAAGCGACTTGGATACTAGCGGGGAGAATAGAGGCTCGTTTTGTCGGTTTTTGTTTCGCACCAGCGTGATGTCTGCACCCTCCGAACCGCCTAGTAGGACCTCAACGCCTCGGTCTTTTACGAACCAGTCGACCACCGCAGAAGACCTCTTTAAGTCGCAAACAGTTGGCTTGGTGAAACTATCAGATTATCGAAAGAGACGAGCAGAAGTTCTTGAACAAAAAGAACGAGAAGCACACGATAAGTCCTTAGGCAGGTTTACCCCCGGGACGTCCAGGAGCGGCACACCATCCGCAGGAGACAAGGCAGACGGGTAAGTGAGATACAGTCACATCCTACTTACTTTTTATATCGCAGGATATGCTTGCTAATTGTCAAAGTGCAGTGAGCAGAGTGATGAGCCGCTGAAGAAGAAGAAGAAGAAAGTTCGGGCTCTCGCAAAGAGTAAGCTTTCGTTTGGCAATGATGAAGATGAGGGAGAGACCGAGGATACACCCAATATATCCCGCGATCCAAGTGAAAGCAGATCTCGGTCAGGCACACCGCGCGAGTCGAGCCCAAAACCGCCTCGACGATTAGCTCCAAATCCGCATTTGACGCTTCCTCGACCGAAACTGGTAACAAAATCTGCTCTTGAAGCAGAGTCAAAGGCTAGGGATGCTCTCCGGCGAGAGTTTCTAGCCCTCCAGGAAGTAGTCAAGGCGACTGAGATAGTGATACCGTTTATCTTTTATGACGGAACAAATATACCGGCTGGTCAGGTTACTGTGAAGAAAGGAGACCCTGTATGGCTGTTTCTTGATCGGTGCCGAAAAGTCGGTGCAAAGCTAGGGCTTGCGGGCGCCGGGGGTGCGGCAAGGGGGCGAAAGGACCACCGCAGAGAATGGGCCAGAGTAGGAGTCGACGATCTAATGTTAGTTAGAGGCGGAGTCATTATCCCACACGTAAGCTCCCCTTGGCTGACCTGGTTTCTTTTTTGTCAACTGATGCTCATGCCGTTCTAGCACTATGAGTTTTACTACTTCATTGCCAATAGAATATCCAATTTCTCTGGCAATGGCGGGCTACTGTTTGACTACTCAGATGCTGCGCCGCCAACTTCCTCCGAAAATAACAGCAACGCAACGCCTGTGCCCGAAGGGAAGGACGCAGACCCAACCCTGACGAAGGTTGTTGATAGACGGTGGTTCGAACGGAATAAGCACATTTTTCCAGCAAGTCTCTGGCGTGAATATGAACCAGGACCCGAATTTGAAGAGAAGATGCGTGGAGTCCGACGGGACAATCAAGGGAATGCATTCTTCTTCTAGTAAACTTCCGGCGTTCGTTTGTATCGCTGTCCTTTCTATTTTCTGCGCCATCCTCAAATGGAGTTAACAGAGCGGGAAAGCGGGTGCATCATCTTTGGTTATCGGCTTTTTTTCCAACTACTTCTTATACCCCTCACATGTTTCTGCCTAGCGAAGAAAGTTAGCGTGTAATTCTTGCCATCTCTATATACCCGAGCAGAGTACGGAGTATTCAAACCTATGCTTCGAAAACCTGCAGAAGAAAGAAATGGATAAAAATGTTCTGCCGATAAGGGAAATAACGAGAAAAAAAATATATATATATACACACACGTGATCATGCAAGTTGGTACTTCCTAATAAGGAAACTGTGACTTTTGTGTTGCATTTGTTTACATCTCAAGTTTTGCTTCAAATTTTGCATCTTCAGATCCTAACTCTGCGTCCATTAGCGAGGGATTCCTCTTGTACACTCTATGCTTCGGAGTGCTTTCTGTCTGTGATGGCTCAAGTTTTGGATTTCAGTTTGCGTTGTAATAACCTAAGTTGCCGCACAGCTTTGACAGAAAAGGCCGTAGTTACCACTTGCTCGTGAGCTTTGCGAGCCTTTTCATGCTTCCCGGGCTTGTCTAACATTCTCTATAGCCACATATTCTGTCTCCGCTGTGCGAGCCAAGGAGGGCTATCTCAATCACAAACTACGGATAGACAATGTCCAGCCTGCCAATCAAGCCTCCCAAACCCGGACGACGTGGTATCGACTATCCTCACTCCGACAGAAGATTACAAAACCAGTGTTTTGAGTGGACTCGACCCAACTACCATAATAGAATGCGCCGGGAGAGCTTTGTCATTCTGGACCTACCAGGCAACGCAGGAAATGTACGGCTCCTACTCCCCGTCTTTGTGTCTCAAAAGCTCTGAAGAAGCTATTGAGCGGTTGACTAATTCTGTCCAGATTCTACCAAGACCATTTGAGCAAGACATTAAGAGAGAAATGCAGTGTAATGGGCAAACAGATGGATCAAATGGCGCATGACGCAAATTCTGCTATAGAGACCCTCCAGCATCGGATATCGGGTACGTAACCATATGCGTATGCCACCTTGGATGTTATGACTATCAATCTAACTAAGCATCTTTTTAGAGCTTGAACATAGCCAGGAACAGCTACAGAAGAAAAATCAGGAACTGGTCAATGTGTACAGGGATAAATGCAAGAAACACGCACAAATGACGAATCTTTACAACTTACTAAAGAATCGTGCCATTCGGTCTCAAATCCAAACTGCTGTTTCCGATACCGTCGCTCAGACACTCAATTCATATGGAGCAGTCGATAATACCCAGCACGCTAGCCTAGATCCACAACGGCCTACTACAAGCCTCACCGTCTCTCGTATGAATGATATTAACCAGTATAACAGGGCAAGCAATGACCATGAATCTAGAGTTCCGCGACAACATAAAGGGCCCTTTAACCACCGGGATGGAACCATGATGCCTCCTCCCTCTGTGGTACCAGTATCCCGAGTTGGTAAGTGTCATTGGTTTGGAATTTTCCCTTGAGCCCCGTCTTACTCCAAGCCTAGTGAAAAACACGCTTCCTACACCTCAGCATCGTACCAGGCTACCGCCACAAACGCAAGTTAATAGTCGCTCACCTCACGATCAGCGAGCACCTAGAGGCACATTTCGCAGCCCCCAATATCGCTCGGTGTTAGGCGATCAAGTGAACCAAGTAACTGGTGGCAGTCATAGCTCCCACGGGCTCGGAGCTGGTATGAAGATAGGCCGGTCAGCAGATGCCTCATTCACTCATGATATACTATAGTGATTTTATTCTCATGATACACTTGACATTGCAACATATTTTGGCCTGGCCTTTGCAAATTGTTTGGTAGCCCTCTATATAGCTAATATGTACCCCTTATTACCTATCTCAGCCACAACCACTAATGCTACGGCTGGACAAATAATGATTTAATATGTTACATATATTGCTTAAATGCAAACAACGCTTAGGGAAACCTGAGATGTCAATCAGTAGTAACTAGACCATTCAGTTGGCTAGTAGGATTGTTTTTGTTAGCTAACTAAATGTCCATTTACCACGAACAGGCGGGCACTCCGCCGGTCTGCCACATTTGACCAAATTGTAGATTCGACTGGAGACCCGATATGTGGAGACCGGTTGATTGGGCGTCGAATACAATGGGTATCCATATTGTTCACTGGGGCAGCTTTTATCTTTTGGCCAAATAACAGGCTATTATTACTATCCAGGATAAATTATGCGAGGTCACCCAATGCGTAGTAAGTCTAGACGTGCCTCCGATGGCATTCAACCAACTAGAAGCTTGTCACTGAAAAGGTTTCGATACTTCTGTTTACGAGAAAGCTATCATATCAGAGAGATAGGCACGTTGTAACCGTTTGGTAACATACTATTATAGGACGTGGTCGGTAAGCTCCTATGTATATAAAATAGAGACGGCTAGCCTACGGAACCCATAGGCGGACAAAACCAGTGACTTCTTGACGGCATGTCACACAGCTGCTAAAATTATTCATGGCAAGACTTATCCTGCAATCTTCGCATATGCAAAGACAGCGACATGGCCATGTTATGATAGCTCTTGGGGAGGCCTGACATATGACACATTGCGGTCCATCTGGCCCGAGGCCCGAGGCACCGGTAGCCCAAGTCTGGGAGTTCCCTGATGTGAGAGGGGGAGTATTATTTTGGCTAGTGCTTCGCCTTCGTTCAAGAATCAGGTTCTCCAAGATTTCCAATTCCTCTTCCATCGTAGGACGTCTTGGCCACCGGCTCTCTGGTGACCAGTATGCATTTGATGAAGTCAGGATTCTTGCACGCTCTACATCCAATTGTTGTTGGAAACGGCGCCGTGTCATTATCTTGCCTTCACTTGAAGCCAGAATGTGTGCAGATAATATGCGAGCCTCGTCTCTGGTCTCCATATCCCGGGGATCAAGTAGGCGAGCTAAGGATGCCATGTCAATCCTCTCCTCTGGCACCCTCGACAAACCCGGGAAGGGGTTGCTGGGGGTTGGCGTCTGTCGGCCGTCAGAATCGCAGGACTCCCATTCGGTTTCTTCAGCTGTTGATGTAGATACTACACTTGTTGTATCCCAGTCCTGGGGCGGGGGAGAATAATCCTCCGTCATATCTTGATTTCCCCAGGAGCCACCAACCTTCCACCAGTTGTAGAGTTTGTTGTCAAGATGTTCCTCTTGCGGTTCGCCCCATGACTCACTAACCATCATCTCCCTTTTTCTCATTTCCTTTTCCACGTCGAAGTCGTCTGTTTCTGGCAGCTCCAGAACACCTTCATCCGTCAAAATCCAGAAATCCAACGGTGGGCGGATTTCCACTTCATTTGCAGTGCTAGGCTGTTGTCCAATGCCCGCAAGATGCACCAGCCATTGTGGTTTTAGTGGTAGCTTAAAGTGGTCCAATAGTCTTACTAGCCCAAACGCCCACCACCCTGCCAGCATATAGAAAATTGCTTTGAAAAATGCAAAGCCATGAAAACATCTAGTTGGCCCCCGAAATGCTCCTACATTCCCCAATCCAGATTGTTTCTTCATTGCCTGAGAGCTCGATTGCGTCCTGTCAAGCTTTTTCTCTTTGCCATACCCACTTTCCCATTGTCTTGGGTGATTAGGAATAGCGAAGTCGAAGTTCTCATCAAGTTGGACGTCATCGCCCCGCGGAAGGCATTCCTGTCTGCTTTGATCCCTTCGAGATGTAAACTCTGCAAGCCTATCCTCTTCCAGCCATGTCATTTTGCGTACTTTTACACTCTTTCCTTCGTTTAGAAAAACCGCATCACTAGCAGCGGATAAGGCGGCATACCCTACCCTGACAAGAGTGGCATAGAAATCATCATGCATCTGGAAGCGGGTATTCTGGATCTGAGTGGAGCTTTGCATGTTACCATGGGCAATAGCAAGGCGCTCGCGAAATGAGTTGGGACGCGGAAGGTTGGATGGAAGAGAGTACGCTGTCAAAAAAAGGGCAATAGTGTATATTGCTAGGCACGTTAATATGCCTAGCAACATGAGAAGATGCGGTACAAATCCCACGATACAGACTGTGGGGAAATTCAATAGGCCGGCATGGTTGCCGTCTAGATATGATCTGAGGAAACTCCAGACCATAAACCCCATGAATGAGAGTCCCCATACAGTGGTATTGATGAGCCGATATTGGCTCTGTTTTCCAAATACGTCTAAAAAGTTCGTCGCTAGACTATTGCAGCATGCTAGCAGCGCAATGACTAGTAATTCGGGAGTGACGTTGAGTCGTTCTAGAACACGTTCTTTTGAGAATAATGGAATGGTTGAAGCTCCATCCCCGGCGGCGGCACCCTCGACTGACACACTGGCTGTAGATTTGGTGATTCCGAGGAATTCTAACCCAACTGATCGAACAATTTGGATCTCCGCCTCCGCAAATGCAAGGGAAAGTTCAAATACGGACATACCGCCCTCTGTAGCAAGAGGTTTCCCCTGAAGTGCGGCAGATAACGTATCAATGAAATGGCCAAAACACAGTCGAAGAAATGCCGGCCATAGGAGACAAAATGAGCCATACGTAACACCAGGCCCTAGGGATGTAAAAGTTGCGCTGCATGATGACTGCTCCTCCTCCCATTGCAATAAAGACGAACTTAGGTGATACAATAATCCTCCTTCACCAGCATAGTCCAGCCTCGACTGTTTCCCTGGTTGGCCATACCGAAATATAGAGTATTGCGGGGAGGTTTGGCAACGAATGGCGCGGAGGAGCTTTAGAATCTGTGTGGCAAAGAGGACGATTGGGATAATACGGAGAATAAGGGTTGTATGCCACTTTAAAGTCACTTGACGACGAGGAGAAGCATAAACCGTGACGCGGTTCAGAATCAATGCCTGTCCAATACCAATCAGCAAGGGAAGATCAATCGAGGATCAACTTTGGGGAATGACCAGGTAGTAATTAGCGGGTAAAGCCACAAATTAAACCTACATACCACTACAAAACATGCCAGGGACCACCTTGTAGTCATGTAATTGAAGAATCCTCCAAATTTCTTCAGCGAAGGTATAAAACCTCCCATGCTGAACCCGGAGGCGGCCTCCGTCGAAGCAGCAGAGCCTGCTGCAGCACCGCCTGGGAGTGCTCCGTTCGCACCGGTACCAGTCATTGCAGCAATAACGGCTGCCGCAGCCGCCGCATCATCACCGGCCACATCTTCGCCTCCGATACCAAAAACCCGAGCTAAACCGTCTAGGACCGAGGAAAATGCAACATCCAGGCCAATAAAGCGGACAAGTTGACGCGGTAATGTAATTATAAACACCTCCGCATGATAGACAAGGCGAAACGGTAAGAGAAGGATGTCTCGAGGCTCTGATGGTAGAAAGGCGTGCCACGTCTCGGTATTGTTGATTGCTTTACTCATAGCGTCCGTAGGGAGGGCACCTCTGCCCACAGCCATTGTGACGTTCGTATTTTGCGTACGGAGTACTCTCGTAGCTATGCCGTGGACCTGCTAGTGGAAGCTGTAGAGGCAGCTCTTAGTAGAGAAAGGGCAGGGGCTCATAGCTCTCGTCGAAGGTAAGCCAATATCTGAAGCCAGCCAGCGACTGTAGACTATCAGCTACTGTCTCGTTGAGGTCAAAGTAGATCGAGCATTTAAAGCTGCTCCTGCTGCATTATCACGAAGTCCGGCGCAGCAACCTCCGCCGGCACTTCTGGGGGAGTATCCTGGATATGCGGTTCGTTGACAGCGGAAGTCGGTGCACCGCAGAGTAAGTCACGTAAAATTTAGTGGCTCCAGGCAGCGACTCGACCCTGTGAATTGTGAATCTGTCCAAGCTGCTTCTTTCGGTCTTCTCTTCTTCGTCTGCTTTCTTTTCTTTTCTTTTGCTTGTCTTTTGCTTGTCTTTTGCCCTTCAAAAACGCTGTATTGGAAGTCGGAAGTAGGAAGTAGGAAGAAGCAGCTGCGGGCCCGCGCGCCATCTTTGTCACGTGTTGATTCCTGACTAAGCATACAGCCGAGCCCCTGGAACTACACCAAATAAGGTTAGCGTGTTATGGCGAATGAACCGACATCTTCGGTCAGCATGGATCTATACCCCCTTTGATGCAAGCCAGATAATTAGACACGATTGCCTACTATACATTGAAGTTCTGGAGCAGTATTGACATAGCATCTTAGTTAGTAAGTCAATTATAAAGCTAACTGGTGACTAAAAATTCCTTAGATTGTTATGTATGAGAGCATAGACTACTATCAAAAAAGGGAAAGGTCCCGTGCAAGGAAGCAAGAGCTAGCTTGAAATGAATACCGATACATGCAAAACCGCTAAATAAACGAAAATAAGAAACAGGGCTCATGATACAGAGACCTCGATGCATAGAATAGGAAGGAAAATATGCAGGGTATGTGCGAATTATTTACAAGTAATGCAAAAATTCTAAGGACCAGACAAATAGAGGAAGAGGCGGGAGTGATAATGCAGAAAAGTCATTAGGTATACTTCGGGGAATAATTTATTTCTCCCAGCTGAATTTCCTAGTGAGATCCGGTTTGGGTTCACCCTGGGGCTGGGAGTCGAGGGTCGCACTAGTAGAAGTACTGGTATTTGGCGGCTCTAAAGCGTGCTGACATGACGTGAGCAGTGAAGGTGATGAATCGGGTCTTTGATGTGATAGGGATGTGGAATTAGTAGATGTGGCAATGGGAGACGGGATGCCGAGACTATTGTTTAGTTCTGAGGCGCCAAGGGTCGAACCTGGTCCTATAGGGCTAACGAGGTCCTGTTCTGAAGGATTGGTCGTTAAGTGATGATACTGGATAAGAGGTGGAGGTGGTGGTTCGTTTCCTTCCGTGCCCAAGTCGTGAGCCTTCTGCAAATATCCGTACCGGTGACCGGATATCTCAGTCGCTGGTAATTCAACAGGAGTGGCTGCCGGTAGTTCGTAGCGGATGGCAGCGTTATCTGCTTCAACGGGATGGTGTTTATCAGCAACTAACTCTGCTGGCATAGAGGGAGAAACAGGTCTGCGCCAGAATTTCCAAAGAAATTTAAATCTGGGTGGATTCTCTTCTTTTTCGCTTATGGATAACTCCCGGGACCGCCGTTTTCTGTGGAACCAGAGTACGATCAAGGAGACGATTACGACTGCCGCACAAACGCCGAGAGTAACGCCTACTATAGCAGCTTTGGGAATTTTCCGATCCGCTGTGACACCGTGTCCGCTAGGGAACGTACTGTCTGGAGGGGAAGTAATGGCCACAAGGTCCATGCTAATTCCGGAATCAGGGTTGAAAGTAGCCTGGGAAATGGAAAAGTTACGGCGTTCGTAGTCGACTGTTAGATATGCTTCTTGGAGAAACACTCTACCGATTGTAAGTTTCTTTGGGTCGGTCGTCCGCCTAAGTGGAAAGTAACGGAGGCCCTCGCTGTTTTGATTCTGATCAAGGCCAGGATAAGGGTATGTAAGTTTGTGATCAAAGGCAGCGAAAGGTAGCGTTATGTTCACGGACTTTGACGAATCTGGGAGATCGGATAAAGTGAAGGTAAAAGAGATGTTTGATCCAGCGATAGCATCGTAGGTAGAGATGTTGGGCCCGTATGTATAGAGGTCCAGGGTATTGTTATAAATCAAGCCGAGCTTCCCGGCAAGTGAATCACAAATCTGCTCAGGAAACCACAGAAAAGGTGTAGATGAGTCTATTACAAAAGTCCCGCTAGAGGATAGATCGATGGCCAAATCGCCAGCCAACGAGTTTGAATTCGATATCGGGCCAGTCTTAACCTTGACGGACTTTATGGTAACGGCAGGCAAATTGTCTGGAGACAAAAAGAAGGAAACCTCGTTGGGAATGAATCTGCTCCTGTCAAACCCTCCAAAAGTAAGAGATGTTGGTACACCTTTCATCTCTAATCCCCGGAAAATGTCAGCTCGAAAGTTCCGACGAGGTAACATAGTTTAATAACGTACGATAAAAGGCGCCAGCAGTATAGCCATAGCTATGGCTAGGCACTATGCTCATGTTCTGTACCAGGCTGCTCAAGAGAGACAGTTTATTCTCGTCTGTGAAATTCGTGTCTGTGACGCCAAGTCCTATCGAACCGATCCACCATTTGACTGTAGTGATCATGCTAATAACTTGATCCGAGACAGAAACATCGTTGTTGAGACCGATAAGATCGTAACCGTAGTCGCCGTAGCCGGCATCACCAAGCTGGAGATTACTCCCGAGCTCATACAGCCCAACATGCGACCAGGTCGAGGAAGCATTTGCGAAGAACAGACCACCGCGTTCTTTTCGGCATCTCATGGCTACATGACCATGTTAAAAGTGCACATCTCACCGGCGCAACCACTCTCGTACGGATACAGTCGATAGAATAACATACTGGCATCACATCCACCACGTCCAATAACCCAAGTCTCTGACGAGACTGTGTTCGGTATCACCTGTAACCATTGTGACGGTGTTCCAACCCGGATAGATAGCCTAGAAATAATAGAACTCGGTTAGCCGATAGCCTTCATTTGCTCCTAGGATCAGGTTCACAGCAACGTACGAGCTCCAGGAGCCATCATATCCGATCCTAGATCAATAAAAAAAAATGTTAGAACCAAGCAGCTTATACTACACATCGGTAAGACAGAGCTGAAGCATACCAGTTTGAGCTAGGAGTAACGCTCAACGGGGTCGGAGAAGACGCAGCGACGGCAAATTCGAGGCTGGATAATATGAAGACTATAACGGCCAGCCCAAAATTCCGCCCAGGAACACTCCGTAGGGGATCGCGGCGGCCAACAAAGACAAGAGGACTCATGCGCATGGTCGGCGCACCTGGTCGAGCCTAGGCATTACCAGGAGAGGTCGACGTTGCGCCGTAGCTGGAGGGAAGACATATTTGAGAATAAAAATAACGAGACGATGGCAGCCCTGGTCCACGACTCCATCATGGTCCTGCTAAAAGGAAAAGAAAGAAGTTCCCCAGAGAAAAAAGAATGGCATTTTTGAGGAAGAAGGCCAGAAAAAGCAATGAACCGTTTCTGTCATCCATTATTTTTCTAAGCTGGGCGTTTCTCTTCCTCTGCTCTGGACTTCGTATCTTCGTCCTCTTCTTTCAAGGGGCAGAGGGTATGTACCAGGATATGGGTTCGGCGTACAAGCCATTTCGACTAGTGAGAAACCACGAACAAGGGCTCGAAAAACCTTGAACCCCGAGGTTACCGAGACCGTCAAACGTGTATAAAAATACGCTTGGGAGATCGTCTCTTCGCCCTCTGGCGATGGGCCAGATGGCATCTTTGCACTCATACGGAGTCCACACTCAGACTCGCTCTTGCAGGACGTACCAAAGCGTTAAGGCCCTGTACACTTCGTGATACTCATTGTCAACTGGCCTGGTAAGCCTCCACAATAGTGCGATTTAGTGGTGGCGCCGCCAGCATTGTTTCAAGCTTAAAGATTCCTTCGCCTTGACTCACAACTAGTGCACGAATACGTGTATTGGCGGTCTCGCCAGGATGCTTATCAAGATGTAGATTTATCAAGATGTAGATTCCAGCGGGAGCTGTTATCGTCAAAGTGCGCATTTGATGTCTGCTGCGGCATCCAACTTTTTCGAGCCGGTTCATACCTGCGTAGAGGGGCAGCTGCATAACCGCACAGGGTTCCCCAGAAAGTGCTTACCCATAAGTGACAACCGGGAGGAGTCCTCTGCGACGGTAGCCGGATCTCACACCACCTCGCCCGCCTGGCAGGAGTATAGAATCGGCATGATGGAAGTGCGGGCACACTTGTTCCACATCAGCAGCATCAGCATCAGCCTCTCCTGCTTCCTTTCTTCTCTCGCATTTCAATAGCGGGTGGCAAGGAAGCCTGTCCAGGGACCTCCCGTACGGAGTATTGCAGATGATTTCCCGTATAACAAAAAACATGGCATCGGGCCGACCCAGTGTCGATGCCGATGATCACTTCATCCCATCATTCAGTCTTTTTTTTTTTAAAAAAAAAAAGACAAGCGATGTTCTCCCCGGCATAAGAAAAAAGTCCTCCGTACAAGGATATTTAAACATATGCCTCATGGAAAAGCTGACCCTGGACTCAAAACGAAATGGGCATGATGTTGGCCATCGTTCCGTGCTGTGTAATTACCCGCCATTCGCTTAGAGATGACCAGGGGAGGACCATGCTATGCGCTGCTGTGCCAAAGTCTCGCCCAATTGGAGGTAGCAAGCCATAAGCTGGAACTGCCTCTTTTCTTCAGGGCCGAAGAAGCAATCTATATGGGTGCTCTGCCTCCTTGAAAGGAGAGAGAAAACACAAGCTCTTCTCTCTTTTTAGACCTCAGCCTCAGCAAGGCCTCTCTTCTTTTAGCTGGTCCCGTATTCACTAGTCAGTTGGGGCCGATATCATCGCGGAATTTCATCTTTTCATCTGCTGAACAGCATAGTCAACGACGGTCTATATCCGCCCTGGCCAAAGCCATAACTCGTTCGTCCTTCAGCTCTCAGCCGTCATCGCTGAAACCCTTCCTCTCTCTCTATTTTTCCCTTGCCCTTTCTCTCTCTGTCTTCCCCCCTTTGCTGGCTCTCCTTGTCGTTGCTTTTTCTCTTCACAGCCTTCGTCAACTAGTTCCTATTCACACTGGCCCGGTATTTTCTTTTTAAGCGTCAATCAACTGTGGCGTAGTCCTTATTTTCCGTTCCAGACATGTTGATGTTCAAGAACGTTTGATTCCTTCAGCTTTCAAGAGAGCAAGCATTTATTTCTCTTCCAGTTGGTGCTGTACTGGATTTTGACAGTTAGCGATGCTCTCATCTTCGACCGCAGCTAGGAAACTGGAACAAGAACAATGAAGAAAATACCATTCCTCCTGGCCTTGATGGGCTCCTCCACAACCGTTGGATACCCCTGGCACTACCACGACGGTATTTTCTTCTGATCGAGTGTATCAAGAACTGATGGGTTGGTTAACTGACGTTGGCGGTTTGTTGTTGCAGGCAGGATTGTAGTCCGCGAGATCGTCTCAGAGATATTCGGATCTTCCGCGCCGGCACCTCCACCTCCATACAACAACATCAACACCTCACTGACACCAGCAGAGGCTCCTCCGAGCCCGTCGTTATGGCCTCCGAACATCGAGTCATGCCATTGTCCCGTAACCTACGTGCCAATGCTCCCTGTGGAGTGTACAGGGGACCTGTTCTATGCCACGAAGCCTCCGCAGACTGTGTACACAACTATCACCGAAGTGCACACGATGAAGCCAATAGATACAGCGCCCATGGGCCCTCCTACGCTTGTCACCCCTCCTCCGCCATGCTCCACTTACAGTTGTCCTCCCACACGCTGTAAAATGGGCCTTTTCCCTTCTCTCGCACCTCTAATATCGACTGTCAGCGTCACCAAGAAGACCACCATCATGGGCGTCCCGTCCGCCGAACCGCCGCCATCATTCCAAGATACCAGCTCAGGAAGCGCAGCAGGTCAGAATATACCCCCTACAGCCTCGCCAACTGACGACTCGAGTGCTTCTCGGCCGTCCGGTAAATCAAAGTCGGATTCTGGCTCCCCAGACGAACCTCACAGCGGTTCTCAGGGAACTACTACCTCAGCCAGCCAAGGTAACAGCCCGGAAGGCCGTCCAGAAAACAGTCAAGGAAGACCTCAGAGCGGTACTCCAAATGGTCAGCAAGGAGGTAGCCAAGGGAGCTCTCAAGCCTCTCCACAAACAACGCTTTCTCAGCCTCCCGGTAGCTCCATGCCGGTTGATCCGGGGCCTATCACCTCAGAAACTGCAGGCCACTCCCATTCAGTCCCTACCAGAACCATGTTCAACCTGGGTGGGATCCCTATCACTATCCAGGAGACTGACTCCATCACCCTTGGAAACGGGCCATCACGCACTACTATTACTAGCAATACTAACCCGACCACATTTGCGGTTGATGGCCATACTTTTACTGTAAACCCTTCAGAGGTAATCTACCTCGACACTACTTTCCACCTCGGTGCAGATCCTATGAAGTCACCACCACTCGTATCAGGTACGGCTAATCCTACGGACAGAGGAGACAGCGAGGGTCCGCGAACCGACAGTGAGGGCCATACCATATCTCCTAGACCAACAGGCACCAGGGACGGCTCTCCTTCCAGTCAGAGTCTTGCAGTACGGATATCCACTGGTATCAACACCACATTTGTTCTAGGGATAAGTACTGCACTTATTTTTGGTGGCCTCGTTGGAGTTTTATAACGACATTTTGTCTCTTTCTATATACCCATTTTCCTTCATCTTGTATAATAGTAACGACATACCTAAATGGACAGCAGTCGCCCGCTTGTGCCATTATTTACTTCGCCCTATTTAGCATATATGGTAATGCCACAGTTGCATAGTTCTTCGATGCAAATGATACACGTTATATCTTCTGCTCTGCGATATTAAAAACCCTCAATTTCTTTGTTTTTAGAACTAGAATAAATCCTTATCCTACCAGAAATGAAGCTGCCCGTCATGTGCATCATCTTAATGCACCTGCTACCCTACATACCTCATAATCTAAACATCTCACCCCGAGACCTTACCCCATCTAGGATAAAGGTATTGTCAAGGGGCACATACTGTCTTGTGAGCACTTTGAGGGCCTCCTGAGCTATGCACCCACCTGCCATGGCTGAGATATTATGCAGTTCTCCAATCCCCGCTCGCCGTACTTCCGATATGGCCGACTCGATCCGGGACCTAATCTCGCTTTCACTTTCATCCATGCCATTTTCCTCCTGGTTTAGACTAGCTAGAACTTTCGAGAGCATTGCGGTCCAGTTGTCGGTTTTATCAATGTACGATCGTTCCTCCGTCATTCCTACACAGCCTGTCTCTCTGAATTCCGTCACTAGGCCGTCAAGAGTACTCAGTGCAATGAAAATGGGAATGAGAGAATCAGGGTTTTGCAGGCTACCCTTAATAACCTTCACTGTCCGCTGTGAAATTCCTTCTGAGGGCACAGGCGATAATATTGGAATCTCGTTGCCCCTAATCACTTTGATATGAGCTGCGTTCTTGCAGAAAGTGTCAATCTCCTTTTCTGATATCGGCACCCTCTCCTGGCCGGCACGTAGCTTGCATTCAAGATTCCGAACAGTGGCAAGCACTTCAGCTGCATCACTTCGTGCTTTTGACTTATATATGTTTTGTAACCAGATATAATCTGACGACTGCGCCTTCATGTCCGGTAGTGACCCGGACAAAGGCAGAACTGAATGTGTTTCATAAAATTCTTTGACTGCAGCTGCTATCACCCAGAAATTGGGTGATCTAGTTGTTAACTGCGAGCACTCGTCCATATCAAAGGCATTGCGCAAGTCACTACTTAAGGAATAGGGACCAATACTCTTTAGGACAGCCGCCACAGCCTCGTCGAAGTTTTCTTCGCCTCCTTCAGGATTATTAGTTCTAGCATGAGATCTAACCATGTCCCTAAACTCGGACTTTTCCCGGTAGTTCTGAGGGTACAGGCCGTTATGGCTGACCTTCCACTTCTCAAGGAAGTGTAGCAAAAGTATCAAATAAGGAACATGTCCATGCTGGTGGTCGTCCATACTATCCAGGTTCTCTGCCTTGCTTGCTACAGCCGCAAGTTCCGGCCATGGATTTGTTAAACGAAGGTCTTCGGTGGAGCTGGCATCAGGGTGTGTCTCGACTACGGGGAAAGCGGATGGTAGCTGCAGCGAAAAGGACGCATAAAACCCTACTGAATGTGTGTAGATTAGGGGTATATCCAGCCGCCTTGTAGTTTGTGATATGGTTCGAAGGACAGACTGCCTTATTGGCCCGGAAACAATGACAAGCTGGTGCTGGGGAAGAAAGTCTTCATCTTCGAGAATATCTAAAATGGTCTATATCGTGCTTAGCGTTAGGATGTCTGGCAGAAAGAGGAGGTGAAACTGTAGACAATACCATTGTATACGCTTGCCCATCAACATCTTCATTAAGTTCCCGAAGATATTTACATGTCTCTTCAGCCCTGGATTTACCGAGGCTGTCCTCAGATAGAAAGAAGTTCACGCCTAGATCAACCTCAGAGACGGTTGCAGGATCAACAATCGTGAAGCCACCTATCCCAGGCAGCACGAGATTCTTCAGAGTCTCAACGCCCACGACACCAGTCAATTCCGAGCCATCACTATCCACTGGGCCATCGGAGTTTATGAGAAGTACTCGAGAAGACTCTAGGGCTTGCTGGCCGCTGGCAGCCCAGAGTCGCAGCTGGCGGTCGTACTTCCTCTCCTTAGCGGTTGGGGCGGCATGCGAGGCCATGGTTCAATTTATTTCGAGCGTTTCGACGGGCCGAGATGGGCGGCGTGAAGCTCCGAGATACCGTCTCGCCGTCCTTGGGACAGTTAAGCAGACATATAAGAGCGCTCCGTCTCTTCTTCCCTTCTTCCTCAACGTCGTCGTCGTCGTCCTGCTTCTTCTTTTTGCCCCGCGTAAACAGCTTACTTGCTTATATAATCGCAAATTTATCACGTGACGACATAGAAAAGCTTGTTTGTCAGCTAATTGCTTATCGATAAAGAATTAAAGTTTTGACATTGTTAACGGCAAAGTCAACCTCCTGGCCAGAGGAAACGCAGCCTCGGTGGCTTCGTCGGATTGAAAAGGTGGGTTGATGCGTTACGATTTGTCTCGCTTGTTGCGATACATGAGAGGGCATCATTAGAAACTAGGTTCTACCCGGTCAATCCTTGGTCTGATGCACTGCCAGTAGCTGAAGGCAGCAGCTAACAGAATACGAGAGCCCAAAAGACCCCTCATCTAGAAGAGGTGAATATTACAGACCGTCTGGATACATCTAGATCTATGACATCTATTTCAGCGTCGAGGAGCTTTCTGTAAGTGTCTACGTGGGCTGACTTGTTTGCCTTCCCCCCTTGTGACTGACTGCACCCTTTGCTCCAAGATACAAAAGACTACAGTGAGATCCCATATTAGTTCCTGGCCTTGTCAGTCCAAATTTGATACACCTAGTTTCTACTCTTTGAGCTTTACTCTAAAGTGAAATTTCAATAATACATCTGGAATCGCGCTTCATCTTCTTCTATACTGCGTTCAGCCAGGTGGAGAACATTCCTTGACATCCCGAGAGCGCCCTTTTTTCTCCACAAAATTCTTGACGTTTAGTCAGATGAATTAACAGTTGGCTTCTAGGACAAAGATTTCCCGCACCTCTCCTTCTTTGTGCGTGAGTTCTTTATACGGTACGAAATCCTCTTTATTGAGAAACAAACCCTCGCTTCCCGACGCTGTGTATACGAGGATATACTCCCGATCACCCTACCTACAACTTCGCCGCTTGTCCATAGAGGGACCGACACTAGCACATAAAATGGCAGACATAGAAGCCGCAAAAAGGGCCGCTGCTACAGAGGCAGTGAAAAACCACTATCCAAAAGATGCGAAGTTCATCGGTATTGGGAGTGGAACTACCATAGTCTATGTTGTGGAGGCTATAAAGGCACTTGGGATCGATACTTCAGCCACCAGCTTTGTGCCCACCGGATACCAGTCTAATCAACTGATCGTTAATGCTGGTCTTACGGCTATTGCATTTGATGCTCTTCCAGAAGGGACCGTCCTGGATGCTGCGTTTGATGGGGCTGATGAGGTGGATGACGACTTGAACTGCATCAAGGGTGGTGGAGCGTGCCTCTTCCAGGAGAAACTGGTCGCTCTTCAGGCAAAAGAGTTTATCTGCGTTGCTGGTACTTGACCCTAAATGAGTAAGAGAGAGGTCCTTCATAGAGCTAACCCTATATCCGATAGATTGGCGCAAAAATCAAAGTCGTCTTCTCACGTCCTGGCCATCAATCCCAATTGAGGTCGCGCCTTTGGCTGCTCGCCGGGTGATGGATGAGTTGAAGGTTTTGGGGAGCCCCAACCCTATTCTAAGACAGGATCCGGTCGGAAAGGCTGGCCCATTAAAGACTGATCAGGGATTCCTTATCGTCGATGCGCCGTTCCCAGCTCTGCTTTTGCCTTCTGATATCACTGCAGGAAAGAAGGCAGAGGGTGGTGTCTGGGAGGTAGAAGCCTTGGCCAATGCTATCAATGCCATAACTGGTGTGTTGGAAGTCGGTTTATTCTGCGGACCTAACGGTCCCCAAGCTCAGGCCAACGGAAGAGTAGGAGGACAGAAACCTGTTGCGGCCTACTTTGGAAATACCGATGGCACGGTTATTTCAAAGAGGAAGAAATAGATGTTTTCACCACCCCACAAATGCCTAGTTACCAATTTTGGCTTTTCGTATTGCTATAGTTAGGTAGACAATGTCTCTGGTGAAGCCATTTGTTCATGCATGATACGACCGATAAGCTCAAAATGATCACAGCCCAGCGGTAAAACATTAGAACATTCGTCACGAAGTTGATTCAGGTTCTCTAGAAATCTGACTAGCCACTAGCCCTAACTTTAAACTCCTATAACTAACTAGTTGCAACAATGGTAAACCCTCAAGAGTACACACGTAACCCATTCAAACCTCCCCGTGAAATGGACATTATTTCGGAAATCTAACAGTTGGGTTGAGGAAAGTCTCTTCTTCTTCCAATAGTGAGAATGGAGGTGCAGATTTAGCTCTGAATAATGTGTTAGAATTCATGCCTTGGTAGAAATAGGCATCGGCCTTTTTCTGTCGAGCTATCCGGCGGTCCATGTATTGTTCGTATGCTTCTTGTCTGATGGTAGCAAACAAATACTTAGGATGCACACAGATAGCTTGAGCTCCCTTTTGCCCAAATCCAAAGGAGGTTATTGATACAGCTTTTATCTCGTCCACTTGAAGGCCCTTCTGGAGATAGGCAATAAGATCAAACTCCTTTAAAGCACGATCGATGTTATCTGCATTTCGGTTTCCAGGAACCAGCCCTGTATCTAGCATCTGCAGCGCACCGTTCACCATCCACGCACCAGCTGCGCCTTTGGAATGGCCAGTTAGGTATTTTTGGAATACACTGAGAATGGGGTTTCCTTTTTGCCGACCTAGAGCCTCAAGTTGCTTTTGGATAACAGCGGATTCGTTCTTGTCATTCAAAACAGTGGAAGTCCCGTGAAAGGAAGCAACACCAAGATCATTGATGGTCAATCCCCATACGGCCAGAGCTCCTGCAAGCGGAGCAATATATGGGTTGTTACGCCAGAAGTCATTGCCCAGAGCATATCGGGCTTCTCTAGTCTCCTTTTCAAATTCTTCTAGGATGAGTTGTTTTCGTTTTTGATGGTTGATCTTAACGTCAGAAGTAACAGCCGAGGCTATATCAGCTTGTAAATCTGCCAATGACGCATCACGGGATAGAGCAATCTGTTGTCGACGGGTATCCAGTTTCTTCTTTCGACCACTGATATTGGGAAGAGAAGGGTGTACGGTAGACATAATGTGCTTGGAGTTTGTCAATACCCCTTTTCCCGGTGCCGGGAGCGATCTCCCAGCTTTGTCACTAGATGTACTAGCAAAGGCAACAATGCCTCGAATTGGTAGGCCCATTTGTAGTGCCAACTCCGCAGAAGTAAGGACCTGAAGTCCACAACCTTGTGATTCTACAAAGCCGTTGCGGGTGCTTGTTGTAGGCCTTGACATCTCTCCTGGCTCCCTGCCACACATGAACTCTTCCGTTGCGTTGCTCGTTGCCTTCATATTAGCAAACTCATATGACGTCTCACCACTAAAATCATCGCAGCCACCAACGAGACAGAATTTTGCTTTCCTGGCAATGATTGTATCGTACCCAAGCTCTAAGGACTCAACTGCCGTGGCGCAAGCTCCTACCGGAGTGCGAATTGGACCACTAGAAGAGAGTAATAGCATATTTACCCAGGCGCCGATTGTATTGATAAAAGTCTCCTGTAGAATATCTTTCTGTATATCTTTATCCATAAAGCGGCCGCTAAACATCTTGCCTAGGGAAGAGACCCCTCCAATCCCTGATCCGATGCAGGTAGCTACATCAGAGACATGGATATATTGGTATAACTCGTATGGATCTGTGATTCCTGCTGATATAAGAGCTTCTACAGTGCAGACCAATGTAAAGAGAGTAACACGGTCAACCTGCGTGATGATTTCCTCTGGGATCCCATATGTTCTAGCATCCCAACCTGTGGGAATAAGCCCGGCCACAGTGTGACTAAATTTCATAGCCCGTGGGATAAAAATTCTTGCACCTTTAAGAATCCGAACACAGTAAATATCAGGCTTGGAAGATCTTCTAATGTCGGCATAGTCCCCATGCTCTAGCCGCATCTGTTCGGCAACGGATTCGGGAACATAGAGAGGCTCTAGGTTCTCTTGAATAATCACCTCATGGAGGAACTGTTTCTTATTTGGATCGTAACCGTTACATAACTCTGGTTCGATTAGCCGAATACCAGAATGATTAAGAATGTAGTCCTCATATATTTCCTTAATCTTTGACTCTACCACAGGCTGTTTGCTTTTCGAGTCCACCCAGCCTGAATAGGGTTTCCCATCGATACTTTCGGTGGTATAGCGGATAAGCCCCATCAGCCAGGCCATTTCGACAACACCCTCAAGGGAAAACTCTCCATGTGCCTCCATTTCCCATCGAGTTCTGGAGTTTCCGTAGGGGCCTAGCTCTGAAAAGCCAGTGATGACAACCACACGTTGGAGATCAACCATATCCACCAGATCTTCGCTAAGTGGATAAATATCTTTGTGGTATTGAAGCACCCTTGGAAAGTCTGGCCGTACATGCGCTCTTTGCTCTAGTGTATCTGGCTTCATTTCTGCTGGTGACACTAATTTCACACCTTCGATACATTGTTCCTCGAACTTTAACTCCGTGAAAAGTGCGGATTGGATATCACTGCGTCCTTTGAGCTCCTCGCGAAGACTTCGAAGTTGCTCAGCAAGACTTTGCACTCTAGTCATCCCCCCGGTCAGATCCACGTATATTGGTTGTTCCTGGCAGATCATGTTTATGGCAGGTGTACAGAGGCAAACGAGAGCGTGTGCCATTTCTTCCTGTGAGAAAGTTCGCAGCCCTAAGGACTCCATACCTTCAGCTACCAGATCATTTTGGTTCATCAAACCCGTGCCTCGAGTCCACCCGATGACAGCACCACAGATGGATAGATATTCCTGCCAGTCCTCTGAGTACCAGCGGTTGAATAGGGTTTCAAGTGCAATTTTTGATTCTCCGTACAAGCCATCACCACCGAAGGATCCATGGTTGGGGGATAAAGGTAGTAAGACCTGTGTTGGGTTGGATAGATACTTGTATCTTTCCTTAATAGCTTTCACGGATCCCAGCAGCCGGAGGACGTTCGTCAACATTATACGATGTGCGAGTTCGGACTTTGAGTCAATTGAGTCAATTTCCTTGTTACTTTCGCTGATCGCCGCAAATGGAACCAGATAGTCTATATCCAACCCAAGTCCCTTAGTATCATAGATATACTCAACAAAGGATATCACATCCTGCTTGCTAGCCTGGTTGAAGGGGATAACAATTAGCTGAGAACCACGAGCTCCATGTTCAGTATAGATAGCTTGATATTTCCTTGCGACTTCTGGAGAAAATGACGAAGTTGTCATCACCACTCTTGCACCTCCCTGAAGAAAATAGCAGATGATGGAAGCGCCAATAGAACCGATCCCAGCACCCGTCACCAGGACGGTTTGGCCGCTAAATGATTCGCCTTGACTTTCAACCAAATCGAGGGCATCGTAAAGATGACTAGTTAACTCCTGACTATAGGTCCATCCATGAGGCAGCATTTCTTTAACGTGGATATAGGGTTCGCCAGCAGTATTAGGTTGAGTAGCCAGGCCAGCAAAACGAAATGACTCTTTCCGCTCCTTTTCAGCATATTGCAAGCTTCCATCATGGGTAACTATAGTGTAAGGACCAAGGTTCTTTGGGGTATTCTGGTAAACAGGCCCCAGGCCTAGTCTGCTTCGGCATGTTTGTTCCAGCCTTCGGAAAATATGTCCAAGTTGAGGATGTTTAGAGAAATCAGCTATGGCTCTTTCGAGAATAGGCAATATTTCTTCTTCCGCGGCATTGGCAATGAAATTACACCTCTGGATAAGTGATTCTGGATCAAGAAATAGACGCCCTTGTTTAACTGACTGTGCAAAGATCATAAGCTCAAGCAGACTTTGTCGGGCCCACGCCCACGATGAATCGTAAACTCGGATTTTACGAGGGTCGAACTTCGGGCGAATACCATCTGCGTATTCTTGGCCATGTTCCGCAACCCAAAGGTCTATTTCAGTCTGTAGTTTTCTCGCAGCCGCTTCCTGAGCGTCATCAACGAGGGTTCGATCAAAATCACAATCCTGTTCAAGATGTGAAGCATAGACTTTGAGAAGCTTTCTAGACAGTGACTGCTGTGACTCAGATAATACTCGCAAGGCTTCGGCATCAACCATGACACTTGAGGTATTTTTATTTTCTGTTGAAGTGTCTCTCCTAAGGATAATTCCTTCCCTTAGTGCGTATTCTTCAGCTACTCGGTCGATAAATCTAGTTGCTTCTTGTTCAGCTGAGATTCGCGTGGTTGGCTGCATTGTTGTGGCTAGTACCAAACAAGAATTCTGCCTGCCATGCTGCAGCATCCATTGTACCAATAGTCTCTCCCTAGCCACAGCAGAAGTAAAAGCACCTGGCATTTTCGAAGTGAACATGGAATTGATCATGGCGGTGGATATTTTGCCAAGGGTTCCTTTGTGGTTTAACTGCACCGTGTTCCACAATTCGGTCAAGGGAATATCCTCAACACGATCAGGCAAGAGCCCAAATTCGGTGCTGAGATCACCGACTATTTCATTCTCTAGTGTAGAGCGTCCTGAGTGGATGTTAGCAATAATTTACAGTCAAATGCGATTTTCTGCGGGTCTAAACGTGCCTCCTGCTAGTAATTTAAGCGATTTTGAAACATCTATATCTGGTGCTGGCTTTTTAAGAGCCTTGGAAACAATAGCGATCAGAATCTCCCGTGCTTCAATAGGTCGATCGTCTATATCGTTTGCGACATTTATGCAGGATGCAGGTAATATACCTTCATCAACGGCTAATTTGTCAGTAGCGAGCGGTGCTGTAGTATTTAAATCTCTTGCTTTCAATTCTGTACTTGCTACCTTATCTTCAGGTTCTTCCATTGGTATAGAAGTATCCAGAATAGATTCGTAGTAGATTTTTTGTGTATCCCTTTCAGAATTAAGAAGCTGCCGTGTTGGGCAAAGGATGCAGTCCTGAGTCTCATATGAACCCTTTATGGTTCGTTGGAACATTCCTATAAGGGTGTTTGTAGGTCCAACCTCTATAATATTGTTGCACACTCTGTCTGTAAGAATGACATCCTGTGTTTCAATCCACCGCACTGGGGATGCAAATTGATATCTAATTTTAAATTAAAATACTTGAACCAGAACTAGGTGATCGTATGGAAGAGAAATCACTCACGCCATAAGCTCAACTAGCAGTGTATGAGCCAGCTTCCGCTGGTCGTTGGCATGACCTGCCATGGTAATCACTCTCGCGGTTTTCTCAATCGGTAGACCACCCAGAATCTTCTTATGGTGACAAATTCTTCACTTGTTTCTGTTAGAAGCAATATACATATTGCATCACATAGCTGTAGACTTAACAACAGCTACTTATCTAGAGCCCCTATCTAACTCTCCTTTCATAACCGTCATGGTACCGTTGTATTCAGACTTGCAAACTGATAGGTGGAATAGGTGGGCCAACCAACAGGGATATCAGCTCTTGCCGGTAGTATTCAGTGGCCACTATATACTGGTGCTCTGGATATCGGACAATCAGGTAACGGGACTTTAAAAAAGGGACGAAAAAGAGAAAAGAAAAAGAAAAGAAAGATAATAAAATAAAATAAAAATGGAAAATAAAAATAAAAATAAACGGGGAAGGAGGAAGGGTGTGAACATTCTTCTCTCGCTACTCCCTGCACCGGATATAATTTGGTGCTCCGTTCTCCGTACTCCTAGGCAACTCTGGGTTTATTCCTCTTTGCAGTGGGTCAAATAAAGGATGTATGGCTAGGACCTTTGTTGGATCAGGCCATGCATTGCATTGCATTGCAGCCTTCAGGGGTTAAAAGGGCAATGCTCCATCTCGCACTCCAGCAGCCAGGAATGGGTATAATCCTTGCTGTTAATTAAAATGAGGTCATAGCTGCTTTCTCAAGAGTTTGTTAAGAATTTAGTGGGTACTCTGACGATGTTTTCGCAGTTATTTTTCTTTCTTTCTTTCGTTTTTTTTCATTTTTCGGTAGGAATAAGATTGGCTAAAGGAAGATGTTTATTCACGACGTCAATTCGAGAAGGATAAATTTGTGTTGGGACAGTTGAAATTAACTACAGCTTAGTCAGCATACTCCAGTAGCCATTAAAGTTTTGGCGTGGTGAGCTTAGTCAGCTCTGACCAACCTATCCGAGACTTCCGTGTTTAATATACATAAACACTTCCTTGGCAAGCTCATCTTCATTACCAATTGATTGCTACGTACGTAAATCCTCCTGTGGCTAATCAACATCATTCATTCCATTCGCTACGGTTTCATATTTGACAATTCTTCAGCGTTAGTAGGCTAAACCCATTAGTTACTACGTCACTCCATTCATGCTACCTAGGTTCGTTGGCTCAGTTCTGGGGTCCCTTTCATCATCCATCATTTTCTGCCGTTATCTCATATTCGACCCTGTATCAAAGCATTTATGAACGCCTAATCAAGTGGTTTCCGCGTTGGATACGGGGGAGACCTGCCATAGCCAACCTAGATCGGACTTCACGATGCCCTTCTGGACGTCTAAAAGCGCCTTGGACAGTTTTTTACAACCCTCGCCTGGCCCGTTGACTGCAAATTCGAAAGTATTCCCGGTTGACCTGCGAGTGATTGATTTGACAGGCAGTATCATAGCTGCAGTCCCAGCAGCAAGAACCTCTGTGAAATAAGGAAGCTCGGAATATGGGACCTGTATACCTGTTATTTTCTCTGGACTGGCAAGGGATATTCACTGTACATCCACTTACAGGGCGGATCTCTACGTTCCATCCAAAAGATTTGGCGAGCTCTATACAGCTGGTACTAGTGACACTCTTCAAGATCGAGCGACTATTCGGTGAGACAAGGGTATATGAACTGCCGTTCTGTTTCAAGCCAATAAAGGCGGAGGTGCTAAACTCATCAATCTCCGAATTATCACGGCTGTCAAGGTGAAGTGTCATAAAGAAGCCTTCAGCGCGAGCCTGATCGCTCCATTTCAATACAGGTGCATAGTTGCCGCCGACCTTCACATGACCCACCCCTTTGGGCGCCGCTCTGTCAAAATCCTCCAAGATTAATGCCGGGAGAGGATGAACACCGTGATAGGCTTTATATGGCTGTACATAGATACAGAACTTGTATCCAGTTCCAGCCGAGACTGCGAAGAATGCATCTGACCCGAAGACAAGGGGCCGTATGTATAACGCAGCATCCGTGTTGTGAGGTGGAACATATTCAGCGTTCTTTACGGCGGCGAGATTGACTCCACGCAGAAAAATGTCCTCTGGAATAGGCGGAATTGCAATCGTAGAGCAAGAGAGCGATAAGCGAGCCGCATGCTCTTTAGGACGAAATACTTGAATCAGTCCTTTAGGATCGCGATAGGCTGGAGTCATATCTAGTTAGCTCCAACACTTCCACATAAAGGTAAGGAGATGGTTGACATGCCTTTCATTCCCTCGAACGCTTGCTGTCCTTCGAGAGAGTCAGCTTCTCTTCTCCTTCTGGATTAAATTGCTCCTACCATAATTGAGACCAGGTGCAAGACCGTGGATTCTGAGAAAAGGATCTTGGATAAATCGAGGTTCAGACCACCTGTTCGTGTTGACGAAGTAGTCAGATTCGACATGGCCATTCACTACACAAAACCAAGATATCTTAGTGTTATGCGATTTAAATATCCTCACATAGTGTACTTTCCATGACTTCACAGTCTGAACATACCATCCATAGGCGTTAGGCCTAGTTTGTCCCATTCTAATATGTGCTATGTATTAGCATATCATGATTGTGAATTCGCTGGTGCGGACTGGACAGACAGCTTGATGCGTACCAAGGGAATCTGTTGGAGGGGGTAAATCTGCCATTTTGTTTTATTGTACTTGGGTATTACACAAATAATTATCCAATATGTAGAAGCTCAAGCTCGCGGTCGGGACCGTTACGCTGACCCTTACGGAAATTCTCTCCCCCCAGGGCACTCGCAGGACTGTCAAGTTAACTAAGTAGTAGGTTGCTAAAATACCTACCAGCTGTTCTCTTCGCTGGATTAACTACGGTAGCAACTGTTAACCATGGTTGACATGGTTCCCGCAGATGTGACTGCCATGAATAAGCGTTTGATATCCTTGATGGGTGAAACCACCGGTAAATGAATTACATGTTCCTGTATTGCTGATACAGAAAATACCGTCGTGTTTGCAAATAGTTTAGAGTTTAGGTAACTCGTTAGTTCGGGTGGAACCTTAACGAGTTCGCTGGCAATCTTCCGCTGCCAAGGAAGCTTAGCGAGGAAACTTTACGAAAGTCACAAGTCCTTCGGCGACGTGATGACAGAAAGTAACTGAGCTGGGTAGCCTAACTAATTGGAAGCTCCGGTTATCCAGGAGAGTTTGATATTGACCCTACCGGTCATTCATTCTATTAATTGGCTGTGTTAAGCCAGGTGCGAGGCAAACACATTCCAACAGCCATGCGGCCTAAGGTTTTCCATGGTATCTAGTGGAGTGGGTTTGCTGAATCAATCATCAGGCGAGTTAAGGTTGTCCCACAGGGTGGGAGCACTCGTGTGCTTGTTAACTCACACTAGCCAGACACCCCTGTCAGCCTTGATAGTGATCCTCCCTCGGTCTTTGACATCTTTATGGAGTAGAGTATGCAAGTATGTTGCTTGGTTGTTGTGAGCGTGCAGCATTTAGCCGGCACTATCCCAGAGCGAATACAACAGCGCTCGCAGGGGCTTTCAGAACTGCCTAATTAGGCCTAGAGATATTTTATGAGCCATTTTGCGGCTGAGGGAGGTGCGGCTGAGGGAGGACTGGAAGGTGGGGAGAGGCCAGGGGGTTGCTGCAGTCGGTGCAGGGGCGCAGGGGCCGATGCAGGGGGTCTGCCCTCCTGTACACCCGTTATGGTCTCCACCTGATCTCCACCGTTTAAGCACGCTCCTCCGAATAATGATATTAATTACCTGTACTGCACATAGATAAGTAGCTAAATAGAGGAGGATGTGGGCTCGGAAGGGTCAAAGATAGTAGTTTCTAGCGGAGTGTGAGGCCTGGGCTGGAACCCAAGTGTCAGCTGCCATCATGCATTGGTAGGGAGTAAACAGGGTCCAGTGAGTGAATATTGGCTATGGTTACCTTGGAGGATGAAGAGTATGCACTCAGTATCTCAGGCCACCTTTTATCTCGATAACTCCGTAGAAGTACCCCGAGTGCTCTGCATATATATCCAAAAGCGGTACATTGTCCGAAGGGCCAGAGTGAAGGACCAGAGTTACTGGAAGCGAAGCTCATCAATTATAGTCTCGAAATCCTCCACTTCCCCAATTTGAGGAAAATTGGCGACTGTAGGGATTCATGGGGCAAACCCTGTGTAGTATCCTAGGTAGAGGAAAGAATGGGAAAGCGGGATTGAGTAAGTTTTTTTTGCGGTCCAGACTGTCGGCAATGACTTTCCTTGTAGCGCAATCTACCTAGATGTATGTAGTATTTGTCATTTGATATTTTTTGTGGAAATTCAAACGTCATAGGTTCGTATTTGCTTCAGCAAGAATGCGAAAGGGCCCCGGGGGATGCTTTGCAAGTAATTCCGTTGGTTGGCCTTCCTCGACTATCTCTCCGTTGGATATGACTACGACACGGTCAGCGTCAAGAATAGTAAATATCTGGTGTGCAATTGTGATGACGGTTCGTGTCGCAAAGTGCTTCCGGATGATACTTTGCATCAGCTTATTCGTGTGTAGATCAACACTCGAGGAGACTTCATCAAGAAGTAGAATGGATCCGGGTCGTAGCATTACCCTGGCAAGACAAAGTAGCTGTTTTTGGCCAACGCTGAATAGCTCGTCCGATAGCTGAACATCAATACCTCCCCGAGCTATGACTGTATCCCAGAGTGTCACTTCTTTCAAAACCTGATTTACCTGCTCATCACTGGAAGTCCCGAATGGGTCAACATTCTCACGGACGGTTCCTTGTATGAGGTATGGTGTCTGGGGAACACAGACAAGACGGGTATAAAGGATTTCCTGGGGAATAGCTGAAATATCGACACCATCGATGATTATGTTTCCCTCAGAGATGTGTAAAATACGGAATAGCGCGGAGATAATTGAAGATTTTCCACTGTGCAGAGACTTGTTAAAAACCACACATTACCGAGGCGATGATGGGATATTTTGCCAAAAAATAAATGTAATAAAATAAAATAGTCAATTACTAGTAAGCTTACCTTCCGGTTTTCCCACACAAGGCAATTTTCTCTCCCTTATGGATCGATAGATTCAAATTTTTGATGACTGGCGTAGAGTTAATCTTATATTCGGCAGTAACTCCTCGAAATTCAATAGTCCCATGTTCCGGCCAAGAAGGCGATATGGTAGGCCCAGCTGCCTCGTCTTTCAATTCAGGGGACCACTCTCGCGGTCGGCTCAATAAGGTATCAGTCGAAAATGAGCGAATGCGGGAGACTGCGCCAATGGATATCTCAAGCTGTGTCCAATTGGCCATTAAGCTCTTGATAGTAGTACTGAACTGAACGATGTTTACTAGAGCGATGCCGGTAGACCCGGCATCAACCTTTCCCTTTGTCTGCACAGCAATTGACACGACAATGACAGCAATAGCTGCGACCACGAGGTCAAGCACAAGGTTGAGCCAGCGCTGGACACAGAATAATAGATAAAATGGCTTCTGTGAATCATTAAGCGCCTGGTTGTTATGATGTTCATAATCTTTCTGCCAACCAAATGCCCGGATCGTAACAAGGCCAGACAGAGTTTCTAGGAATTTGGAAAACAGGGGAGCTTTAGCTTCAATGTCAAGCAGTCGCAGTTGTCTCGCAGTGCGCAGGTAAAACTTCTGAATAAAATAGAAGATAGCTAGAATAACTGGTATAGCAACACCAATGTATTTCGACGCGACTGCAATAATGATTAGCTGGACCAGGCAAGTTATAAGTTCAACGGTCGTGTTAAAGAGAGCTAGTGGAAGTTCCATATCTGCCAATTGTAAATCTTGAGCAAACCGATTGATGGTGGTTCCCATGTCGGTACTTAGAAAGAATTGCAGAGGTGCATCCACGACTGTACTCAGGAGGCCTTCGTGGAATTGCCTCGAAGCTCTCGGTAGCATGTGCTCAGTCAGATACCTGTGTACTTTCAAGTAAGCAACTGCGGTAGCTCCAGACCGGTGAATCGTACCAAGCAGCAACAGCCAGAGAAACAATTGCCATTCCAGCAAGCGCAGCGTAAATTCCCAGGTATAGTCCAATATGGGAAATAGTATATTCTGTGTCCCGTTGTAGCCACCATTTTATGACAAAATCTTTATTTGGTTATGTTAGCAGGTTTTTAGCTATCCAGCGTGTAGTAAAAAACAGAGGTGACTGACGTGGTAAGGTTAGTCCGAGGACAAAAACCACACAGATCGCAGTGAAGAAAGCTGCGCTCATAGGGTGAACTACTTGTATGTAGTACTTATAGACAGTCGTATCGCCAACCCGTCGTTCCTTTTCTTGAGGAGATGCAGTTAGAGGTCTGGCGCTAGAGAGTTCGGGTGTAGCCCCTATGTGGCTTTCATGGGATTGGCCGGGCGAAGTTCGCTTCTCGGATGGTGCAGCCAAAGTTACTCCCTCTGACAATTCTTTTTCCAAGGCATCATCTTTGCTCACTTGGTTGCCGGTAGAATCAAGGTATATAGCATTATCTGCGTAGTTGAGGCGATTCATTGCTATAGTAGTCAGTCACAATTTATCATCCGTACCTGCTTATTACTATTTTCATAACCAAATTAATTATTGAATTTCGTGGATGAGCTTACCGGCATTCGTAGCCAAAACTATAGTGGTGTTTTCCGTTGCCAGGATGCCACGTTCTCCAAATAAATTGTGGAGTATTGACTCCTCGGTTTTTGCATCCAAACCGGAAAAGACATCATCTAGCAGTACAAGCGTTTCTCTTGAATATAGTGCTCGTGCGATCCCCTGTATGAAGGTATCAGCTCTTTTTATGCCTATTAAAATTGCTAAGGACTGAACGGCGATTGTTGCTCACCAGTCGAGCCTTTTGGCCGCCGCTCAAGGCCATCCCACCACTGCCGACAATCCATTGGTCTCCGTAGGGAAATCCTTGGAGATCATCTCGCAGCACGCAAGCATCTATCACCTGGTCATACCAAGTCTGCTGGAAGAGGTTAGAGCCTATAATGTTATCTCGAATGGTGTCGTTGGTAATCCAAGGTTCCTGGCAGCCATAACCGACCCTTGTAACTGATTTTTGGAGAGAGCCATTGGTATGCATCACCTCACCCAGAATCGAATGCAGCAGTGTTGACTTCCCGCATCCGACTGGCCCAACGATGAAAGTAACAGTCGAACGTAAAATTTCAAAATCCAAGTTCTTGACAACAAAAGGCAAATCGACATTCCAGCCAGCACTGAAGCCTTGAGCCCGAACAAGAACTTCTTTTCCTTTTTCCTCATATGTGTCAGGCCTGGTTGGTATTGATGGAGGGACCATTTCAGTGCTGGATGCTTTGCTTGCGTTAGTAGTTGGCTTCGAAACGTATTCACCTATACGTTCAACTGCTCCAAAGGCAGCAACAAACCCAGCAATGGCGTCTAAAATAAGCGCCATGGGAGTCTGCAAAAGCGCTAGAAGTGACAGTGAGGTATAGGCCTTTTCATAATCCAATGCCTGGGAACCGTTTCTCAACGCCAGAAGCGTGTACATGGTGAACGCTAGCAAGGGTCCAGATGCTGCCGTAGTGAAGGCTAGATAGGCGTGTTAGTGTATTCGTATCCAGGTTTTTTGTATTGGAGAACTCAGCCTACAGAGTGTTACAATCATAACCAGCGCTTTCTTGAAGGGGCGGGATTCTGATATTTCCTTTGATCTTAGTTCCTGCAGCTTCTTTGCCGCGTGGCCCTGTAACCCGCCCAGCCGAATCTCCTTGATGTTCTTTAGCATTGACGAGGTGGCATGCACTCTATTTTGAATGGCCTCTAGCCACTGTCGCTGGCGGGCGCCCATGGAGGCTGCCACAAGCAGTCCAGAAAGGGTGCATACTATTGTAAAGACGGGGGGAATTCTGGTTAGTGACTAGTTATCCAGTTGACCTTGCTGGGCGATTGCAAGCTACGACGGAGCTTTTAGTTACCAAGAAAGATTGCCGCAGGGGCTACAGCTGCGACTCCAAGCTGCTGCTGCAAAAACCAGAGAGCAAGGCCGATATCTATGGGGCTAGCCCAGAGTTCATGGAAATAGCGTAGCCCTGAGCTGATACGTTCAATGTCCACACTCATCAGGGTGAGTGCAGCGGAATCGCGCACTGCAGAGGTGTCTAGATGCAGGGTCTGGGTATAGATCAGCGGGACGAGGCTGCTGCGTAGCATCGTAATAAGGCGATATGTCTTGTGCTGGGTGTTGGTGGTGGCCACCGCCAGGCCGATGTAGATGAGCAAGGCTGCTGCAATGAGGCCGTAGCCGTAGCAGCTGGCCAGTCCATCGTCGCCGTCTGCTGCTTCTTCCGTGACGTATCTCACGATGCGAGCCAGCAGGAACGGCTGCGTGAAGGTGAGTCCGGTCACGCAGAGACGGGGGATCACAGCAGCCAGCGCCGCCCATAGATGGTGAGCGGCCAGCAGACGGACCAGCGCCGCCGGGGACTTGACCTTTGCTACAGCAGCGAGTTAGCATCAGATATATAGTCATAATCAACAGGCAGTCTACGTACCGGCTTCCCACTGGCCCAGGAACGAGTCCTCATCGTCGCCGCCGCCCCTGAGACGCCGATCGATAGCGCTAAGCTTCTCGGCCTGCAAGATCTCACGGAACCCCTGGAGCAGCAGCGGGTTCAGCCACCAGAAGACACTGCGGTTGTACACGTTCGCGGCGGTCTCTGCCGGGAGCCGCCCAGGGCCATCAGCGCCATCAGCGCCATCGTCTCTGCGCTCGAGCAGCTCAAGCACGAACTTGGCCAGGTCGGACACGATGCCGGCGATGAACACGGCGCAGAACACCCGCGCCTGCACCGCCCACAGCGTCCGCGCCCGCACGGCGTCCAGCAGCAGCGAGAGCCCCAGGAAGAGCGAGACGGGCGTGGACGGCCGCGGCGACCGGCAATGCTGCCAGTACGACAGGACGGCGACGGAGGCAGACGTTGCGGCGGCTATCGACACGGCTGCAACGGTTGCGCGGGTCGCCAGCGCTCGCCCGGGGACAAGCACGAGAGCGACGAGGACGAGCTTGATGCCGGTCGAGACAAGGTGCGCGGTCTAGCAGGGCATCATCATCATCAGACAGATCCGATTCTTTAACTACTGTGGTCTACTGAAGGTCGACGGCCGCTCACCAGTTTGGAGTAGAGAAGAGGGCCGGCGGGCGCCTGCTGGTGATGATTATGCTGCTGCTGGTGATGGGACAGCCGGGCCAGCTGCACCGGCAGCGACAGCAGCATGGCGCTGCACACGCCGATGGAGAAGAAGGACTCCTCGAACAGCAGCGTGAAGTCGAAGCCATCGAGGCACTCTGGCGCCGCTGCAGGCCCAAATGTGTCCTCGGCACGGATAGAGCAGCCCATTCCAATTTGATGGCAGAGCTCACACACACAAAGAATGCGATGTCTATGTCTGCTATGCGATGTCTATGTCTGCTATGCGTCTCTCATCTCGTTCAAGTAGTTGACTACGCATCCAGCCAGTCAATCGCTAACTAATTAACTAGCTGGAACTGCTGCTGTTGGCTCCGTTGGAACGACCAGAAACCTCCAGGTCCCCTTGCTCAGCTCGGCACCGAGTCTGTGCCGGCCAGCCAGTTGGTGGGCTAGCTGACCTGGCCATTGAGTTGCGTAACCAGAACAGCTGGTTGGCCGGATTGGCCTGGTTCGTTGGTGAGCTCGCTTGTCAGATATTATTTGAACCGGGTTGTCCGGAGCATCGCGGACGGTGCTTGAAGGATTCATATTACTTACTGCAAGCGACCCTTCAGGGGGTCTCGACAGTTGGCCATGGACCATCCACACATGTCCTCAGCTGCGCGTCAGGGAGACACTCACTCTCACTCTTAACGGTGCCAGCCAGGCATGTATGTACATACATACCCTGTGTGGATATCTCTTTGTTGTCCAATCTTGGTTGAAATAACTGGTTGGTTTGCTATCTGATGCCAATCGGCCAGCCATGATAGTTACCACCTGCGTACATTGCGTACGCGATGATATAAATTCCCTTCATTCATTGCAAGAGACGTACGAAGATGCGACTGCTCGCAGGGGATATGCCACAATAACTACGTACCCCTCCGCGTGTCCCTCATGGACATGGTAACAGAGCCTGCTGGGCCACTCGATCTATTTTCAGGGTGAATTTCATTGTTACAGCCAGACCCTGTCCAAGCCTGCGCCCCAATCACCGGCGCTTAGCCAGGATTGTTTGTTTGGCTTGCAGCCCCCCGGGGGAAGAACAATCACATCAAATTGAAGGAGGGCTGCAGGAAATGGGGAGAGTGTTGAAGATATTTAACCATATCAGCGGTTGCTGCAATATGGATAATTGTACTGCTGTGCATCCATCACCGAGCTGTGCTCCTTTCGATTCAACTACTCGTCCTGTTTTGACTTAACACTGTCCTTCATTCAATAATACCCTCATGCCTCTCGTTTGTCTGCTGTGATTGACCTTATTTTACTTGTGTCTTTACGATACACCACATACCGTGCGAGACAGAGTGCGAGAAAGGGACGATGCTGCGCTCCGTACCGTTTCTGCTTCTCCTGCTATCCGGCGTGGAAGCGCTTGTACCAACGCCTGTACGAACCGCTGTACCACAAGGCACGGTTCCTCATGCCGCTGCAGAGACTCCGTCTCCAACGCCTATGACACCAGCGAGAATTGAACACCGAGAATTTTCAATCTCGATCCCCCCGGTTTCAATCCCTCCTGTCTCCATCCCTAGCCTGTCGCTTGACCTGCCCGTCAACACTTGCACTCCAACCATCGCCCCTGACAAGAATGGCTGGGTGCCACCATCGGAATGCAACGCACTCTACCTCTACTATCCGTCTTTCGGGGCTGCCATTGCGTTTTCCGTCCTATTTGGCGCGGTGATGATAGTACACTTTGTGCAGGCTACCATCTATAAAGCTGGCTTCGTCTGGGTTATCTTGATGGGAGCCACCTGGGAATGCATAGGGTTCGTCGCCCGGTCAGCAGGTACTCGCGACCAGCAGAGCTCCGGCCTGGCAACAACGGCTCAGTTATTTATTCTGCTCTCGCCCTTGTGTATAGTGCTCCCTTTCCTTCCTCTGTCCTGCTTAAACTTGCGACCCGTCTAACAGCATTCATAGGGGTTAATGCTTTTGACTACATGGTTCTTGCTCGCATGATCCATTTCTACATCCCCAGTCGAACCATCGGCATTTTCAAACCAGCAATACTAGCGAAGATCTTCATTGTTCTAGATTTCGTTGCCTTTATCATCCAGCTCGTTGGTGGCGGCATGGCTGGGCCCGGACAAACACCCGAGGCCGCAATGCGAGGAATCCATATCTACATGGGTGGCATTGGGATCCAGGAATTTTTCATCATCCTGTTCCTCATCCTCGCCATTCAGTTCCACCGTCAAATGCTCCACCTCGAGCATACTGGAAGACTGCAAGATTCCAAGCGAACCTGGAGGCCTCTCTTATACTCGCTTTACATCAGTCTCTTCTTTATTACCATGCGCATCGTCTATCGTTTGATAGAATTCTCGTCCGGACACACTGATTCAAATCCTATTCCGCACCACGAGTGGTACATGTACGTCTTCGATGCCGTTCCAATGCTCTTTGCCATTGGAACATGGAACGTTATCCACCCGGGAAAAATCATACGGGGCCCCGATGCCAAAATGCCCTCCAGCGGTATTAGTAAGATATTCTGCTGTGCCTGCTGCACCTGCTGCGGCCGCCGAAAGTCTTCGGATTTGCAGAAAATACCCAGTTCGGACCCAGTGGGAGATGAGATGTTGCCATTCAGACACCGGGCACCCTCTCCGTATAGATAGTATTCTTTAATTCATTGTTTAAACTCATTTATGATGAGACGCAAACTTTGCTTCTTTTTTTGTTGTCCCTTCTTTTCGATGGTTAATAGGCGTGAGGTTCCGTTCTATCTGAGACAGCTATTTCTTTGAATTTTACATTTCTCATTTGATAGAAACATTCTATATACCTATGCCAGGTGCTCAAAGTGGATTTGTACGATGGTGTACTTTGCAGCAATCATAATGATCTTGTTTCTTAATTTCCGGCAAATGAATGTGAATATCTAGCTATAGTGCCATTAGGGAGTATTAGACGGTCTAGATGTGTTCAGCCAGAGGGTTTAACAGAATGCTTTTTGCAAGTAAGAGATATTATAGATCCATATATCGTCCAAGGACCGATGGCATCGTATCTCCAAAATGCAGAGGAAGGGAATCCATCTCAGAAAAGTGCCTAACCGCCTCAAGCCCCCGTTTTCTCTTTTCTGTAAACATTGCCAGACTCTCGCTAGTAGAATCCCCATCCGCTTCTTCCGATGCCTCAGTATTTCCATCTGGATATAGACCCAAATACACAAGCACGTCCTGTGGCTTAACGGTTCGCCGGCCGTCCTTGAAAACATATCGACTCAAGGAAGAAGAAAGGATATAATTGTTTGCATCGAGACTCGATATATTACCTTCTCTCCCAGTACGTTGAGACTGAGCTGAGGAGGGTCGCAGAGCCGACTTATCCATTCCATCCTTGACGAAGTAGCTGACGACATACAACCATTTTTCGTCCCAGGAAATCACTCGAGACCATATTTCGTATTTCTGAAACGGCTTTATCTCCTTCTTAAACATGCATGACACTCCACCCAGCGCTATCCCCAGAGACTTCTCCTTGTGATATCCCCTTTTTGGCCTGTCCTGTTTATTAGTGGCGTTTATACCCTTGGCATTAGATGGCGACGCTGTACCATCTGCAGTTTTCCAGCGAGGAAACCCCCCGAAAATGTTCAGGAGTAACTGAGTTCGATTTATGTCAAGGTCAGAGAAGAATGTGCTGTTGGATTTGTGCATATTATAGTCACAATCGATGGGAGAGTTGCGGTGCTCGGTAATCAAATAGGAAAAGAGTTGGGGGGCGCCATTCGGCTGGTCAGAGGTGATTGATGCGGCATTAGTGATGCCGGAGCCCGTGGTACAATCGTTATCACGGTTGAAACTCCGCCGTTTGGCATGGAAAAGCTGTGTTGTGATCCCTTTTAAAAGCCGTACCTAGCATGTGGAACAGTAAGTCAGCAACGAAATAATTATAGCCCCCAACTTTCAAGAAACATACGTGCCAAAATCCCGGGATTCCCTTTATATTAATCAAGAAAATACCAGTGAATACCGCCAATATGGCATATGAAATGAACGGAGTTGGGCTGAGGCCTCCAACCAATTCAAATGCACCCAGAAGCGACATTGTGGTCTGAGGAATGGCTCTCTCGCTCATGTCAGCTATTAACCTAAAGGGAAGGGGGGAAAATGTGTATGGACGGAGATTGGGAGCATAAGGTGCTTAGCTCAGGCCTCCTTGCAGTCGATAACCGATAATCCAGATGTAACCTCGAGATACCAGGAGAGTCAACTATTTGGCTCTACCATCATCCGATTTCTCCGGCTCGCTATTGAACCAGGGCCGCTAACGTTCTCTGGGAATAAATGGAACCAGACCCCATGGGTCCCCAGACATACCGTTTACCAAGTTATTGGTAATTCTTGATAAAGTACAGCTGACTTATGGGTAGCCATGAATTGAGCCATGGTCGTACATCAGTCCAGTCTCCATTGAGTTCATTGCAAGGGCGTGAAGCCAGAACTGCCGATGATTGCTGCTTCTATCCCAATGGGGTATTCGGTAAGGGAAAAAGAAAGAAAAGAAAAAAGAAATATATACATATACATATATATGTATACTTAGTATATGCAGGCCAAGAAGACAGTTATCGTAGTTCACTAATGTCAGGGATGTGGACGTGTTGTTGTACAGGGAGGGGTCGGTTATGCCTGTCAACCAAAGAAGTATACCGGAGTATGGCCCTGCTGCCAGGGCTAATGCCACGGCATTACCAGTAACTTATTTGTAAACTTTCCTAGCGACAATGTGCCTGGCCCCCTTGAATGCATGACGCTGCAGTTAAGTTTTTTGAGTAAATTTTTACCCGTTATAGCATGTTAACCGGAGGCTGTAGACCGTGCTGCGATCCTTCTAGATAAACAATCACCGGCAGGATTGCTGACTGTTGGGGGCTGGGTAACAAGCCGAAGGACATGCCGTGGAGTACTCCAATCCAGGTCAGGAGTGTTGCAAAATCAAGTGAAACTTGATCTCGTAAGTTGGCAGGAACATACTGGCTGGCCTGAGAACTACCTACAAGTTAGGAGAATTTGAGCAGACATTTATCCACATAGATTCCGCAAATAGAATGTAGTGGTATGATGGGATTATGGCCAAAACAACTTCTTGTCCGTACCACGATATCAATTCTTTGAACTGACAGCTATCCAAGGATTCGATATGGACAGTCCGTGGTCCGTACTGAGCACTCACCAACCAGGCTCAACAACAACCTCCTGGGGGGACCAGCAGCAAATCGACCACGATTCTCCAGTGTGTAAAATATTGCTTCAAAATGGCGATGTCCAGTGCGAGTTTGACGTTCCCCATAGCATGGCCGTACGTGGTCGGGATCTCCAGGAGGTCTTTTCAAAGCAGGACACCGCAAAGTACTCATCAGCACTCGATCTATGTTTGGCTTTCTTGGAATACACCATGGACCATTCGAACGAGGATTCCAACAGCCACCACGTTGATATGGTCATCTTGACAAAAGGGCTCAGAAATATCCAGGAAAATATATTGGGCAATGAGAACATCAACACTGCCTTGGCATCCATGAACTTCGATATTGGCATTAGAGCCTCCATTCTGAGATCTTATTTTCGCCTCTGTGCCTTCACAAAGTGCAAACCCTCGCCCGGGAATAGCAAACTCATAATGGACGTCCAGACAGGGAATGCAAAAGTGCTTGCGCTTTTCGGTGGGCAAGGTTTCGATACCTATTTCAATGAGCTACTCGAAACCTACCAGATACATCAGCACCACATTCAAGCGCTTGTGCACTGCATGGCTACCACTCTGAAAAGCCTTTCCACTGAAGATGGAGTCAAGGACGCTTATTCACAGGGGTTCGACGTTGAGGAGTGGTTGACCACGGAAACCTCTCGCCCTGATTGGAATTACCTAACTAGCGCTGGTGTCAGCCTTCCCCTGATTGGGCTTTCTCAGTTTGCCGCCTACGCCGTGGCCTGCATAAATCTTCAACTCTCGCCAGGCGAGCTACGAAGCAGCTTCTCAGGAGCAATTGGGCATTCTCAGGGTATCATTGTCGCATCATATATCGCAGCGGCAGACTCATGGGACTCGCTTTACACCGTAGCTCAGCAGGGGGTGGAGGTACTGTTCTGGATCGGGTGTAGATGCCAGCAAATTAACCTACACCCAATAACACATAGGGAACAGCTATCATCATATATGCTAAGTGTCAAGGGGCTTTCTCGTGATATGCTGCAAGGTGATATTGACCAGCTGAACCACTATCTGCAACAGTCGGGCGCGCTCCATATTGGCTTGATGAACGGACCACAGCAATTTGTCGTTGTCGGTTCCCCACTATCCTTAAAAGGGCTACAAAAGAAAATCCAACTGAGAGATATCAGGACCTCCAAACCCATCAATCAATCACGAGTCTTGTTTAGTCAACGTCCACCAGTGATTAGTGCTTCCTTTTTGCCCATCACGGCACCGTTTCATTCTCCATATCTCGAGGAGGCGCAAAAGAGGATACTTAAAGATCTTATTTCGCATTCGTTGAAAGGATGTACCCTCGCCTTCCCTGTATTTGATACAGAGACAGGGAATAACCTACAACACTGTGACAACATTATTCCCCAGCTGGTCCAAATGGTATGTACCAAACGCGTACAGTGGGAGAGAGTTTTGAATATGGCCCTGACAGGAGTTACTCATGTACTGGATTTCGGTCCCGGAGGGAGCGCAGGGATTGGGAGACTAATCCATCAGCAGAGGGATGGCACAGGGTTGAGAACAATAATCGTGGGAGCAGACTGTGACGCTAGCTCGTTTTTCGGCGGCATGGGTGAATTATATGGTCGATACTATCCCGTTAAGTATAGCGCTATTTGGGGTGACGTATATGCTCCTCGCCTGATCCGTACATCATCCGATGGCGCAGAGCTAGTGAGTACAAAGTTCAGCCGGTTCTTTGGCTCCCCACCTGTGATGGTAGCAGCCATGACCCCAACGACAACAGCACCGGACTTTGTGGCAGCGATAATGAATGCCGGGTATCATGCCGAACTAGCTTGCGGGGGTTTCTCAGAGCCTGATAGTATGCGCAATGGGATACTCTCCCTTTCTGCCAGAATTTCACCTGGCCGTGAAATTACGTGCAATGTTATTTATGCCAATCCGAGGGCAATGGCATGGCAGATCCCACTGCTGCAAGAACTGCGCAGAGACGGCGTTCCCATCACTGGATTAACCATCGGAGCAGGCGTCCCTTCTGAAGACACGGTTCGAGGCTATATTACTGATATGTCTCTGACACATATTGGTTTTAAGCCAGGCTCAAAGCAATCTATTGACGCTGTTCTGGGAATTGCACGGGCTAATCCAGGCTGTTCCATTCTTCTACAGTGGACTGGAGGGCGAGGTGGGGGCCATCACTCATTCGAAGATTTCCATGAGCCCATTCTTGCTAGGTATAGTCAGATTCGAGAGCACTCAAATATCATTTTGATTGCAGGTAGTGGCTTTGGAGATGGTGATGAATCATATCCATATCTTTCCGGGGAATGGTCAAAAAGATACGGCTATCCCCCCATGCCGTTTGATGGTATCTTGCTTGGGAGTCGCGTGATGGCTGCAAGAGAAGCCCACACCAGCCCTGAAGCGAAGCGAGCTATTTGCAACGCCCCTGGAGTGCCAGATTCACGTTGGGAGGAAACTAGCTACGGGCCAGCAGGCGGAATTATAAGCGTCATGTCCGAGATGGGGGAGCCGATTCACAAACTGGCAACACGAGGAGTGATGTTATGGGCGGAACTGGACCGGAACGTCTTTAGCTTGCCCCGTGAAAAGCAAAAAGAGGAGTTACTCGTTCGTAAAGACTATTACATCCAGCGGCTCAACAATGACTTCCAGAAAGTGTGGTTTGGCTCCAGTTCTGACGGCAAGGCGGTTGACTTGACCGAGATGACTTATGCAGAAGTTGTTCGACGTCTGGTTGACCTTTTATATTTGAGACGGTCACGTGAGTGGATTCACGGTGACTTTAGGTTTCTCGTATTTGATTGGATACGTCGACTGGAGGAGCGACTACACCGGAGCAACACTTGCAACGGCTATAAAAGCACGCATGATGATGACGGCAGAGCAGTTCTTCATGACGTTAAGCAACTGGATCAACCTCACCAACTTATTGAGGAGCTATTGATCAAATATCCACACGCTGTGACGGATGTTATCACCGCCGCCGACGCCGACTATGTGATTGAGCTGTCGAAACGTCGGGGACGGAAGCCCGTTCCCTATATTGTACAACTGGACGAAGATTTTGAATACTGGTTTAAAAAGGATTCACTATGGCAATCTGAGCGTCTTGAGGCCGTTCAAGGCCAGGATGCTGGACGCATATGCATTCTCCATGGCCCTGTGGCTGCTCGGCATACTCGCCAAGTGGATGAACCTGTGAGCAGCATCTTGGATGGCATTCATGATACTTTTATCACAAAGGCTCGTACGAACGAGACTATTTTTGATTTTACTCCTTCTCAATCACCATCTAACCTGGCAGAAGGTATTCAGAAGGTGCCCTTGTTACCACGTGGAGTTACTGTCGACGTATCGGAGAATGGAAAATTGGTGAGATACTCGCTGGCAAGTACTGAATCCGAACTACCTTGCCATGATGATTGGATAAAGTTCCTAGCTGGTACAACACATGTAGCATGGTGCGTCTCAATATTGACAGAACCAGACATCGTCCGAAACGGCATCCTGGTGAACAATCCAATAAGAAGGGTCTTCGCCCCTAAACCTGGCCGCGTCGTCGAGCTTCATAACCCATCGTCCCCTGAACAATGTATAATGATGATTAAAGAAATTGGGAACATACAAAATACCTCGAAGGAATGTTCAAGCACTACAATAGCTTCCGCTTCCATGCAAAAGCGGCTGGAGGGGGGGATCATCCTATCCCTTTCTAACCATTTAATGAGAGATAGATCTACGCCGGGTCTGGACTTCGAATTCAAATATCAACCAAGATCCAGATCCCCTAGGATAATTGAATGTACCCACGATCACATTGTGGAATCAAGACGCTTCTACCAATCCATTTGGATTGGAGAACAAGTGACAACTGCAACACCTGGCACGGTATTCCACGGTGAAGACGCTATTATAAACCGAGATACAATTGTTCTGTTTGCTAAGAGTATCTGCAATTATAACCAATACTATATATCCCCATCGAAAGCCCTCTTACACGCGCCGCTCGACTTGGCAATAGCAATTGCATGGAAACCAATGATGAGATGCTTATTTTCCACGTCCAATCCTGGAAACATGCTTAACTTATTACATCTCACTAATGAGTTTCGTCTACACGAAGGAGTTAAACCCATCCGTGAAGGAGATTCTGTCTCGTCGAAATGCAGGCTCACTGCGGTCAAAATAAAGAAAGGGTCAGGAAAAATTATTGGAGTTGAAGCGACAATTCTTCGGAATGGTGCTCCAGTTGTCCACCTGAAAAGCGAATTTATCATCCCTGGAGTATACACGGATTATTCGTCAACATTTGAGATAATTGAGGAAAAATTCCTGGTACAAATAGCTTCAATGAAAGACATTGAACTATTAAAGGCAAGACAATGGTTTCGGTTAAATGAGAATACGGATCTCACCCACTATCTCAATCAAAAAATTGAGTTTCACATCACTAGTCGGTACTTTTTTAAGGATTCAGAAACCTATTCCCATCTCGAAGTTGAAGGTCAAGCCGTCCATCAACACGCTCCAAGTCATACCACAATCCTTGGATCTGTGTACTTTTCTTCTGAATCCTACAAGAAAAACCCAGTAACGGATTATTTACATCGTCGTGGATCAAGCATAAAAGATACGCATAATAGCTTGAAACACTCCTGTCAGCTCGCACAAGGTGTTGAAGTGATTATCCCTAGCTGGGGTATTGATTATGCCCAAGCTTCTGGAGATTGCAATCCAATCCATGTGTCTGAACTTTTTGCTTTATACTCTGGATATCACAGTCGCGTGACTCATGGTATGTTCACCAGTGGATTTGTCCGGGGCTTTGTTGAATCACATGTCGCGCACAATGATGTATCTCGAATGCGCTCCTGGTCTTGCATTTTTGAGGGGAAAGTTTTTGAGGGAGATAGACTGTCGGTTTCAATAGAGCATATTGGCATGTGTCGGGGACAGTTGGTGATATCCGTGAAGGCAGAAAATGCAGTCACTGGCATGAAAGTTCTATCTGCTCGGGCCAAAATTGAACAGCCCACGACTGCTTATGTATTTACTGGCCAAGGGAGTCAGCAACCGGGAATGGGGTTGGAGCTCTACAAAACAAGTCTTGCTGCCCAAGCTGTCTGGACCACAGCCGATCGGTATTTTATCAACCAATATGGTAAGTCACTCCCAGCTAAATGCAATACAAATTGATGATTAGGTACTTAGTTATTGATTGCCTTGCTTCCAGGTTTTTCGATGCTCGATATCGTTCGTGAGAATCCTAAGCACTTAACTATTCATTTTGGAGGTGCAAGGGGCCGCAAAATACGCGATAACTATATGGCTCTCATACTTGACAGCAAAGGTAAAAATGGGGTACCCACTCAAAAGCCACTGTTCCCGACCATCACAAGCTGTTCTAGGTCCTACACATTTCGCTCTACCAGTGGTCTCTTACATGAAACCCAATTCACTCAACCAGCTCTAGCTTTGATGGAGATTGCACGGTTCGAAGACATGCGTAGTAGGGGGGTTGTCAAGGAAGAGTCTTTATTTGCTGGCCACTCCCTTGGTGAATACGTGGCATTAGTTGCGGTAGGAAAGATTCTCACCATTGAGCAGATGGTTGCACTCGTGTTCTACCGCGGATTAACGATGTCCAACGCCGTTAAGCGTGACTCCAACGGTGCAACAAATTACTCCATGTGTGCAGTTAATCCAACCCGAGTCTCGAAGACATTTTCTGAGGTTGATCTGAACTGGTGTGTGCAAGAGATTTCTCGACATACGCAAGGGTTACTAGAGATTGTTAATTACAATGTCATAAATATGCAGTACGTTTGTGCTGGTGATGTAAGTGCTCTCTCCAAAAGATGACTTTCCAGTTTTCTCAGGTTAACAAACTGTACTTGTAGCTGCAAGGACTTGCAACTCTTACAGCGGTAATGGATGCTCTAGCGTCTGGAAGCCTAAATATGTCTGAGTTGCAGGATGTGCACGCCTTTATACGGAAACATCTTAGTATTTTAGAGCAGACACAAAGGCCGATTGCTCTCCAACGGGGTCTAGCAACTATCCCACTGGCAGTAAATGTGCCGTTTCATAGCAGTCTGTTGCAACCTGGAGTGGACTCCTTTCGACATTTCTTACAAAAGCATATCAATGATTCTACGATTGATCCAGGACTCTTGGTTGGAAAATACATCCCAAATCTCACTGCGAGGCCCTTCGAACTTTCACTGGATTACATCAGAGATGCTTTCGAAATTACAAAGAGTCCAGTACTTGAAAAGGTCATGCTTGGTGTAAGTATGGTATGACCCTACCTTTCCATAAAGAAAGAAAAAAGGTTGCTGACAACTACCTGTAGTTAAATCAAGCCGAATGATAAGAAATACCAACCATCTGAAACCCCTTACGGTAATTCTATGAAGGGCGAGACATAGGGCTGTTATCCCACAGGCTTTAATCAAGTTATTTATTTTCCAATCTGGCCACCAGCCTTCTGTTTGTGTCTCGATTTCCCTGATGACGCTTTCGTGTAGTGACATATAGATCATTTGGTTAATTTATTTGTGTAGGAGGTATTTTATATGATAGATCTTCAACAAGATTAATAATCCATGACATAGCAATACTCATAAATCCACTATGTTTTAGACTACAGAATCGCGGTCCTTCACCGTATCTAGTAATCATGTTCTCTGCGCTACAAATAACAACTGGTTGTTTGTGCTAAAAGTAAGATGCGGTTACACCAATAATCAACCGTGCCTCTCTTAATATATTTAATAGCGAAGGGAGAGGGGAGCGATCTTGGGGTATCTCTCTCAGCCTGCGGGTGTAGAGTGAGAAATTGATTGGCTAGATTAGATAACTGACTTACAAGCAAATGATATGGCCCACCACGGCAGTGACTAAAGCTGCCGGCCTAGTATTGCTAGGCCACATATTTTGCTTGAAGCAATTGCCAGTAGATAACGGGGGAGCACGGAACAAAGGTATCCACTTTTAATGAATAATTTAAGACAAAGCTCACGGTGCTGTACGCCGTTCCGTAAAAATGAATGGCATCGATCACAAGGGTTGCTCGGGATATCAACTATCGTGGGAACAGGTAGTGTGTACCAAGTCCAGAGTAACTTTATTTTAAAGTTTCTAGGCTTGGCGGCCCAGGGGCTTGGGAAAGTTTGACTAACAAACTTAATTTTTTTAGCAAAAATCAAGGATTACTTGGCGTTTCGTATCGTACGTATTTTGTATCACTTAAACCATTGTTACGCTATGTATTATCGACGGAGCAGGCTCAAGCGAGTTGTTTCTCAGCTGCATTTACATATCGACCTCCGGCAAGATTAACGTCCATGGGTTATATTCCTTTAAGTCCGGAAACCCTGCCTATAACTCTGGCAACAGGATGGCTAGGTACTTAGTTCCTTGCACTCTAGGCTGATGTAGATATGTATAGGGGAGTCCGTAGTTAGGACGAACGATATTAATATCCCAACGTGGGTCGAAGCCAGCCTCTACGGTCAGTAGTCTTCTATTCCATCATCGCATTAGCTAGTGCACGCATTATTTGAGGGCAAAAGATGCTCAAGTTCCACTTCCCTTCATATACCACGTTGTGGTTCACTGTTATCTTGGGTGCAGCTGCCCTACTTCTCTGTGTATGTCCAAATAAGTCACCTAACCCGAAAACACGGCTGATATTTAACTGTAGCTAGTTGGAAGATTGGTTTATCTAGTACATTTCCACCCTCTGGCGAAGTATCCTGGCCCATGGATTGCCAAAATCACAAATTTATATGCTGGATATCATTCTTGGAAAGGGGACCTTCATATAGATATGCTTAGTTCTCACGACAAGTACGGTTGGTGGCTCACACTTGGTTTTTGAAAGGCTTCATCTCTCTCTCTCTCTCTTTTGACTAATTATTCTTCCCCAGGGAAATTTGTCCGATATGGCCCAAATAGTCTCCTGGTAAACACGGTGGATGGGCTTCATGGCAAGTATATCCCTATCAAGTTTATGCGGGCTTTTATTTTCTAAGATATACTTGTTTAGATATATACGGTCACGGAAAACGATTCAAAAAGGCCCAGAGATATGGAGCTATGGTGCACCGCGCCCCCAATACCTTGACAGTAATCGACAAGAAGAAGCATGGAAAGAAGAGACGCATTATAAGTCAGGGATTTTCTGATTTTGCACTTAAGAAGCATGAGATTGTGATACTTGAACAAGTACAGCATTTGTGTACGCAGTTGAGGATGGGATCGAACGGAGAACAAATACCCATCGGTTCCTGGTCCCCCCCAAAGGATATGGCACGGCTCAGTAAGTTTGGCGTCAATGATACAGGCACAAAGAGTCAATAGCTAATCAATTAGACGACTACTTTGCTTTCGATGTGATGAGCAATATAATTTTTGGAGTCCCTTGGTCGACCCTGCGAAGCCCGACATATCGTTTCATTCCAGAAGTCATTGAGAAGTCGAATGTCCGTGTCGGGACTCTGACACAAGCTCCTGAAATAAGTTTCTTGAGGTTTGATAAAATTGCTTTCCCCGAAGCTATTCGCGCTAGGGATAAATTTGTTCGATTTGTAGATGAGATGCTCAGTCAGGGAATTAAACACGCCTCTAAAACTGGATGCGGTGTTTTTGCAATTTTGTCCAGGTCAAAGGATCCTGAGACTGGTGAACCTTTGAAAATGAGAGAGCTAGGCGGGGAAAGCGCAACTCTCATTGTGGCGGGTAAGCCCTTCTCTACTTAATTAATCACCTCTCTGTCTTCCCTTCTTTCAATATCTAATGAGGTATAAATCATGTTTAGGCACAGACACAACATCTACCGCCCTAGCATCATGTTTCTTCTACTTATCTCACAACCAATCCTCGTATGATCGTGCTACTGCAGAGGTTCGAACTGTCTTTGGGTCATCTGAGGATATTACAATGGGGCCAATGATGAACAAATGTGTCTTTCTACGTGCTTGCATCGACGAAAGCATGCGGATGTCCCCTCCTGCAGCCAGCTCCCTATGGCGTGAATCTGAGGAAACCGGTGCGGTTGTAGATGGCGAATATATACCCCCGGGTGTAGATGTAGGAACTTGCATCTACAGTATTCATCATAACCCTCAATACTACCCTCGCCCTTTCAGCTTCCAGCCAGAACGCTGGCTTGGTACTAACAAACACGAAGACCTGGCAGATGTACGCCTGGCACGATCTGCTTTTAACCCATTTTCCATTGGTCCCCGAAGCTGTATCGGCAAGAGTCTTGCCTATGTTGAGCTTCAACTTTTGCTAGCTCATATCCTATGGAGATTTGATATTCGCTTGGCTCCAGGGGAGATTGGTAAGGTAGGGGAAGGCAAGCATGGATCTGAGTTTGGGCGTCACCGAGTTGATGAATATCAATTATGGGATCATCTAACGGCCGCAAAACATGGACCCTTTATTCAGTTATGTCCGAGGGTGTAAACAAATAATAGATATAGACACCTTTGATTCTCAAGAGATAGGAGATGTCTAACTTGGCCGTATCAAATGGCTCTTTTTGACTACTTTATTTATGTTGTATATTCCATTGCTAGAACTAGACATACACTAGACATACATACGTTGTGTAACTAACTAGTCATAAATCCGAGAACTGACCTGATTTAACATGAGGCCACATTAAATTTTGGCCCCTGTGATGTTCTCACGTGTCTATTTTTTTATCCCCGGAGTATTTTCATTGCATTTTTGAAGTAACTACCCCGACAGCCTCGTTGGATTGTTTATTTTACGTTGAGTAAGGTTTCAATATATAATGATGCCGCAGCTACCCTGAAGGAATCTATACCCAACAATGGGCTAAAGACAGCACTTCACTCAGCTGTTCTCAAAAACAGAGTTACTAAAGTATAAACGTATCATCTCAATGTATCTCCCCATAAGGCATATGAATTCAAGACCATGCGGCAGGGATGGTGAGATACAACTTAAATCCTCATGCAGGCGCGGACCTTGCCCAAATAAGGATATTACCGCAGGAAATATTCTCTGTCAGTGTATATTTTCGCAAATCGGAGCTAAGAATTAACCGGCTAGACTAGATTTGAAATCAATTGTAACCCCCCAGCAGCATGGTCTACCGAGTTCATCGATTACCTTTGCAATGATATAAATCCTAGTTTACAAGCAAGGGTTACGTGCATGCGCCCCATCTCCTGTGGATGATACTATTAGCACTGGCAAGGGTTCATGGTATCCTGGCAGCATTGAAATCTCGTAGGCATCCTTCTCTCGGTATTTGCGGCTGAGGATGAATACCACTCGAGTTGCTACTTCCGAGATACACGTGGTTGAGCTCTATTGAGCCAGTAAAATGGCTAGCTACGGGGTATATTGCAGCGGTTTATCTGGAAGACCACGCCGGGTAGAAATAATTAGGATCCAGTGTGTTACCATAAAGTCACACCAAGGTAATACTCAGCTTGAATGCCTATGAATCATATTTAGCTCCCATTGGTAATGCAACCTCTGTCGCAATCGGGCATACCACCATTCGGATTTTTGTCTTCTGCATAGATTCATTTCCACCTTCTTGACCATCATCGCCATGCCTCACAGCGTTGATACCATTAACCCAAGACGATATGGGTCATCGGCAACAGCTTGCAGATTTCCGGTTCTTTTGGATGATAGTGAAATACCCCATAGCTTCGAACTGGCAGAAACACCCATTGAACTGCCCTCTTACCAGGAGATCATAGGGTTTTGTGAAAGGGGGAACGTGTCCCTCAAAGCAATACTTCAGGCAGCCTGGGCCGTGGTCTTGAAAACGTTCACCGGTAGCGGATATGTATGTGCGGCAGCGATATCGGACACCAGCTCAGGTATATTTTCGATCTCTATAGATGAGAATACAAAATCCGACGACTTGCTCAAATCTATGCCAATGGAAGCTATGAGTACTGCGCTTGGTAATATAGATTCTCTCGAAGCCGATGTACCATGTAATTCTGCGGTTTGGATATTCAATGAGACGAAAAATGCACAGTGGGAGCCAAAAGTGAGTAGCCACTCGCTCCTGTAATTCTTGCGAAGTAGTTCATCTAACAGTGTGTCGCATAGTTCGACGTCTGGCTCCATGTGGATTCGGGGAAGCCCTCACCTAGAGCTGCTTTGTTCTACAGAACTAGCCACTTAAATCAAGGATATGCAGAGATTGTCTCAGCTACAGTTGGCCAAATTGTGATGGAAATATTAGCCAACCCTTTTAGTGAGGTATCACAAATTAACCTCGTTCATCCCCGGTTGCGGAACCAGTTACAAGCATGGAGTAGCAACTCGCCCAAATCGATTGACAGATGTGTGGGCGCCCTTTTCGAAGAGGCTGTCTCTAAGTATCCACTTAGGCAAGCGATACAGACCTCGGAACGCAGTGTAAGCTACGAGGAGTTAAATGCTTTGAGCGCAGGGATCGCTCTGCATCTGCAGAGCTTAGGCGTGGTACCAGAATCAATCGTCGTTCTTTGCTTTCCCAAATCGGTATACGCTGTGATAGCAATGTTAGCCGTCGTTCGAGCGGGCGGCACCATCCTATTCCTTGACCCGTCACACCCGGAAACTAGACACAAAGATATAGTTGGCCAGGCTAATTCACAGTTGATCCTAACTGCTCAAGAGTATTCTGGAAAATGGGGTTGGTTTGGCGGCAGGGTGCTACCAGTTGATCCCACACTCGTGGACACACTCAAAGTAGACCAGAAAACATTTACTCGACAGGCCATCACAACAGTTACCCCTTCAAATGCATTATACATCATTTTTACTTCGGGGAGTACTGGGAAGCCCAAAGGTTGCGTGGTTGAACATCGCCAATTCCTAACGGGGGCTATAGCACAACAGAAGGCGTCGGAGATGAACCATGGCGACAAGGTGCTCCAACTGGCTTCCTTTACCTTTGACGTAAGCGTCTTGGAGATCCTTACATCGCTTATCACAGGTGCCTGCGTGTGCATTCCTAATGACGAAGAGAGGTCCAAGGGTCCGGAGAGATGTATACAGCAGTTTGGTATCACATGGACATTCCTGACTCCATCTCTCGTGAAACTAATGAGTCCAAAAATGGTGCCATCGCTCAAATTCCTTGTACTTGGTGGTGAGGCAGTTCAGCCCGAAAATATCCAAACTTGGGCGCCACATGTTCGGCTTGCGAACGGGTATGGCCCTACAGAGTGTTCTATTGCCGCCACCGCAAACCCAAGGTTATCCTCTACCTCCAGCCACACTAATATTGGGTATCCCTTGGGTGGTTGCTGCTGGATTGTTGATAAGGATGATCACGAGAAGCTTCTCCCAATTGGCGCGCCTGGCGAGCTTCTAATACAAGGTCCAATCGTGGCACGCGGGTACTTAAACGAGAAAAGGAAGACTGAAGCAGTGTTTCTAAACTCAACAAGTTGGGCAGCAGTCGAACCCTCTAGCTCCAGTCGGATTTATAAAACCGGGGACTTAGCTCGATTCAACTTTGATGGCAGCATTTCTTTCAGTGGCCGTAAAGATAACCAGGTGAAGTTACGCGGCCTTAGAATCGAACTAGGTGAGGTTGAGCATCATCTAATGTCCCACGAATTGGCTGGACAGGTGGTTGTAGTGCTCCCAACAGAAGGCCCATGTCAGGGCTCGCTAACCGCAGTCATATCATTAAAGAACTTCAAACAAATGTCCACGGACGTCGAACTGATAGATGACCTTGAACTATCAGCCGCGAAAGCAGAATTGGAAGGTATTGCGAGCGGCCTACGGGAGCGACTGCCAGGTTACATGCATCCAACTATCTGGATTCCAGTGAAGTCTATTCCTTTAACGAGTTCTGGGAAACTGAATGGAGTTGCAGTCCGTCAGTGGGTATCTGCCATATCAACAGACATCTTCAATCGCGCGACAGGCAAATATGAAGGCTCTGAAATTTGTAGAACTCTGCCATCGAACAATCAGGAAAGACAGCTACAAGAGGTCTGTAGCAAAATTATCGGTTTAGACCAGCCAGAGGATGTCTGGTTAGAGAGATCCTTTATCCAAAATGGAGGCGACTCTATCCAAGCCATGCAATTGCTGAGTACATTGCGCGATATCGGTCTTGTCGTGAAGCTAGAGGATATCATACAACTCCCGACGATATTAGACCTGGCTCAAAAAATCGAAAATAGCGAGGCTGGCTGCATTGATAGTGCTCAGCTAACCCCTGAACTTCCAGATTGTACAGTTAATGAGGAGAGGGTTGTGCAATTGGGACTCGAAATGGGTCAGGTGGAGGATATCTATCCGTTGTCGCCCGTCCAGCGCGGAATACTTCTCGCTCAACAGCACTACCCTGACAAATATCAGTTTCGACTTACTTGTGAGGTCGTACCGTTGCCAGCATCATCGTCCTCGTCACAAAGTCCTGAAGTTGATATCGACAACATTGGTAGGGCTGAGGTTGAGAGACACTGGACAGATTGTGGCACGTGCGCAAACGTGAGCTTATTAATCAGAGCTTGGCGCCAAGTCGTTCAACTTCATCCCGTCTTGCGCACCATCTTCATCGACACAGAAACAGAGACAGAAGACGGGTTATTTGATCAACTTGTACTGAAAACAGGGGATGTGCTAGCTGATATATGGCAATTTGAGGATGAAAATGAGTTTTGGTGGAACCTTGATGAATATAAACGCACCGATGGCCCCCTCCAGCCACCAGTCGCTTTCATCGTTTCATCTGTCAAGGCAGAAAGAAGGATCTTCTGCACCATTGATATCAGCCATGCCTTGATTGATGGTATATCAAGTCTAGTTTTATTGAGGGATATATGTCAAGCATACGGCGGTTTACTTGACAGTACCAAGACAGTGAAATACTCGCCGTTTATTCGCTACCTCCAGCAACTCCCACGGGGCGCGTCGCTCTCATACTGGACGGAGCATCTGCTTGGTGTGGTGCCATGTTACTTCCCAACCCTTAACGATGATTTCAGCGGGGGGAAAAATCAGCCCCGTGAAATAGTAACTAACATCAAGAATACGGATGCGCTCCACAGGTTCTGTGCGGCTCATAATTTTACACCTGCAACTGTCTTTCAAGCAGCATGGGCACTTACTCTAAGGGCTTATACCCGGCGTGATGATGTATGCTTTGGATACTTAACATCTGGCCGCGATCTCCCAGTGCCAAATATCCATAACGCAGTAGGCGTATTTGTGAATATGATGATTTATCGAGCATCTTTGTCACCGGACAAAGTAGTGTCTGCCGTTTTAACAGAAGTTCAACATAATTTTCTCAGAGGACTACCACATCAGCACTGCTCGATTGCTGAGATACAGCATGCTCTTGGTATTTCACAGTCATTGTTTAACACTATCTTGTCGCTGCAGAGTGCTCAAGATGAGACAATAGCCACTGATGGCTCTGACCGGGGAATCGCTCTTAGTGTGGTCTCTGAAAAGGATCCCACAGAGGTATATATATGGCTCTTTCCACTCTATTTTGCGCATCTTGCTAACCCAAGTGTACAGTATAATATCTCTGTCAACGTCTTTGTATCCAGGAAAAGGATATCCCTGACATTGCGCCATTTTGATGAGACCATAAGCAGCGCAATGGCTGAAAATGTTATGGGAACATTTCAACATATTATTCACTTGATTGCTAATAATTATCATCAACCAATAGGAGAACTGGATATGATGTCTGCTCGTGATAACATCCAAATTGGACACTGGAATCAGGATCAGTGGCCAATGGTAAATGATTGTATTCATGAACTAATCCATAGGCGGGCTGTGATACAGCCGGATGAGATTGCAGTGGAAGCGTGGGATGGACACTTGACCTACAAGGAACTTGATGGTATTTCATCAAAATTGGCCCTACACCTTGCAAGCCATGCTATCAGACCGAATACCCTCGTGCCCATATGCTTCCCGAAATCATGCTGGATGGTTGTATCACAACTTGCGATCCTCAAAGCAGGTGGAGCATGTGTCGCATTTGATCCAGAACATCCACCAAATCGTAGGGAGGAAATGCTCCGCCAATGCAAGGCGCCTGTTGCTCTAGTTTCCCAAGAAAATATACCACTTTTTGAGATGTTTGTGTCAACCGTTATCAGCATTGGCCCATCGTTTCTGGACACTTTGCGAGATGATCCACCGACCATAACAGCTTCCTTAGCCATATCACCAGAGAACCCCGCTTTTGTTGTTTTCACTTCAGGGAGCACTGGTAAACCCAAAGGAATTGTTGTTGAGCACCGTGCACTCTGCAGCAGCATCCAAGCCTACGGCTCTGTTATGAAGTATGCTCCTGGTGCACGTGTTTTGCAGTTCGCAGCATATACATTCGATGTCAGCATTGGCGAAACTTTCGGCTGCCTGGTACGGGGCGGGACACTATGCATCCCAAGTAACGACGAAAGACTCGATGACCTCGCGGGAGTCATCAATCGTTTTAAAATTAATGCGTTATATCTTACTCCGTCTGTGGCTAGCATACTGCAGCCGTCTGATATTCCCGGAGTCCATACTCTGGGACTTGGTGGTGAGGCTGTTCGAAAGGAGAATATCGACTTATGGGCCGAGCATATCAATCTTGTGAATATATATGGCCCTGCAGAGTGTTCGGTTTGGTGTACAGCACTGTCGCCTGTATTACCCTCCGTCTCTCCTCTCAATATAGGATATGGCCTAGGTGCTCGAACCTGGATTACAGAAATAGATAACCCATCCAAGCTCTGCGTCATTGGCACAGTGGGTGAGCTTCTCATAGAAGGACCAGTCGTTGCTCGAGGCTATCTCAACGACGAAATCAAAACAAACGCAGTATTTATACAACCGCCTGCGTGGCTAATGAAGCATGATCCCTCCGTGGCAGAGCATCCTAGAAAGGTATACCGAACAGGGGACTTGGCTCGATATAACTCGGACGGCTCTGTTCATTTCATGGGCCGTCGTGATCATCAGGTGAAACTAAATGGCCAACGAATTGAACTTGGTGAAATTGACAACGCTTTGTTACTCCACGCCGATATTCAAAATGCTGTTACTCTAGTGCCAAAAGCAGGACCATTCAAAGGAAAACTAGTAGCTCTAGTCTTACTAGAGAACCAAACCTTTTGTTCTGTGACAAAGGGAGACGCAGGACTCAAATTCCTCCACGATGAAAATGGAGAGTATTTTCCTACAATCGTGTCGAATGTCAGGTTATTCATATCATCCATTCTACCGTCTTACATGGTCCCTTCAACGTGGATTACGGTTAAATCCTTCCCACTGTCGACAAATGGTAAATTGGACCGTTCTTCCATTATGTCCCACATAAACAGCCTGCCCAGTAGCTACCTGAACGAAACAATGGACTCTGATACCAACGGTGACAGTCTCCCAAGGAATGATACTGAGGATATCATAAGAACCATCATTAGTTCAGTACTGAATACCGGGCCAGCCAATATTTTGATGGGCCGGGGTTTTCTGGCCCAAGGTGGAGATTCCATCACTGCGATGCAAGTCTCTTCTCGCTGCCGAGCTCAAGGCATTCTTGTTCCAGTCAAGGTAGTGTTAAAAAGCAAAACCATACGCCAGATTGCAGCCGAAGCAGTCAGGCAAGATACACCAGGGGTCATTGACTTCCAGGAACCGGTATCATTATTCCCATTTTCACTTTTGCCGGGAATGAATGAATCAGCCCTTGATGATATAGCTAAGAAAGCGGGTTATCGAGGTTTGGTAGATATAGAGGATGCTTATCCTTGCTCTCCAATGCAAGAAGGTATCCTCATCAGCCAAGCCCAAGCGCCAGAAACTTATAAGTTCTACGTTGTATGCGAAGTTTATTGTTCTTCTCCTACCTCTCGTGTTAGTATTGGAAACCTACAAGTAGCGTGGACACGCGTTGTTGCAAGGCATTCGTCTTTGCGGACTTTCTTCGTGGAGGGTCTCTCACGAGAATATTTATATACGCAAGTCGTTCTAAAGAAGCATACTCCACGGATAGAGATTGTTGGGGACTTCGATAGTTTATCTCGGCAACCCCAGAATAAACCCCTGGACTATAATGAGCTTATTCCTTCACACCGTATGACCATCTGCGAGGATAAGGAGAAGATATACTTCAATCTGGAAATCAACCATACTCTGATTGATGGCACATCGATGGGAATAATACTCCGAGATTTGAGAGCTGCCTATTCCCATGGATTGCAGCCGGGGCTTCTGTACCGGGACTACGTAGCCCTCTCCTTGAACCATCCAAAAGAGACAACATTACTTTTCTGGTCTAAATACCTCGAAGGTACTAAACCAACCTTTTTTCCACGGCTCCATGACGGTGACTCGAGAATGAAGGAACTGCGAACCGTCAACATTCCAGTCTCAGGGTCTACCATGATTGACCTCCAAGCATTTTCCAGAGAAAATGGTATAACAATGGCGAACATTTTTCAAACTGTCTGGGCCATCCTCCTCCGTGTATATACGGGAGAGTCTGACGTTGTCTTTGGATACCTGTCTTCAGGTCGTGAAATCGATGGTCTAGACATGGAAAATGCAGTAGGCGCATTTATCACAATGTTAGCCTGCCGTGTCAATGCAGACGACTCATCCACCCTACTTTCCTTGGCACAGAATATAAACGAAGATTTTGTTAACTCTCTGCCATATCAGCGTACGTCACTTGCCGAAATGCAACATGCTCTCGGGTTGGCCAGTGAACGCCTATTTAATACCATACTGTCGTTACAGAGGCCCATGGTGCAGCAGAACTCAACTGGACATATTGAGATTCAATGTCTTGGCGGAAGCGACCCAACCGAGTATGATCTGGCTGTGAGCATCACTGCGGATGATTCAGCTATCGACATTGATATTAGCTACTGGAGTACTATTATGTCGGAAAAGCAAGCAGAGTTGCTAACCTCCACCTTCACCACAATCCTTTCCGCCTTTCTGAAATACCCAACAACGAAGCTGCATTGTGTGGACGCCCTGGGGAATAAACAAACCGAATACTTGTTTTCCATCAACGGAAACGGTGCTGTTCCATATTCGGTCCATGATTGTATTCATAGCCGCTTTAGCAGCCAGGTGGCTCTATACCCCAAATCACCAGCTGTTTGTTCAGCGGATATGTCTCTTTCCTACATTCAAGTAGAAGAACTATCTTCAAAGCTTGCTGCGCTCCTTATTTCCCTGGACGTTTGTCCCGAAAGAGTGGTGGCTCTTTGCTTCGATAAAACCCCCTGGGCGATAGTATCGATGCTGGCGGTTCTTAAAGCTGGCGGTGCATACACTTCTATAAGCCCAGCACATCCAGCTCGGCATATAGACAATATCATCCATCAAACTAAATCCCGTATCGTTCTTACCGGATCAGAAAGCTACGGCAATAAAATACGGCATATGGTTGACTATGTTATTCTGGTGGACCCTTCTCTCCTCTTCAACCTACCAGTGGCCAAACCAGGTGTTATATCGCTTGCATCTCCGGACAATGTAGCCATGGTTAATTTTACTTCTGGCAGTACTGGAAAACCTAAGGGAATTATGGTTCTACATAAGGGAGTATGTTCTTTAATCGACCACAACGCGGATTTGGACATTAATAATGAATCCCGAGTCCTACAATTCTCCGCATTTACATTCGATACCAGCAATGCTGAAATTTTTCTTACACTCTGCACTGGAGGTTGTGTCTGTTTGCCTTCCGACTATGATCGACTTAATGATCTTGCTGGCGCTATCAATCGTCTTGGGGTCACTCATGCCTTTTTGACACCCTCAGTGGCTGGATTCCTATCACCTGAAGCAATGCCATCTTTACAGATGTTAGCATTGGTGGGTGAGGCCGTTACAAGTGACCTTGTTCAACTATGGCAAAAGCCAGTACGCTTGATAAACAGCTATGGGCCTGCAGAGTGCACTATCATGTCGTCTTTTTCAGTCTTGCATGAAGGACTCCATCCCTCAAACATAGGGAAAGCCCGTGGCTGTATATTTTGGGTTACAAACCCGATGAATAGTCAATACCTGGTCCCTGCAGGTTGCGTTGGGGAATTACTTGTGGAAGGCCCTATTGTCAGCAAGGGGTATATCAGTCCTGAGCTTACCCTTGAAGTATTCATCGATCCTCCGAAATGGAGGGGGGTTGTTGCCAATGGATCACGGTTTTACAAAACCGGGGACCTCGCCAGACAAATGCCAGATGGGAGTCTAGTATACGTAGGGCGAAAAGACTCCCAAATCAAACTTAACGGGCAACGAGTTGAAATGGCCGAGATTGAGAAGGAAATTAGCAGTTACTCTTCAGTGCAGCATTCAGTTGTTCTATTTCCTAATTATGGGCCTTGCTCAAAAAAACTGGTCGTTGTTATCGGCTTCAAGGATATCTCACACACCCAACCTCAGTCGTCAGAAATGATAATGTTGAATGACGATGAATCTGCAAACCAAGCCGATGCCATTCGTGATCGCATGACAACCTTGTTACCAAGCTACATGGTTCCAACTGTCTGGATTGTGTGCTCAAACTTTCCCTTGACAATTTCGCGGAAAATTGATCGTCGGAAAATATCACAATGGGTGGAAAGTCTTAATGATGCCTTCGCCGAACGTGTAGCTGAGGAGAAAAACGATGTCATGGGGAATGCTTCTTCGCCAAGTTCTACAATTTTGCAGCGACTACAGGCAATTATTTCTCGGGTGCTGAACATATCTAATAGCCGTGTTCTCTCAAATCGTTCATTCTTGAACATTGGTGGTGATTCTATCACTGCAATGCAGCTGGTTGTTATGTGCCGCAATGAAGGCCTCAAAATTTCATTCAAAGACGTCATGCGCAGCTCGACAATTAGCAAAATGGCCCACTCCGTGGAAATTATCAACCATCCTTCACTGCACGAAGAAGAACTGTTAGAAGTCTCTTTTGGTTTGAGCCCAATCCAGCAACTATATTTCGAAGAAATCTCACAAGGTGCTACGGAAATATCAGCAAATCAATTCAACCAGAGTTTCCTTCTACGGCTCGTACGTCACGTTCCCGTAGAAACTTTGAAGGGCGGAATTGAAGTGATTGTGGAGCGTCATTCAATGCTGCGTGCACGGTTCCGAAAGTCTTCAGATGGTCGATGGACGCAGGTTATTACAAGACCAGGGAAGACAGTGTATCGTTTCCGGGAGCACACAGTTTCAACACGAGAAGAGGCTCTTAGCCTTGCAACTGCAGCTCAGAGGCAGCTGGACATACAAGCTGGCCCAGTATTTGCCGTTGAATATTTCAATATCGCTGGAGAAGACCCTCTTATCTTTTTCGTTGCTCACCACCTCGTTATCGATCTTGTATCATGGCGCATTATTTTCCAAGAACTAGAAGATCACGTCCTTGGGGACACCTCTATTCCGCCAAACGAGCCATTTTCTTTCCAAAAATGGCAAAAACTACAGGCTGATTATGCTAGTAAACACTTAACGGCGAAGTCATCAATCAACTACTTTGTTCCAAGGGCGAATTATGAATATTGGGGGATGGATGGAGTAGAAAACATCCAGGGAGACACAATCCAACTAGCTGCATCGTTGAACGCCGAGGAGACCCAGCTTCTAGTGAATAGCTGTCATCAAGCTATGAGGACTGAGCCGCTAGATGTCTTCATCACTGCTATTTTAGTATCCTTTCTCAAAACTTTTGATCGTGAGCCGCCAGCTATTTTCAACGAAGGCCATGGTCGCCAACCATGGACTTCTGATATTGACCTGTCAGACTCTGTGGGCTGGTTTACCACGATCTCCCCACTTAGCATACCGATAGGGCCGAGTGATACGCTGTCTGACATAGTGAGACATGTAAAGGATCAAAGAAAAGAACTCCCAGCTAACGGCTGGTCTTACTTTACCTCGAAATACCTGAATCCCGACGGCGCGGAGCGCTTCAGAGACCATATGCCGATGGAAATATTATTCAATTACCTTGGACTATACCAAGGCCTTGAACGAGAAGATGGGATATTTCAGCTTCAACCTTTCAACGACGGCGATGTTGGGAAATGTGTCAAGAGATACTCTCTATTCGATATTAATGCGTACATTGTGAACGGACGTGCCAGTTTTACATTCTCGTTCAATCGAAAAATGAAACATACGGAGCTCATTGCGGAATGGCTCAAAAATTTCACGCAGAGCCTGAAGACTATACCACAGGAGTTGGTATCCACAGACTTTACCCTCACGCGAAGTGATTACCCATTGCTTCAGATATCTTCTTATTCGACGTTAGATGCTCTCCTAACACAGAAGCTACCCCAACTAGGATTTTCTATACCTGATTTTGAAGATATATATTCATGCTCTCCGCTCCAGGAGGGCATGCTTCTTAGCCAAGCTCGAGATGAAGGGACTTATCTTTATTCTGCGATTATGCGAGTTAAATCAACAAACGGGAATCCAACTGATGCGCAGAAACTGGCATTAGCATGGCAGCAAGTGGTTGATCGACACCCTATACTTCGTACCGTCTTTTTAGCGGGCATATCCGAGAGACCATTTGACCAGGCTGTTCTACACAGCTACGATACCCGATCATCAATACTGGTATGCGACTCTCCTGATCATGCCATTGCTACTCTATGTACTTTGGGTATACTTTCTGTCAAAGAAGGATGCCCTCCCCACCGCATGACAATTGCGAAGTCCAGAGACGGGGTGGCTTATTTTAAACTCGAAATAAGCCATGCTTTGATGGATGGCACATCAATGGCAGTTCTTGTTAATGACATTGCTCGAGCGTATAACGATGACTTCTCTTCAACTCCAGCTATGCCTTATAGTGATTACATAGCACATATTCAGGCTCAACCGACCGAAGATGCGTTATCATTTTGGGAAGCTTACCTTGACAAAGTTATGCCATGCCATTTCCCCCCTTTGCTGGACCCCATGGAAGGGCTCTCGGCTATGAATGATATTGATGTCAAAACACCCAGTGTCTCTGAGATGCGCCAGTTTTGTCGACAAAACGACGTAACACTCGCGAATGTGGTGCGTTTGGCATGGGCATTGGTTCTATCAGCCTATACAGGAGAGGATCAGGTGTGCTTTGGGTATCTTACTGCCGGTAGAGAGATCCCTCTTCCTAAGATTGAGAGTTCTGTCGGACCGCTTATCAATATGCTTGTCTGCACTATCGACATTGCAGAGATAAGCAAGAAGACAGTTCTTTGCGAACTCCAAGATCTCCAAGACGAGTATTTCAAGGCACTGCCATTCCAGCATACGAGTCTAGCTGAAATACAACATCATATGGGTCTTACGGGACGATCATTATTTAACTCAGTTGTGAGTGTGCAGCGCCGTGATGTGGGCAATACTGTTCTCGGCGATATGCAAATTGAGTATATATCTGGACTTGACCCTACAGAAGTAAGTGTTTCGCGGCACGGTTTAACCTGTCTTTTAGACTTATACCATTCTAATCCACTTCTTAGTATGACATAACGGTCAATGTAACAGATACCAATCACGGGCTCCAGATAGGTATCAGCTATTCTGCTTCATGCCTCTCGCCTGGGTATGCTGCGAACGTATCTTCTGCTTTATCCGCAGCACTTTTCTACATTGTGTCAAACCCCCTGTCCCCTGCTGGGTCGGTCAATCTTTTTGACGAGTATCATAACCAACAAGTCCAGAAGTGGAACACCGTTATACCTCCTCCCGTCTATGATTGTATTCATTCTCTCATTGAAATCAACACAAAGAGCAATCCTGATGCTATTGCTATTGATTCTTGGGATGCAACATTTACCTACTCTGATTTGGACAAAAGAGGGACCCAACTCTCTCACGTCCTTATTTCAATGGGAGTTAGGTCCTCAGACATGATTCCCATCTGTTTCACAAAGTCTTCTTATGCCATTGTTGCGATGCTCGGAATTCTTAAGGCTGGGGCAGCATTCATACCCCTAGACCCAGAACACCCAAAATCCCGCTTAGCAACCATTATCAACCAGTCCGGCTCCCGTTTAGCTCTTACCAGCCCAGAAACCTCGAATATAATCGCCAGTTTAACACAGGATATTGTATTGGTTTCTAGTTGTTCAGATTGGTGGGCAGAAGAAGTGCCATATGATTACACCTGCCCGAAGATCTACCCTACGGACGTTGCATATGTCCTGTTCACTTCTGGAAGTACTGGAATACCCAAGGGCGTTGTTATAGAGCATTCCGCCGTCTGTACTAGCTCCTTTTACCACGGCAGAGAGATCGGCTGCAGCTCCAAGACCAGAATGTTTCAATTTTCCGCTTACACCTTTGACGCTTGCATATTGGAGATTTTTACAACTCTTATCTATGGGGGTTGTGTCTGCGTTCCATCAGAAGCTGAGCGTATGAATGATATAGCTGGGGCCATAAACCGGCTAAACTGCAACACAACCTTCCTTACCCCATCAGTTATACGCATTATCCGCCCCGAGCAAGTTCCCAGTCTTGAAACAATAATATTAGGAGGCGAGTCCCTTGATAAGAATAGCATTGAAGTGTGGGTGGGACATTGCCGACTAATGAATGGTTATGGACCGACAGAGACTTGTGTCTTCTGTATAATGAAGACATTCTATGGACCACGAGAGCATCATGAGGTGTTAGGCCGCTCAGTTGGCTCGGTTTCATGGATAGTGCGACCTAGCAATCACGGACAGCTTGCCCCAGTTGGTGCAGTTGGCGAACTTCTGGTCCAAGGAGGGACACTTGCCCGTTGCTATTTGAATGACGAAAAAAAGACAGACCACTCATTTTTCGAGAAACCAAGTTTCTCCTCAGCACCAAATAACCAAATGTGTGGTCGTTTCTACCGAACAGGCGACCTGGCACGCTACAATATCGATGGCAGTATTACCTTTTTGGGAAGAAAAGACACCCAGGTGAAATTACGAGGACAGCGGATTGAGCTCTCTGAGGTTGAATATCAAGTCAAAAAGCTAATTCCATTCTCTTCTCAAGTTGCTGTTGAGATAGTCATGCTCCGAGGTGAGAAGGATCAAGCACTTCTGACAGCCTTTATCTGTGACTCCTCTGCTGTTACCCGCACACTGCCTTTGCTCTCCAATATGACACAGTGTTTCAAGGTACAAGTTGACAGGCTCAAAAGGTTGCTTTCTCGCGTGCTGCCGCATTATATGCAGCCGTCAATATACATTCCCACCAATTGGATGCCCACGACTACAGCAAGGAAGCTGGATAGGAAGCTTCTTCGCGAATCTGTGGCAGCATTATCTGAAGATGAACTGGATAGATACTCCCTAGATGATAATCGCAGGCCTCCAAGTTCGCATACTGAGAAATGGCTGCAACAAAATTGGAGCGAGGTATTGAACCTTTCCGTGAGAAAGATTAGAGCAGATGACCATTTTTTCGAAATTGGTGGTGACTCTATTTCTGCCATGAGGCTTGCTGCAATTACATCTCAAAATATGAGGGTCTCTGTGGCAGATATATTCAGCTATCCAGTCCTCTCCAGCCTAGCAGCTATTATAGATTCCAGATCGTCTGAAGTAGAGCAGAGAGAAATAAAACTAGAACCATTTGAGCTTCTAGCCCAAGGAGAAGATGCATCTACCATGCTGTCAAATATTGCGAATCAGTACGGTATCCCACCTGGTTTGATCGAGGATGCGTACCCTCCCACCCCCCTCCAAGACGGAATGGTAACGCACACATTTCTCAACCCTACAGCATATATCCTAAGACAAGTTGTCCGCATCAAGCCATCTACTGACATAGCGCGGTTCCGAGCTGCTTGGGAAACCGTATCCGAGAAAAACCCGATCCTTCGTACAAGATTTGTTAGGCCTTCGAATGGAGAGACAATACAGATTGTAGTCAAAAGTTCTATCGAATGGAGAAATGCTGAAACCCTCCAGCAATACCTTGAATTGGACCAGGGCGAAAATGTTGCTTATGGTACTCCGCTGATACGTTATGCCATGACTGATGATGATCACTTTATTCTGACGGTTCATCACTCATTATATGATGGGTGGTCTCTACCTTTACTGCTTCGCCAGGTCCGTTCTATATATGAAAACGGCATTTGCCCCGATACCCCAGGTTTTAACCTATTCATCAAATATCTACAGAATGCCAATCTCAAGTCCACCAAAACTTTCTGGGAGGCCCAGCTGGCTGGTCAGCGCCCAGCTACTTTCCCAATGATTACTGTTCCAGGATATCGCCCGGCTGTTCAACACATATTGAAGCATAGGTTCGCCTTACCAAAGCTGGTTAACTCGGAATTTCTCAAAAGCACTATACTCCGTGCCGCATGGGCGTTCGTTCTCTCTGTATACTCGGACTCCCGGGATATAGTGTTCGGAATGACCCTTTCTGGAAGAAATAGCCCTGTCACAGGCATCGAAAAGATAATCGGCCCAATCATTACAACAGTCCCGGTACGGATTGTGCTGAACCCGACTGAAACTCTCAGTGAGTTCCTTAGCCATGTCCAGCAACAGGCCACAGAAATGATACCCCATGAGCATTTTGGAGTACAGAATATATCAATGTTGAGTACAGAATGCAGCCAAGCCACTCAATTCCAAAATTTGCTCGTAATTCAACCTATCTCGGAAACTACATCTACTGATGCTCTGCTTCCAGGATGTAATGAAGTTGATTTACCACTGAAAGGTTTTGACAGCTACCCACTTGTGGTAGAATGCCACGTTTCAGACGATACGGTTCAAATTGAGGCAAGATATGATGGATGTTTGCTCTCCTGTTGGCAGGTCGAGAATATGATGAGCCATCTCGGCCAAATCTCAAAAATGTTCGCAGATAATTCCAATTATCATCTTCAGATAAAGGAGACAGATATGTTTGGCGAAAGAGACAGGCAACAAGTACTGGAGTGGAACCGGGCCTATCCTGAGACGGTTGAATCTACAGTACCTCTAGTTTTCGCGCAACAGGTTCAAGAGCGGCCATCTAATATAGCAATTGATGCATGGGATGGACAACTCACTTATTCAGAACTCAACGACGTTTCAGATGTGCTCGCACGGCATCTTACATACCTAGGGGTGGTACCTGAGCTATTAGTCCCCCTCTGCTTCGACAAATCCCTCTGGGCTGTGGTGGCACAGGTGGCTGTGATGAAAGCTGGTGGAGCTTGTGTAAACCTCGACCCTAGCCATCCCCAGGGCCGCCTTGAGACAATCGTCAAAGATTCTCAGGCAAGTGTCATCCTCTGTGCCCCTCATTATTCTGGGATACTAGGGTCATCTACTCCTCAGAATGAAGTTGTGGTGACAGAGGACCTCATACACAAGTTAGCTGGCTCTCCTCACTCTAGCATAGAGCCATCTCCCCCCAGCCCTTCGAATGCAGCATATGTACTTTTCACATCGGGGAGTACTGGTAAACCTAAGGGAATTGTTATTGAGCACCGCTCGCTATGTTCTAGCTCTAAAGCCCACGGCACCCGCTGGGGGATTGGGGCTGAGACCCGGGTGCTGCAGTTTGCCGCATATACATTCGATGTAAGCTGTGCGGATATATTTACAACATTACAACGCGGCGGCTGTGTCTGCATTCCTTCTGAGCATGACCGTCTGAACGCGCTTCCAGATGCTATTAACCGATTCCGGTGCGACTGGGCTTTCTTAACACCTACAGTGGCCAGCTTGCTTCCTCCAGACTCTGTCCCTTCCTTAAAGAAGCTGGTTCTAGGAGGAGAAGCATCAACATGGGAAATTATCAATAGATGGTACAATATCCTTGAGCTCATTGTGTGTTATGGTCCTGCAGAGTGTTCTATATACTGCTCTGGAGCACCTCCTGCGACGGCTACCAGCGATCCAGCCAATCTAGGAAGCGCTATCGGGGCGCTCTATTGGGTTGCTAATCCGAATGATCATAATCAACTCACTCCACTTGGTTGCGTGGGCGAGCTCCTGCTTGAGGGTCCTACTATTGCTAGGGGGTATCTTCACGATATAGAAAGGACAGAACAGGTCTTTGTGAGCAACCCTTCTTGGGCTCCACCTTTTACTCCAGGTGCTTCTCGCCGCTTCTACCGTACAGGTGATCTTGTTCGCTATAATAGTGACGGAACCATTCGATTTGTTGGCCGAAAAGATACCCTGGTTAAGGTTCGCGGGCAGCGCGTGGAGCTAGGGGAGATCGAGCATGCCATATCTACATCTATGAATAGCATTACTCATGCCACAGTCGATTCTATCCTGGATGCATCCACAGGTCGACAAACGGTAGCTGCTTTCCTGCATTTTAATAATGCTAGCGGTCACGCTGAGATCATGGATATGACAGAAGACCTCCGTCACCGGTTGATAGAACTCCAGAAGGCCCTTCGGGAATTGCTGCCTTCATACATGATTCCATCCCTTTATCTGCCTTTGGCGCGAGTCCCCCTTACAATGAACGGAAAGGTAGACCGACGACAGCTACGTGGACTTGTCAACTCTTTGACAACTGCTGATATTGCCAGCTTTTCTCTAATAGAAGACACTTCCCATGTGCAACCTACTACGGAGGAAGAGTTCAAACTTCGCGAACTTTGGTCGAGGGCTCTTCATGTAGAGGTTGATACGATAGGAGCTACTGACCATTTTATCCGCTCCGGCGGAGACTCGATTGTTGCAATGAGATTGACAAGCTTAGCTCAAGCCGAAGGATTATCCTTAACAGTACAGCAAATATTTGAGACCCCTATTCTATCAGACATGGCTTCTCTGATTATGGTTCATCCGTCAAGCCGTGACATTAATCACCCTGTCGATACGATATATGAGCAGTTCTCATTGCTTCCGGGGCCACCAGAGGAAGATATGCTCTCGATAGTCGCTGAAGATGTCAAAACTAGCCTTAGAAACATTGCAGATATTCTACCAGCAACTGATTTCCAGTCGTCCGCCATTGCACATTCCATGCTGAAGACGAGAGGGCTTCTCAACTACATTTATCTTGAGGGGAAAGGGGAGATACCTTGGAATCAGGACATCATCCAAGAGAAATGGTTTGAGTTTACTAGCAAACACCAGATCCTACGAACGGTCTTCGTCTTTTATCAAAGCACTCTTTACCAGGTTATCCTAAAGCAGGTCTTGGAAGGCATTTCCTGGCATAGAACTGATGATGATATCGATTCTTTCTGCCGCAATTTATATCAGAGAGACATTCAGTCTGACCGTGACCTTAGCGATCCACTGACTAAATTGATGGTGGTCGGAAATAATGAACGGCATCGACTTATTCTTCGCTTATCCCATGCTCAATATGACGGGATAAGCTTACCCCTGATTTGGCAGAGTCTACAAACGGCCTTTTCAGGCAAGAGATGCCCGCCAGAGATCCCCTTCGCAAACTATATATCAACCATTATCTCTCAGCAAGAGGTCACAAACTCCAGGGTATACTGGAAAGCCCTACTGGCAGATTCTAAAATGACAAATGTGGTAGACCATTCCAGACCATATTATCAAAACACCTACGACTTGCACATAAGGCGATCTATCATCATTCCCTCTCAGTTGCCGTTGTCGAATCAAGGAATTACCTTCGCAACTGTCCTTAAGGCCGCATGGGCAATCGTCCTCGCCTCTCTCTCGGAAACGACAGATATCATTTTCGGCCATGTAACCTCCGGTCGCACCGTCCCAGGGAACGGCATCGAGCGAGTGACCGGTCCGTGTATCAACATTATTCCAGTGAGAGCCCAGATGGACACTACTACCACCGCCTTGGATCTTTTACAGCAGTTACAATCCCAGCACGTCGCCAGTATGGCCCACGAAACTACTGGGATGCGAGATATCGTTCGTCACTGCAGCCCGTGGAAGCCGTACACGCGGTTCAGCACCATAGTCCAACACCAAAATATCGATGAAACTGCCACGGTTCTGCTGGATGACCAGGAGTACACAGTTGGTGATTTCTGTCCAGCAGCAGACGAGTCAGATATTGCTATCAAGACCACCCCCCGAAGCGGAAATGAAGTTGAGGTTCTTCTCATTTCGTCATCGCTATCGGTTGGAAAGCTCACAGCGGACAGAATATCATCCATTCTTTGCGATACAATCCACAGGCTCTATACTTCCGAAACTACCGACCTCCACGTTACTGAATTGATAGACCATGGACAACCGGTTCCGCCGCTGAGCAAATGTTGTACAGGTACAAGTCGATACGCAACTTTACAGAGCAGCTTTCAGTCAAGGTCTGATGAGATGTTACTGACCATCCAAACTGACTGGAGATCTGCGCTGGAACAGCCAGACTTACTGATAGATTGGGATTCGGACTTCTTCGATGTCGGAGGTGATTTGGTTTCTGTTATATTGCTGGCTACAACATGGAATCGGCAGGGCTACAAAGTTACCCCGGAGCAGCTGTTGTTCAACTCGCGAGCCTCGGAGATGGCACAAGTACTTTTTCAGTCATGCTGAGAACGGGAATACTACTGCTTCCATATACCGATAATACGACATGGTTCTACAGATAGCACTCTTTGTTCTAACATGCGTTTAATTACCCCTTAATAGATAGGCCGTAGGCCAACTGCTCAAAATGAATTTGGACAATGTTGTACTTCATGGCACCCACGACGAATGATTTTTCCTCTTATTTTCCAGCGCAGAAGAAGATCTAACTATAGGGGTATTAGTTAAAGGGACCTCGATATGCATAAAATAGGCTAATTTATGACTTCTATCTAGGCTACATTAATTAATTCGCACAGGTAAAATAGACTATCCTTGGTATATGGTCATCCTCCAATAACTGCATTAAATTATGGAGAAATAGTAGTATTCCGCACCTGCAATTTTCCCCTGCCCTTGGAATGGATTCACCCAACCAGGGCAGTCAGTTTGATTGCACAGGGGTTTTATCTTTTCTTATATTCTATATTATTCTCTCTTGCCTACTTTCACTTGTCTCTATATGCCATTAGTTTACTCTACCTCTTAGCTTGACGGATAGCAAGATGAGCCTCTAGAAGAGAGTGAGCATCTAGAGGTCTCTCCAGCATGCCATCCATTAGCCGTTGGAAATCCAGGTGACGCACGACCATCCCCCGAACAGATCTCGATTGTTGTCTCCATCCTGATAGAAGCTGGCATCTGCTGCTGTTTCGTTGAAGAGTATGCTCTTATTTACTTTGGTACTTCGCGTTTGCCCAATGTAGGTGGCGTCAACTCATAATTTATGCTCCAAGGCCGATACTTAACTTGCCTTTTTTTTTAATATTAGGACCGAGTGTTGTGTATTCCCGATGAGCATCATGAACATGCTGTCAGGCTTTTCAAGTCACATAGTGACATCCTGGAGCCTTGTGGGCCACTTCCACTGAGAGCGCCAGGTTCACTCAACCACAAATACCCTCGATTCAAAGCCATTGGAAGGACCGACTTCTGGCTGCTGTTGCCGGCAAGCTACTGTCACACTGTCTGCGTTCCTGAAAACTTAGAGTGGAGCAAAGGTCAGTATCTGTATATCTGCTATTGAAGAAAGCACATTTCTAATTTGGCTAGGCAATCTTCCCTACCCAAAGCTCCAAGCGTACGTACAGAGCTTGCTTGACACCAAAAACTTGGGTGATCTAGAGGATCTTGTTGATGGAATGGATCTCTCAGAGGAATGGGGGGAACAAAACCTCAGTCTTGAAGGCCATGCTGATAGCAACTGGTCCACAAAATGCATTGAGGCTCTTCGCGCAGATGGCACTGAAGAATTATTTATCTTCGTTGACCCCAGGCCTACTCCTCAGAGAGAGATCTGGCAAAACTGTGTTCGGAACAAGCAGAGGCGTATGGGTTGGAAGTATCCTCCAGAGATATATGCAACCAGGTTTCGACGCCATGGGTCGAAGGATCCCCGTGTGCATTATCGATACGGGATGTAGTTAAAGGAATGGAAATCGAAAGAATTATCCTACAGCTTAACGGTGTGCATTTCCCTTGTCTATCTATCTATGCCAAGGATAAATAACCCAGATGAAGTAGATAGTTAGCTGAGTGCTCCCTGGGCAGTTAATTAACTATCTACCTACCGCTTCGGGGTCAACATTCACCAAATCCTCCTCCTCTTCTTCACTGCAGGCCGGCTTCTCCCTCCTCCAGTCACTGAAGTTATCTTTCTCTGTGTATCCATTGGTATATGACTTCGCTGTGCCGCCACTCAACCTCCTCCTCTTCTAATATCTGGTTTCTCCTCCTGATTGCCGTTAGTACCAGGTACGGCAAATATAGCCTTTGACATGATGTTTAGGCAACTGACATCAAACATTATCGATAGGATCAAAGCTGGCAAAAGGTCTGATATACACGGAGATCAAAGTACTTCCTGGAGACACTGGAAGAGAGTGTTCTAGTCAAACCGCTGGGCTGAAAGGGAAATCCCTAACTGGCTGCAGAAAGAGTCGCTATATCATTGACAGCTTCTAAGGCCTTCAAATATCAACTATGGTCTTTGACCGAAGATATTAAGGCGTTTCTGGGCCGAGGATAAGGTCAACGAAAGGCTTTGTACAGAGACCATGCGGAATATGCTGTGCCTTGCACCCAGAATCCACGAATACCACGAGAAGGTCTATTTTGCTTTGAAGCCGGTTGAGGTCAGCGAAGACAGGAGTCAACTCAAGCTTCGCTTTTAACTACTGGCTGCCTCATGTCGACAACCCGCCATTCATGAGGGTCTCAGCAAAACCCGACACCAGTCATATTCTCTTCAATGGATATTACCAAGGGTTTTGTTCCACGGTGGCGGTCGGGGGCGTAACGACATCCCCAGCTTTCTTTCAGCATAGAATGGAACCAAGTAAGTGTTGGAGAGCGTGGCCGGCGCGTCTTCAACTTTTTCGGAAGAGACCTGACAAAAGACCTTCGTTGGCTGCCATCGATCTCTCGGACGCTTTGGAACTGCCAGCTCCTGAGGACATGGCAAGCCTGAGACGCGTTTCTCAGAAGTCTTCCAAAGCTCTGGCACGTCCTCCTTGATAGCAGACACGGGCTCCCATGTCCTGTCCCGATAGCAGGGCCCTCGAGTGGCACTCAGCGTTACCGGTGACAACCAGGCTTGACCTGATGGAGTCCATGGATGCCTGCTACGAGGTGCTGTGACATTCTGACACAACGTCGAAACGTCAGAGCAATCGATAATAAGACATCCATAACTAACGATGAATCCAACATCTGCGATGAATATTTAACTAAGTGTTGTCTACACGAAATTATGGAAAAGTGAGTTACTTTGTCATGTGACTTGAATCGTAGGTTCCATCCATCCAATAACTAGTTAACTAGTTAACTAGATCATCTAACCAACAACACAGTTGAGAGAGGCGTTTGCCTTCTCACTTAGTTAACTCGCCAGTCACCATCTCTTGCTTATCCTTTGGTTACAGATTTCTCATTTTCTACTCCCAGGATGGAATCGAGCGCCCTCCCTCATCTTAACCCAAGACGCGACGGTTGTTCGAGCTTGACTTCCCACAGTCTGATGTCAATCTACAGAGCCTTTGTCATCCAACTAAGCTGATCTCAGTTGTTAACCATGGATACAACCCGGGGCCTGCATATTCTGGAGGTAGAATTCTTCAGCGATGCGCGGGTTGAGTTACTGCGTGAACTTGACAGCCTTTTTAACGAACGGCCTGTTTCGAGAGAACTGTGGGCTTTCTTATGGCTAGCAGACCTTGATAAGCTGAGAGAACTCATTGCAAAGGTACGAGCCGACGACCCTAGGGATCAGTACATTATCCTGGATGCGCTTGTAAGGCAAGGGCAGATGGTGAAATACTGTGAGTTCTTCGCTTCCTCCTGAAGAGTTGACTTTCATGCGCAGGGGGGAAAGTATTTACTGACAGTTGCCGCGTATAGGGACCCAGAAAAGCCGGCAGTCCTCTGCAGCATCAACTCCCCGCTCATCTTCGCCTGCCCCTGCCCAGTCCCCAAAAAGCACTCCTAATGGCCCGGCTCCACGCAGGCTTAAACGCAAGTTAGGAGAGCTTACTAGATCATCAGACGAAGCTGAAAAGGTTAGCCTCTTACCTGGGTAGCTCTATCTATTTCTGCTATACTCACGAGAAGCTTTATAGTGCCGCGAACGCGATAGCCAGAAGTGCATCATTACCGGCGCCGGTAGACCAATAGAGGTGGCCCATATCTTCCCATGCTCAATGCGATATGCCCAATCACCCGAGGCAAGCAACGACATTTATAGCCCCTGGAGGGTTTTAAGGCGTTTCTGGAGCGAGGATAAGGTCAACGAATGGTTTCGAGCTATCCTACCCACTACCGAGACCGTGACGAATATGCTCTGCCTTGCACCCCATGTCCACAAATATCACGAGAAGGCGTATTTTGCTTTGAAGCCAGTTGAGGTCAGCGAAGATAGGACTCAACTCAAGCTCAGCCTTTACTGGCTGCCTCGTGTCGACACCCCGTCAGCCATGCGAGTCTCAGCAAAACCCGACGTTCCAGCGATAAATGACCGCAGATGGGTTGGAGAGCGCGGGGCCCAAGCGGTCGATAAGGTCAAGCTGTACAATGTGGACACTGATCTAAGGATTTGTAGTGGTGATCTCATTGTGATCAAAACCGCCAACGCGGATACTCATCCGCTGCCAGATTTGGCGCTTCTTCAAATGCAATGGGTGCTTCAGGCGGTAACAGCCCTGGCCGGCGGAGCGGAACCGCTTGACCTAGAAGACAACTCCGATGATGAATCCCCAGATATGGCCATGGACGTCTATGCTAGTGAGGATGAAACTATGTCGGAACTATCACTCTCACCCCACCCGCCTCTAGGTGTTCTTGATACCAAGCTCCAGCCTACCCTCATAACCTCTTAATAGCCTTGTATTTTATTTCCTGTTACTGCGTGTCTTTTACCCTGGTGTATGCGGGATATATGAGTTTCTTCGTCGGGTCATGGTCTGGGAAGAAACCTGTACTTATTCTCCTAAACATCTTTAGAAAATTGCTTCCTTGTTATTCTGTATACTAGTAACGCTGGGCAGGTTCATGATTATTGATAAGATCAAAGACGGTCAAAGATTCCAGGGGTTTGGATCTACGAGGATACCCAGAATACACTAGAGTCTTTAATATTTCTTGTTTTTGTACACGATATAAATGATACTCCTATTTGGTTCCTTTCCCCTTTGCTTCTGTCTCGCCGAGTTCTCTAACCATCACTTTGACGCTGCCCTCGGGAACATCGTCCTTCTCGTCCTCGAATCCAGGGCTGATCCCAACCAAAAGGTATTTCCCGTTAGAGCTAAAATCCAATGCAGCCACACTGGAAGGATATTTGGGGTACTGCCGTATCCTCCTCTTCGCAATCCCATCCCACAGAGCAACCACTCCGTCACCACCTCCAGAGGCAAAAGTGCCGAATACAGGGTGAAAGGCGAGGGCGTTGACGGGATAGACAACATCGACGCCGTCAACGTGCTGCCGATGACATTTAAACGCATATTTTCGATCTTGAGACTCGTCGGAAGGATCAAACCACTCTACCGCTACTCGCCCTTCTATACTTGATGAGGCGTAGCCAGCGTCATCAGGCATACAGGCCACCGCCCGGGTCATGAACTTGAGACTGCTCTCGCGACGCTGCCAGGGCTCTAGCTCGAGGGTGTGAGCTGGTGGCTGGCCGCCGGACTGCTCCAGGAATAGCACCAGAGACTTGAGGTCGTAGATGTGTAACGTTCTCGAAGCCATGGCAACGACGAGTTTGGTAGGGGTAACGGAGAGGGAGAAGGGTTTTGAGGGCAGTGGGATTGTCGCGGGCGAAGCACTCCCGTCTGCCTTGTGGATGTGCAGTGTCATGTCCCACGACGCCGAGACGACCAGGCCATGCTCTCTACTGTAGACCACCGACTTCACGCCCTGACTGTGTGAGCTCAGCACCGTCTGGGTCGAGGTCTGTATATCGATCCTGTAACCACACGCAAACCGTCAGCGTATTCACACTACACGTAAAGAAAAATCATAGCTTCTTTGAGCTGACTGACTTTTTGACGTCCCAGTCCAGCCCGGCAGTGTATAGTTCGTCTTCATTCTGGCCAAAACAGACATCTAGCACCGGCGCGCGATGTTCAAACTTTTGTATGAGTTTCCCCTCGCCAATAGTGCCGTTCTCGTCTCTGAGGTCATACAGATATACGTTCTTGTCCCATGACGACACCACAAAGCGCGTCGACTCTGGCTCGGGGGAGAATTGGACGGCCGATATCACGTCCGAGGGCGGGTTCGCAACGGCGAAATGGTCTAGAAAGCCCTGTTCAGTACACGGTCAATCGGCAGGCGGCAGGCAACACTTACTAGAAGCCATCTGTAGACACTTATTCGCGTAATATAAATAATCACCCGGTCGACTTCAATGCCTTTCAACCCCTTTCAATGTCTTTCAATGTCTTTCAACGTCTCTCAATGTTTATCAATGTCTGTTCGGCTTCTTCGACTTTCATTTCGACTTTTGGAAGCTTCAAAGAGGGTGGATTCTGCCGCCCCTCACCGCCTTTTTTTCTTTTTCTCGACTTTTTGATAAGACAAAAAAGCAAAACATCTTGACGCAGCTTCATATATTATTATTATTATTTAGTAGTGGTTTAATACAGACAGACGAGCAGCGGGATAGCGAGTGATGCCGTTCGCACAGCTGGTGATCGGCCCTCCTGGGTCCGGCAAGTCGACGTACTGCAATGGAATGCAGCAGTTCATGTCTGCCATCGGGCGCAAGTGCTCGATCGTCAATTTGGATCCGGCCAACGACCAGACTTCGTATACGCCGGCAGTGGACGTGCGGGAGCTCGTTACGCTGGAAGAGATCATGAAGGAAGACACCCTGGGCCCGAACGGAGCTGTCCTGTATGCGCTGGAGGAGCTCGAGGAGAACTTCGAGTGGCTTGAGGAAGGACTACACAGCTTGGGAGGTATGTTTCTCTTACATCTACTATGTATGGCTCTTCTAACGGTTGGTTGGTTTGGCAGATGACTATGTGCTATTCGACTGTCCTGGCCAGGTGGAGATATTCACACACCACAGCTCACTAAGGAACATGTTCTTCAAGATCCAGAAACTTGGGTATAGAGTGTGCAGCGCCCCATTTCTCGAGTTTGAACGGCTGCCTTTTACTCGCGCACAGAGTGCATGCAGGCTGGCGGAGTTAATATGCTAACATGCGATGCGTGTAGCTAGTTGTAGTGCACCTGGTCGACTCTTATAACCTCACGCTTCCGTCGATGTACATCTCGGCGCTGCTGCTGTCACTTCGGGCAATGCTTCAGATGGATCTGCCGCACCTGAACGTGCTCACGAAGATCGACAACCTCAGCAAATATCCTTCCCTCCCGTTCAACCTGGACTTCTACACCGAAGTCCACGACCTGTCGCACCTGATACCGCACCTGAACGAGGAAGCGCCGTGGCTCGCGAATTCCAAGTTCGACGCGCTGAACTCCGCCATAGTCGAGCTAGTGCAGGATTTCGGGCTGGTAGGATTCGAGACGCTGGCGGTAGAGGATAAGAAGAGCATGATGAGCCTGCTGCATGCGATCGATCGAGCGGGCGGGTATGCATTTGGGTCCGCTGAGGGCGCCAACGATACAGTCTGGCAGGTGGCTGTTAGAGAAGGTATGGGAGTGATGGATGTCAAGGATGTGCAGGAGAGGTGGTTAGATGCAAAGGATGAGTGGGATGAGAAGGAGAGGCAGGACTGGGAAGCAGAAGCCAGGGCGAGAGAAATGAACTCAACAGGTCGTGCTGGCGACAACGACGACATGGACATGGACGAGCTAATGTCGAATGTCCCGCCCAACAACGGCATCAAGGTGGTAAGGAAACCGCCAAAGTAATTAACGAATAATGATAAACCTGGTAAAAATGAAAAAATGGTAGGGGCGTTTTTGCGGGGGAATATGGGGGATAATATCACACGGAGAATAATCAGGATACATACGTACCTAGCCTTTTGTAAAAACCACCGATCAGACGGAGGTAGATAAGTAAGAAGTAAAGAAGAAGAAGGACAGTGTTCATTCACTATCGTCGTCGCCGTCATCTTCACTTGCACTCTCAATCCCGTGCTCCGGCGGCACCGCAGGCCCGTCGGCAGCAAACATGCCTTCGAGCGCAGCCTTGCCCCCATTCTCCCACTCCCGAGTCAACTTGACGACCTCCATGCGAGCCCGGCGGATAGCCTCGAGCTCGGCCTTTTTCATGGTGCCTGAGACGCGCACGACGCGAAAGACACAGCGTTGCTGCTGGTCGATCTCGTTGGCACCCGCACTCTGTCGGCCAGCAGGGAGACTTGACGTGTATGTCAAGGCCGACCATACCAGACGATAACTTGCTCGAGGACAGCGTATGATGGCCGTCGACGTAGCGGGCGAGAGATATTTCACTATTCAGTCGGTCAGTAACTTATCAATGGTAGTAACTAGTAGGTAAGGTAAGGCATAGAAGATGGGAAAAAAACACACCACTGACGGCACCAGCGCCAGCACCTCCCAGCCTGCCCATCCCCCAGTCGCCGAACATCTCTGCGACGGCCTCCCTGACCATCCTGGCGAGGGCCTGAGGCGTAAGGGCGTCTGGGGTTGGCCGGTGAAGCTGGAGGTGGAAGGCCTTTTCGTCTAGCTGGGTCTTTTGCGCGCCCGTCTGCGGCGGGTAGAGTATATTAACCAGCAGATATCGATGTTTCAGACGGACCATCTTGGTATTATCAATTGGCTTTATCAATTGGTCTTTTATGAACTGTTGTAGAGAATATGAGATATGGGTGTTGGTGGTTGTCGTTGATTGAGTGACGTTGATTTGATGGTTTTATTATTTTGGGGCGGCTGAAATTTCAACGTCAAAGATAACATTGATAACCAACTACCCACTCCTGAGTCTATAGACTATGAAGATGACATCTACGCACGGGAGAACTTGAAGACGAACGAAGAAAAGTATTATTATCATGGACTAATTTTCATATCAAGGGTTGAAAAGTCAAGCTAGTATCTACCTACCATCCCTCCACCATCTATTTTCAAATCTCAATTGCCGTAAGTGTGCATGCAGCCAGCTTAGATGCTGACCTCGACACGACCCTCGGCTGACGAGCCCTTGGACAAGGTAGGCAGGAGGTAGGTGATGTCGTCCCATGGATGGCGGTAGAGGCCGGTGCGCAGGCGCTTCTGGTCCAAGAAATGGGCGATGAGACCGATGCTTCTGCCGAGGACGAAGAGGCCGTTGAGCACGCCCATGGAGAGGTAGTCTTCGGCTTCTTCGGGGGTGAAGGCGCCGCAGTTGCGGATGAGGTCGACGAAGCAGACGGCGATGCAGCCGTCGACGTTGAGGATGAGGTTGTCCTTCTTGGAGGTGGTGACTGTCTCGACGGCAATGGCGTAGTCGAGGAGCTTGTGCGAAGGGAAGTTCTTGATCACGTATTCCTTGACCAGCTCGACACGGAGGTCAGGGTTGGCGCGGGACTTGATACGGTGGCCAATACCGGGGACTAAAACAATTAGCAGGGGTCTCCTTTTTATTTTATATTTTTATAGAGTAACTGTGGATTGTGCAAGGATGTTATATTAAGGTTGAAGTTAAACTTACTGAGCTTGTTTTCCTTGCGCATGGTATCGACAAAGTCGCGTGGGGAGAGACCCCGGTCAAAGGCACGGGTGAACTCCTCTGCTGCACCGTCGAGGGCACCACCGAAGCGGGAGCCGATGGTGAGCAGACCAGAGACAAGGGCGGAGATGAGGTCCTTGCCGGCACGGGTGGTGATGATGGTGTTCATGGCGCCGGAGACAGCGGGACCGTGATCGGCAGTGAGCATGAGGACCATCTCGAGGAACTTGGAGGCGTAGGCGGGCAGACGACGACGGAACCAGAGCAGAGACATGACACCACCGATGCCGATGTCCTCCTTGAAGACGTCGGAGATGGGCATGCCGGCGTAGAGCAGCTCCTGGCCACGGTCGTCAGAGATGGTGGAGATGAAGGCGGCGGGCTTTCGGATGAGACCGAGCTCCTGGGCCCAGGAGTAGTCGAGGGGGATCTTGGGCACGACGGGCTCTGGCTGGGGCTTGATGGTGCCCTGCTTGACGAGCTTCTGGTAGACGGCAGCGAGCACATCGGGGAGGTCCTCGAAGGTGTCGGGGACGTGGATGCCGGCCTCGCGCATAGACTTGTTCTTGGTGACGGCGGTCTCGAGGTCTGAGTTGGCAGAGGCACCGGCGTGGCCGAACTGGACCTCAGTCTTGAACATGCTGGCGCAGGTTCCGATGGCCCAGGCGACGACGGGCTTGGTGATGGTGCCGTTCTTGACGGCCTCGATGACACGGTACTCCTCGACGCCGCCGACCTCACCGAGCAGGAGGAGGATCTTGCACTCTGGGTTGGCCTGGTAGCGCAGCAGGTGGTCTAGAAAGGTGGTTCCGGGGTATCTGTCACCGCCAATGGCGACACCTTCGCAGACGCCGTCGGTGGTCTGGCAGACGATGTTGTTGAGCTCGTTGGACATGCCGCCGGACTTGGAGACGTAGGCGACGGATCCCTTGCGGTACAGTTTGGAGGCGACGATGTTGTCCATCATGCCGCCGGTGTTTCCGATCTTGAACGCACCGGGCTTGATGCCACCGACGGTAGCAGGGCCGATAATGGTGACTCCTTTCTCCTTTGCCCTTACCATGATTTCTCTCGCCCTCTACCCGACTTAGACTTAGCATCCAACATTGAAATAATAAACTAAGAATATAAAGAGTAGTAACCTACCCGCTCAGGAACGCCCTCTGCGATGATGGCAATGGTCTTGATCTGGGGGAACTCCATGAGCTCCATGGTCGAGGAGTAGACGGAGCGAGACGAGGCAAAGTTGACGACGGTGTCGACGTCTGCGTGTTTGGCCATGGCCTTGTTGGTGTCCTGGTAGACGGGCAGCAGCGTCTCACTCGTTCCCCAGTACCTACACCACATCAGCAACTATCAATTGACGGTTCTTCATTGAACATTGCAAGGGTAGAACGCACATCTTGCTGACGAACTGGCCGCCAAAGGTGTAGATGATGGCGGCGACGGAGGGGGTCGACCGCTTGCAGATGAAGTCGAAGTCGAGCATCCCCTGGACCGCCCGCGGCTGCATTCCACTGCGCCAGTCAGTCAGTCTCTCTATTTCTCTATTTCTCTATTTCTCTATCTCTCACTCTCCATAGCTGCTGAGGTACGTACTAGACGAAGCATCGTGTCTTGTTGTGGAAGAGGTTGTGTTCGAGGGGGGTGAGCGGGCGGGAGGCAGCAGTGAAGCGGGTGATGTTGTCGTTGGCAGACAGGTTCCCGTCGGCGCCCATGGTGACAGTAGAAGTCGAAGCAGAAGCAGTAGAAGCTGGTATAATAAGCTAGATGAAGCTGTCGAGGTCGATCCGAGTCTCGTCTGGAGATGTTTGTGGTCTGATCCCTTGTGAGGACGAGAGGGAAAGGATAGAAGATGGCTTAAGAGGAGGACTTGAAGGAGGCAAAGGCGAAGACGTGAGAGAGAGAGAGAGAAGCTCCGTCGGCTCGAGGAAGAAGAAGAAGAAGACGCTGAGGCGAAGGAGCTTTTTTTTTTCTTTCTTTCAGGCTGAAGAAGAGAAGAAGAAGAAGAAGAAAAGCCAGCGAGGCTGCCTCAACAAGCGCTTTTGGTGGGAAAATGCGAGCTTGGGCAGAGTGACTTCTCTTCCCTCCTTATTTTGGTGGTGGAAGAAGTCACTCTGCCCCAACGCTCCACCACACAGTCTCGTCTCTTGCTTATCTTCAGCTGCAGCCTCGAATGTCATCCTCTTATACAGCTTCATCTCTCTCTCTCTCTCTCCCTACACTTGCTACTTTCCACTCATTCTCTCACTACTCTGCTGCTCTGCTGCTCGATCTCTACACTACTGCCACTTCTACTCTGCTTCTACTCTACAATGTCGGCAAAGAGCATCTACGAGGCCGACGGCAAGGCCATCCTCAACTACCATCTCACCCGCGCCCCCGTCATCAAGCCCTCGCCTCTACCGCCAGCAGACACCCACAACCCGCCCCCAAAGCTCGCCTCGCTCGACTTCCAGCCTGACACCGCCGTCGAGGCCGTCCTCGACCAGGCAGAGGCCACCTACCCCTGGCTGCTCGCTCCCGGAGCCCGCTTCGTCGCAAAGCCCGACCAGCTCATCAAGCGCCGCGGCAAGAGTGGCCTGCTCGCCCTCAACAAGACCTGGGCCGAAGCCAGAGCATGGATAGCCGAGCGGGCGGGTAAAGAGCAGCAGGTAGAGACCGTCGTCGGCGTCCTCAGGCACTTCCTCGTCGAGCCCTTTGTGCCGCACCCGCAGGACACCGAGTACTACATCAACATCAACTCCGTCAGAGAGGTAGGCCACCACTTTTATACTACGATATATATATATATAGAAAGAGAAAGAGAGAGAGAGATGCTAATAGAGGTAGGGCGACTGGATACTGTTTACGCATGAGGGAGGCGTGGACGTGGGCGACGTCGACGCCAAAGCTGAGAAGCTGCTCGTCCCCGTCAACCTCAAGCAGTACCCCAGCAACGAGGAGATCGCGGCCGGCCTACTCAGCAAGATACCCAAGGGCCTGCACAACGTCCTCGTCGACTTCATCACCCGCCTCTACGCCGTCTACGTCGACTGCCAGTTCACCTACCTCGAGATCAACCCCTTGGTCGTCATCCCCAACGAGGACAAGACCTCCGCCTCCGTCCACTTCCTCGACCTCGCCGCAAAGCTCGACCAGACCGCCGAGTTCGAGTGCGGCACCAAGTGGGCCATTGCTCGCTCCCCTGCTGCCCTCGGCCTTGCCGCAACAACTGCCTCGACCTCGTCAAAGGTCACCATCGACGCCGGCCCACCCATGGACTTCCCGGCTCCCTTTGGCCGCGAGATGAGTAAAGAGGAGAAATACATCTCTGACATGGACGCCAAGACCGGTGCCTCGCTCAAGCTCACCGTCCTCAACGCCAACGGCCGCATCTGGACCCTCGTCGCCGGTGGTGGTGCCTCCGTCGTCTACGCAGACGCCATCGCTTCGGCTGGACACGTCTCCGAGCTCGCAAACTACGGAGAGTACTCGGGTGCTCCCACCGAGACCCAGACCTACAACTACGCCCGCACCGTCCTCGACCTCATGCTCCGTGCCCCGCTGCGGCCCGAGGGTAAGGTCCTCTTCATCGGCGGCGGCATTGCCAACTTCACCAACGTAGCCACCACCTTCAAGGGCGTCATCCGCGCCCTCAGAGAAGTCGCCCCGGTCCTCGTCGAGCACAAGACCCAGATCTGGGTCCGACGAGCTGGCCCCAACTACCAGGAAGGTCTCAAGAACATCAAGGCCGTCGGCGAGGAACTGCATCTCGACATGCACGTCTTTGGGCCCGAGATGCACGTCTCCGGCATCGTTCCCCTCGCCCTCAGCGGCAAGACCACCGACATCAAGGAGTTTGGCTCTTAGTGCCTTAAATGCCCTTCCTTTGTCAACTTTCCCCTTCCTGTTACTTAAAACTTCTCCATGATCAAAATGATGCATAATACTAGACATAATTCCTCTTCCTCTTCTTCCTCTTTCATACCCGTAAATCTGACGAGAACAGCTATAGGACTGTCAGCCGAGTTAAGATCCATAGGCTGTTACAATGTAATAAATAAACAGGTGAAGAGAAGATTACTTCATTCTGGCGGCTATCTGTTCGTTTTGCCGCCGTGAAGTAAAATTATTCGCGGCAGGCGCTTAAGATGTTACTAATTATGGTAACTAATATAAACTCTAATTGAACAGATATCATTGGCTGTACCCAAATGGAGGCCATCAGCAAGGGGTATATACATTTATATAGACCATATATCAGGTTACCGACCACCTGGAGAGTTCCTCACGCCTTTATCAATCAAGAATCAAGCGCTCCAGAGATGCCAGGTAGGCGACCTAGTCGATGCCCGATCATTGCTAAGTACTCCGTATGAGTACAATTTGGGACCATATAGCAGAAATAGAGTATCTCTCGAACCATGCACCATGTTCCCCATCACGATCATTCCACATAATATTCAAAGCGGGGGTCGGAGTGAGGCCCATTTAGCTGACTGGCGGGACTAGTTAGTTAATACCAAGATGGGCGATGCCGGTGCGTGACAGCAAAGGAAGCCTGCCTCAAGACACGATACGTAGTCCGCCTAGCTCTCCATCGAGTGGCTGCTTGTATGACCACTGCAGGCCCTGACTCTGCTGGTGCGACACGAACGGTGGTCTGGACGGGGATGCAGGGGGACTGCTGCAGACATCGACATGCACTAGTTAAAACTCCTTAACTAGCCAAAAAATAAGTCGTACTACACACACCCTCTCCTCTTTACTACTCATATTATTTCCTCTCTCGCACACACATTCTCTCCCACTCTCTCCGTGTGTGTCTAAATATACCGAGAGATTGGAGGTGCCAAGTTCCTGCCTGCAAACTTGATAGCTATGCAAAATGCTGTACGATGCTGACACCATAAATATTAACTGCTGGTACTCCGTACTCCGTACGTAATAGTTTATAGCGATATTGGATTACGAGATATTTCAATAGCGGCGGATCAAGATCCTGTTAGTTAGCTGTTTCTGCTGATTCGTTTCACTGAACTGACTGCCCAAGTGGCTTTCTTTGGGTTATCATAACTAGTGGTTACTTTTGCTTGAAAAAAACACTCGGTTGTCTAGGCGCGCCACGACCGGGCTGCAGGTGACAGATAAAATAAACAAATAAATAGCCAAGCAGACAGGCATACGTAAGCCTTCTTGTCCCGCAGACCAAGAGTTGAGATTATCAAGCGGTGTAATATTATCTTGTATTTTCTGCATAAGCCAAAGGATGAGATATGGGCCGTTTTCCTTTTCTCCAGATACGTATAGAGTATTCCGTAGTCAGACCGCAATTGAGAAATATCTCCAATGCAACGGACATGTAGACGAAATTTTCTTGCTTTTTCCTCGAAACAAAATCAAAAATCACATCAGGATAATACATTTGTCTGTCTTCTCTCTTTCAAGAAGTAGATTGTATATATATTAGGTCATCAAGGGGTAAATTTATCAACTAAGAGACATGAAGTGTTCAAAAAAAAAAAAAAATTAATTATTAATTTGCATAGGTCTTGATCGAGACATTGTTTACAAGTAGGCAGCGATGGCAAGGATGGCAGCGCCCATGCCGCCAATGTTGGCAGAGAGACCGGAAGCAGCACCGGTGTAGATGGGGGTGGACTGGGTTGGAACACCAGTGTTGGTGAAGGTGCCGGTGCCAGATGGGCCACCTGGAGCACCAGTGCCGGATGGAGAGCCAGTGCCAGTTGGGGCGGGGGTGGTGGGAGCTGGGGTGCTCTCGGTGGGAGAGGCAGTTGGAGCCTCGCTGGTGGAGGGCTCGGATGGCTTGGAGGAGGACTCCTCAACTGGAGGAATGGAGACGGGAGCTCCGGCCTCAGAGCACTGCTTGACGACGGCGTTGGAGACGGCTATAAGCGTAGGTTAGTATGCGTATGCATGGGAATAATAGGGTGATATAAGTCAGGTCCAAACTTACAGACTTGCTCGGCAACAGGGCACTTGGACTTGACGCAAGGAGTGATCTTGGCTGGGAGCTCTGGCTTGGAGCAGTGGCACTTGAAGTCGGTCAACTCGGAGCATCCATCAGTGGTGAGAGCATCGAGGAAGCATGGGAGCTAAAGGGTAATGTTAGCAAAATAGGTCCTCTTTCATCACCGGCACTTATATGGAGGGTAAGCACATACAGAGCACTGAGGAACGTCTGGGAGCTGAGCAGAGACGACGGTGGCAGCAGCAAGGGCAATGACGGCCTGAGAGAACTTCATTTTGTCGGTATTTGGTAGACAAGAAAGACTTGTATTAATTCTAGAGTAAACGACAGTTGAACGACGAAACGAGTGTCAATGTTAAGAACTGTTGCGAGGATGGAGGAGAGAAGAGGAAAAGGAGGAAGAGAAAAGCCAGAACGCAGCAGGTAGGATGGGAAGAGCTTTATATCTTCAGATGAGAAACAAGAGGAGAGGATCCAACTTTTTGCAAAAAAGGAAAAAGGAATATCAGAGAGGCAATAAATCAGTGTAACGGAAAAAGCAACAAGCGGCCGGGTTTACAAAATAACAGCACCACATCCAAGCCACTTGAAGAAGAGGCGGAGGAAGAGAAGGAAGAAGCAAAGGAGCTGGACCCACACCCCACGCCCTCAAGTTCATCGGCCAAGGGTGAAGCTCAAGGGTATGGAGAGTACGGAGTAGCGTGTGGACAGCAGACGTCGGCTTGGGGCCGGGGTATATGTTAGTGGAAGACATGGGATCTCTCAATTTGGCCAGATGGGGGATGGGAGGGAAGAGAGAGGTTTGAAAATTTCACATGCAGCCCTTATCCCTTGCTCAGCAAGGTCAGAGCAGTTATACTTGGATCAGTACCAGGAACATGTACATTCGTGTGCGTATACATCCTTTGTAACCCACGGTTGATCTTGCGTGGTTGTGATGGTGACGGCAACATTTGACTGAATGGCTGGTTCCTGTAGACAATGATGGAGATGCCGTCCTGCAAGCCGGAGGATGTTCGTGTATTGTACCGCGGTTCCAGAGTACAATTAATTGTTGTCCACTCAGAGCGAGGTCGGTTGCTCTGTACATCGTGGATGTACTCCCAAGCGTGGATACGGGGTATGGGGTGGTGTGGACTTTTGGCCTTGTTGCTCCCCCAGAGAGTGGGTCGTCGTCGTAGCCCTGGGGAACGAACGAGATGCTATTTTTTCATGCTGGCTTTGGTTGCTTTTGGTCGAGAGGACCCCTGCCACACTATTATTGTGTCTTCCTCTGCTTCGCCCGAAGGTCTGGAAGTCCATCCTCTGTACTCTGTGTATCGGAACAGGCGCATGGAGGGACCATTGGTGGACTTCTCATCGCCCGGCGGCTGAATGTGGCAAACAAACATCCAACCACCTCGATAATGGGCAAGTTGATGATGGTCAAGCTTTTCTTCCCCCTTTCACTGAAGAGGGGACTCTTCCTCAAGGGCTCTGTCGCTGTAAGACAGTGTTTATGGTGGAAGGAAGCGGCTGTACGAAAGAGCCTTACACTCTGTATCCTTTCGTGCGAATAGCCAAGGGCCCCTGGTGTGGTTACCTTCTGCTTTACTCCGCACAATATAATATAATGCGGAGTGAGCCATAGCTCGAACATCAACGAGCAGGAGCTAACAGATGTTAGTTAGCTCTTCTCAGGTTACGGATGCACCGCTGCATCTCGTTCTGTTCCTCGCCATTCCCACCCCCCTTGCGCCTCCAGGCTTCTCGAAAGAAAATCTCAAGCCGGTAGGCCCGCTTGGCCAGAAGCCCATTTGCTGTTAAAAAGGGCCTTGTCGCCAATCTCCGTGGCCGATCTGCTTCTCCATGACTCCCCTTCACACAGTTGGAACGGGGAAGCCCGCTTGGCCCAGCAGCTCCCAGCACTCTGAATGGCCATTGTCCAGTTAGTGTCTGCAATGCAGGTGGGAAGGGGAAAAAGCAACGAGACAGAGGGCTGGGATCGATGTCTCACGTCAAGTCTCCACATGGAGCATCTCTACTGGCCATGGACAGATTCATCGTTGCTTGCCTGGTCGAAAGAGAAGCAAGAGGAGGCTATATGGAGATCCCGGCAGGAGGCGGCAAGGGGATCGCAGCTCGTCCTCCGTGCTATGCTGTATCGTACTGTCACCCGCTTCCTCTCTTTGCTTCTTCTCTCCTTGCCATCTCGAAAATCCGTCAGCGGGTGGTTGGACGAGTCGGCTTACTCTGACTCGTTCTTCTCAAGCTCTGAGCTCTGTCCTGGTGACTGCACTGCGCATATCTGTTGCCCTGGAGATGTCCAGCTTGGTTGCTACTGTCGTCGTCAGTCCTCCTCGCCAACGATGATGATGACGATCGATCCAACCACCACCACCAACCACCGCTCTAGATCGATGAGTTATACTATACAATGATAGTAACGGACAATGCCCACTGGGCCGAATGCCACATTGGAAAATCCCCATGGCTAGCTGTGCCACCGTCGTATCACCCGGGCGTCTCAAGCGGGCTCTCAGATATCAACTCCCGCAGCGTTGACTATCACCCTCGATGTCTCCTCCCCCTTAAGTAACTATTGTCATGCCTAATTAACTATGGAAAGTCCTCCATGTCAGCGGTGCGGTGCTCCATCGAGAGTGGGAATAAATGGCCCGATCTGGGGTAAATCTGTGTATTTTTGGTTTTCTGATCTTGTGCTCCAATTCTGTTTTATTTCGTGGCTTGCTTTCTTTTTGCTGGCTTGATCGGTGTCTCCATCGACGGAGGATTATCTCAGCACTGATCCATGCCAGCCATGTCCCGATAGCAAGCACAATTATTATTTACTTCGTTTTCCAGTCGTCTCTGCGTGTCTCTCTGCATGTCTCTGTTTTCCGTGTGCCGTGTGCGTGTGAATAGCCAAATCTTGTCGTGCCATATCCGATCCTAGCTTGAGGTTAGGGGCCGGAGATCCCCAAAGAGGCGATGCTCTCCGCCTGCATAACGTCACATCGTCGAATTTTACTGATTTCGATCCTATTTTTTAGCTGTTGCTCGAAGTCAAGAGTTCGTGGCAACTAGCCGCTTGTTGTTTCTTGTTTCTGATGACATGCATCCGCTGGATACAGCTGATGATGGGGATGATGATGATGCTGCGGGTGTCACTCGATGACGGATGTAGCATTTCACAGCCTCCATTCAGCCCGATGGCGAAGGCGAAGGAGTCAGCTCCCGTGCGCTGATGCAGGTTCCCTGGCAACGAGACATGTCGACGTAGCATTTCACATCTCATGGGCCGCCTGGCATTACTTTCTGCTAGCTGTTGGTACACATGCATATTCCTGCATGCAAGAGGAACATCCTCGGTGAGAGAGGAAAAAGAGAGCAAAAAAGGGGGCAAGCTAGGTCAAAGCGAGAGGAATCGGCCTCTGTAGGCGAGAAGAGCGAGCAAGCGTTCGGAAGCCCTGCAGATTGCAGATTCGTATACAGATGGAAGGCAAGGAAAAGGCCCAGCCCTCCCTTCGATTGGTCTAATGTACCTGCATGCGAGGATCTCGCAAATTGGCTCCCCTGTTTTAGCATCGATTAAGAACCGAGAGGGAAGAGCTGCTTGACTTCCTCATATTATTGTCGCTCTCTGATTTTAACCTTCTAGTCCTCTGTCAGGTCAACTAATCTCGTCTTTGCTTCTCGGGAAAGGGGTTGATATTGAACTCTGACACACCTAACTCTCTAGTCTCTACCTTAATTCTCTGCTCTCCCTCTCTCTGCGTATGTTTGTTCGGCCATATGGACAGTCAACCCTGGGAAACATGCATGACATGGTGATAAGATTACTCGGGGGACCACTCTTTACGATGCTGCATGCGCCAGGCAGAGATAGACAAGGTCGAGAGAAGAAAAGGGGCACTTGTCATCTGCTCGCTTGCTAAACCTGGGGAAACGGAGAACGGATCCATCCAGGGGGGGTTTCTGTTGGCCCGAGGATATTAAGGGCCTTTCCCCAGGTTTTCTTTCGTTCCGCCGTCTTTAAACAAGCGCCGACCCGTGTGCCTCCTTCTCTCTTCCATTTTCCTCTACTAAATTTCCATGTGAACAATGGATGCTGGACGAGGTGCATTTCGAAGATTTGGTCGGCATTCCTCCCTCTCGCCCGACCGATTGCTCAGGACCACTGCAGACAACCAATTACCGTCGCCATAATTGGCTTTTGTCCGCTGCTCTCGGTGGTCAAAAGAAAGATCTAGGGAGAAGAGTAATATGAATTCCAACCTTGTGCATTCCCGAGTATCAACCCGATGTCCAAAAAGAAAAGAGACCAGAAAACACGCAGCATCCTATGGTCCCTAGCGAAAAAAAAGACAAGAAGCGTCAAAAGCAATCAATGTCAACATCAGTCGACCCAACAGACCAAAGCATGCAGGATGCTAAGAGAAAGAAAAAATAACACAGGAAATCAACCAGCCGCGGTAATAAAAGAGCATCTGCCGTCGTAATTAAACATGAGAAGAAAAAACGAGGTACTCGGGAGGAATACCCAAGGGAACGGGACATCACGATAGCAACTCGTCTATGTATGCCTTCTCGCTCGCTTTCTCCCGCGTCTCTCCCTTTAACAAGACGGCAAGGACTTCAATAGGCGGATTCAGGCCGAGAGCATGAGCTCGTCTCCAGCGTTTTATCCGTGCAATTCCAATGCATGGCTGACAGAAGATATTTCGGTCAGCTTGTTTCTGCTGCTTGTTTGCTGCCGGGGAAGTATACTGATGAATTTACTTACGCCGTACTGACTGCACAGGTCAAAGTGCCGTAGAATCTTCTCCTCAATACTTAGATCTGCCTGATGCACTGTAAACCCGTAAATGTCAGATTGATGGCCCAAAGTCCCGCAGAAGTATTCAGCATACCTCTCGAGGCAGTTCGCTTTCTCTCCTCCGCCCGCCAGTACGCATGCAGCTGCTTCAACGTCAATGCCTCTGCCTGCTCATCTTCCTTCGACTTTGGTAACGCTGCCTCGGCTCTGGCCTGCTCGTGTACGACGGCTGTTGAAGTTGTGGATGCTGGAGTGGCCGTGACTTCGGCGGTAGGTTCTTGCAGCTGTTGTTGCCCCTCGTCCTGCTTCTTTGGCAGGCTGTGGGTGGGCAGGGAGATCTCCTTGGGCGAGGTAGACTTCTGCTTCAAGTCCTTGCCGGGTATCGAGGCATTGGAGAAGGGCTTTGATATCTTCGACTGCGAGCCGAACTGGAGGGTTGCCTGGTTGCTTTTGCGCGACTCGGCGGCTTTTCGGCGGGGGGCCATGTCGACGGTGAGTTAAGGATTATCTTGATGCGATAGCGAGCTGAGTATTTTAACTAGATCGCACTCTTGTTGTTTCGCTGTTGATAAGAAGCTGCCGTCGTTGGTGTCTGTCTGTCTGTCTGTCGTCGCTGGCTGCCTGGAGGCTCATCGGCTTGGTAAGAAAAACGCTGGTTGTCCATGGCAACCACCTTGAGGCGGCGGCTTTTTCTCCAGCCAACACAACACGAGCCGAGCCTCCACTCCAACAGTAGGGGAAGATGGTGGTCAGGATCAAAGAACTACGTGAATATAGCGAGAGAGACTGGTCTATTGAGGGCTTAATGGCTGCTATCTGGATAACAAAGAGGGACTATGGCTTGAACTTGAGGACATCCGCAACGACTTCCACCATCTCGACTACCTTCTCTTCCTCGAGCCGCTTGCCGTAGAGCTGCAGGGAGACGGGCGCACCGTGATAGAACTCAGGATCATACTCGGACTGCATGATCTTGTCGTGTTCGTTCAAGGGCTTCCAGCTCGCGTCTCGTTTCAGGTCGACGGCCTTGTCTGCGTAGGTGACGGGGAACGTACACGAAGGGAGATCTACCACCGGTCACAGAGCTTATCAGCAGCGGGACAGCACAAAACGGGCCAGGCGAAAGAGAAACATACCTAGCAGGTTACCAAAGGCAGTGAAGCCGAAGTACTGAACCGTCTCGCCGTATCCCAGACGAGCAGCGGGAGCAACGGCGGCCGGGGCGATGATACAGTCCATGGGGCCGGCAGTGTCCGTCTTGGTGGCCATCCACCTGTCGAGATACGCTCGTTGCAGGCCGTTGCGTTCGATGATCATATCACTCAGCTTGACAGCGTCTAGCTGGTCTTCTTTGAGCGTTGAGAAGGTCTTCTCCATACACTTGAAGAGAGGCTCGCCGTGCTTCTCTAGTTGAGGGAGGATGGCGGATGTTCCGAATACCTTGAACCCTTCCATGACGAGACGCAGAACCTCAGTGTGGCCAGTTGGTGCCCTTTTGAAAGCAATTCGTCAGTGCCATATATACAGTTTTGAAATAGCGGAGGAGTGGCCTACCATTCAAAGACATCATGACCCGCTTCTTTCAGTGCCTTGCTGACGATGTTAAGGGCACGCTCTATGGGCGGGTAGCAAGTCATACCGCCGTCATTGTTACCTAGTATACCAATACGCAGCTTCCGCCCCTTTGGCTGAATGACATCCTTCCTCCAGGGGATGGGGAGAAGTTTGGGGTCGGCGTTCCACTGCCCGGCCTGCTCGGACAAGATCGTCTCGCAAAACAGCTTGACAGTATCAAGTGAGGTTGCCATTGGGCCGCACACAGACGGGATAAACTCCTGTCCCTGTATGGCTGCTCGTCCTCCCAGGGTTGAGAACCGGCCAAAAGAAGGCTTCAATCCGTACAGATGACAGAACGCACCTGGAACACGAATACTACCCCCGATATCTGTCCCAAGTCCCAATGGCGCCGCTTTGAGGGCCAGGAGAGCTGCCTCTCCGCCTGACGAGCCACCGGGGCTCAAGCCCTTGTGGATGGGGTTTCTGGTCTTTCCCCAGATTCTGTTGTCTGTCTCTGCCATCAACATCGCCGTGGGCACATTAGTCTTGACATAGAAGACTGCACCCAAGTCCCGCAGTCCTGTCACTATCACGGAGTCTTTTACTGTAGGCTCGATAGTGTACGCCGCCATTCCAATAGACGACGGATGAGGGACCGTCATGAAGTTGTCCTTTAGTGAGACTGGTAGGCCGTGAAGAGGACCGACTACCTTTCCTGTCCTTTCGAGGTGATCATCCAGCTCCTTTGCACGCTTCAATCCCTCGTCGAACAGAACTTCAGTGACACAGTTGGTCTATAATCTCCCACGTCAGCCAACAACCTGTTCGTCCCCGAGCAGAAGAAACGTCCTTGTACATACCAGCTTCTGTGCAATGACAGTTGCCTTGCAAAAGGCTGTGGTTATCATGACGGAAGACAGCTTTCTTGTCCTGAGCTTCTCTAACAGCACAGAGGCATCGGAATTGATAATCTCCAGCTCCTCGGCTGTGAGAAGACCTGAAGTCTGAGGGTACGATCGCAAGTCTTGCGGCAGCTCATCTTCCTTGACATCGGGGATAGACCAAAACGCAGCAAGGGCATCATCTCTCCGCTTCCTCGCCGCCGCAGATATTTCCTTATAGCACTGTCCCATCTTCGTTTACTCGTGAAAATTTGATATCTGACCTTAACGCTGATGTGTCGTCTAGTCTGCCGCTCTGGCCTTTGCACTGCGAACTCGTCTCCTATTTATCTATCAACAAAGACATGGCTAACCGGAACCCCTCCTAACATTTAGCCGGTGAAGTAGGGCGATCCCGCCTCGGCCTTGCTTGACTGGAGGGTATATCCCGTCAACTAACTGTCGACAACGCCTCTCCAAGTGCTGAAGCTATCTTTCCCCTGTTGGTTGGACCATCATCCCCCGCAACGTCCCCACATAGGGTAGAGTATATCTTATCTGGCGGTGGACATGGTAATCTTTCCGCGATGCGGATACATCGTGGTCACCTTCATGTAGTTATACGGCTTGTACGGAGTAGAGCAGTCGTTTTACAGCAAAGATCTAGATGTGTATCAATGTGTTGTGGTAAGTGTTTATATGGTTGAAGAAACAGTCGTCTTATATATTGAAAATGTCATCAGCCTCCATTAACATCACAACTGAGACCACGTCAAAAGACCTAATCCAATTGGCATTCAACCTTAACCTTTTACATCGGCGTCTGCAGCCACTCCTATCTTAGTCGAATTGCCCGAGGTTGTCGGGGGATGTTTAAATGTTATTCGGTCGATAGGTTGGGCTCGTCTGTGGAGTGTACTCTCTTCTATAGACAAGATCCAGCTCCTCAGCCCTCCTGATAAGTCTTACAGCACAGAGTGACCATCTAGAGTACTCCGTACTTACTCTCCTTCGCCCAACTTCGCTTCCAATCTTCCGTGATATTGGGCTTGCTATGACGCTCCCTTCCATGGCTCCTCTGGGGATACAGGCACAAAATACAGTGGCTTCCCCCAAAAAACCCTCCACCCTCCACCATTCCGCGGGGTAACGAGCAACCAGCCAATCATAAGCCGTTTCTCCTTTTTATCCACCCGAACTTCGGCCTTAGTTCCGCATTTAGTCATATATTAGTCAGATATTAAAGTGGCGCGCGCTAGTAACGCGTCTGGCGCGTCTCCGTCGCGTCTTTTTGGTGGCTGGGAAGAGAAGAAGCCGAGAGAGAAGAAGAAACAAACCAACCACCGCGGGTGGAAAAGTGAGGGCTGGACAAAGAGAGGGCAATTGATAATGGACAGTACGGAGTAGCTCTCTGGTGACCTTGCTTTCTTGACTTGTTGGTGCTCCGGAGCAGTATTGCGGATACATCCTGCCCACTTACTTCAATTGATACTCACAGCCCAGCATGAGCCTCAGGCCTATCGAGCAGGCGTTGGCCAGCCTTCTGCCCGCGCTCGCAGAGGATCTCCCTCGTGAGCTGCTGAATCTTGCATCTTCCCTGCTTACCCAGACTCGGAGCTGTGGTGCGACTCTCAAGCCGGAGATGGAAATTGCCAGGCCGTATGCGTGTGCGGAAATCGCCTGCAAGAGGTAGTGTGCTGTTCGCTTCTTTCTTTGGATGCCCCCATTGACATGCAGACTAACTCCGGGCGGATTCTAGATTAACCAGGACGTTGAAACTTCCATCCCCTCTCAGCCGTCCACCATGCCCTCCCAGAGTGTACAAGAAGCTCTACGCATACCTCGAACAGTCCCTGCAAAGCTCGTCGGTCAGCTCCAAGCGCCAGGGTGCTGAACCCCAAGCACAGAAACGCGCATCGGCCAGGATACAGAACAAAGCTACGGCTCCTCCGGCCTTGCCTACCCCAACAGCCACATCATCAGCCATCTCATCTCCTAGACAGGTTAAGAAGACGGGGGATGGCCGGAATAATGCATCATCAAAGCTAGTGACGAGCAGTTCGCCTGCCGTGGAGTTACCTCAGTGGACAATGGGGCAAATCAGGACGATATGCAAGACGTTTCCTTCTCTCACGCGAGCAAAGGAGATTCCATCACCTAGCACATTTGCTTCTACACTGCCGCCACATGTATACGCCGGCCTTTGCTCAGTTCTATCCTTTATTTCAGCTGCAGAGGGACGACTTACAGAAAAATGGCAGGATCTCGTCTCGCCCGTCTTATCACTCGGGACAAAACAGGATGATCCCAAAGCATTGGAGGTGACCAATAAGAGGGTAACGACATTGAGCATTGCCATATATTTCGTTGTCTACACCCGGCGGATTGGGATGGTATACGATGCAGATGTACAACAATACCCAAACAAACCGATGACAGAAGTGGATGAGGCAGATATGGAAGAAACGATAGGCCGCGCATTAGACAGCGTTGGTCTCCCCCGGGTGGTAAATGGCCGTGAACAATACTCTATGGAAGTCGATGCATGGCTTATGATCATGCTTGAGATGGGCTGGGCCATTGACCAAGAGTGGTTTGAAAACATTCCTTTACCAACTGCAGATGAGATCGAGGCCTACAATCAGAAAAACAAGAGAAGAAAGAGAGGTTTGGACGAGGCTTCCGATTTTGAAGAAGACGATGATGAGATACTCAGTCCCAAGCGGAAGATGGTGAAGAGCAGGAATGCGGATGCTGGAAGAAGGCACTTGACGTCCGGAGAGCACAATCACTGTGGTGACACACTGCTACCTGGACTAGGCACAATGATGCATCCTCAGGTTGACTGGCTGAGTGAAGATAAGAGATACTCGTATGGAACGTGGAGGGACCGCATCATGATGTGGATAGAGCAGGTCGAGATCTCAGGTTGAGATGTGATCTTACTTCCACTTCTCTTCCTTTTCATGTCCTTTATATGTTTATTTTTCCATATCCTTTGTTGGTTCTTTTTTTTTTTTTTTTTTTTGGGCATACCCGGGAAACCTGCAACATTGTTTACTTCTAGCATATTCGGAGTACGGAGCACCATACCCAGGCTTTTTGAGAAATTATTTAGATCAAGTGCTACCACAACAATGGAAGAAAGCTTATCGGAAGACATTAAAATGTTTCATGGTCTAATTGGTTAAAATCTATTGAGAGCACATAATAGTGGTCAGGTGAAGAAGTAAAAGTATGAGGACAAGGTTAGTACCAGATACTTCTTGTCCGATGATGTGGCATAGTCTCTTTCCCGTCCGCCTCCATATCCTTGACCATATCATATAAGAAAAAGTCAATCAAGATGGCGTTGATATGTAAAGGTTTGGATCCATTAGCTTCATGATGGCCATTCCTCTGCCGTTGAAGCTCTTGTATCTCTCGCCTTATTAGCTCCACGCCCCAGATGCTGGCACCACGAAGCTCGACCTCCCGCTGATGGCCACTAGGTATGAGCTTGTGCTGCCGAATAACACTCTCCAGCGGCGGAGAGAAAAGCAGACAACCAAGCTGATTAAGCATTTGAGGGATACGATAATCTTATGAACGTTAGATGATTTACAAGTCCAAGATATGGGGGAGCGCTAGAGAAGCATACCGGCAAACATGGTTATTTTGTCTATATCATGAAACTCTCCGTAACTCTGACCTTGGAAGCAGGCCCATAAATCAGCAACGAGGATCTGGGCCCGCTTGTAGAACCGGACTTTCTTCCCACAGAACTCGGCCTCGTCTCTGAAACAAGGGAAGTTCTGAGCCAGGAGGTTGACCAAAGCTGCTGCTGAACCATTGGCTTCTGCAATACAGTTGGCAAAACTACATTCATATTTCTATGGGAACAGATTAGCATAAGAATGATGTAACAGACAATAATTGAAGTTAAGTATACCTCATAGAGAACTGATCCTGCTTCTCGTAGACAGGCGATGCGTTCCTCAAGAAGAGGAATCTCCTCGTCAGTGGCAGACCGGAAAACATGCCTCAGCACTTCATCTGTGCACTCATTTTCATCTTGCCAAAAGTCGGAGCTCGTAATGGGTATCTCTGTAAGTCTCAGCACGGTGTCTTTTTGGAGTGTCAAAGGACAAGCAAAGTAGGGGTAGATGAATATATACCCTCATCAAGGGCCCTCTGCAAGGCAGCGACCAGACTCCAATAACCAGTCCATTTCCTACCCCGATACTCAACCGCGAATCTCTTCGACGCATCAAGTTCAGACCAGAAGCTGAAGTTGAGAAGATCCATGGTGAATATAAAGTTGACAGTGGACTCGTCTTTAGCTTTGGGATGCAACTCATGGGCTGACCATGACTCAGTCGAGTACTCTTTTTCCTGCATCATCTTCCAAATATTTTTGGCAGCCGACTTGGTTCCCTTAGGGTCAAGGGCAACATCTATAGCGTTGTCAAAGATGAACTTTGCGCCCTCGAGAACCTTTGTCTCTGCTGGCGGCGGTGTTTTTGAGTTGCCTCCCCCCAGGCCGAGGGACTGCCGGAGCAGTTCCAGCAGTTCCAGGTCCGGCCCATCATCATCATAATCGTCATCCGCATGCATAATTAGATGTTTAGAGAAGAATTGAATGCAAAGCGTCCCAAGAGAGCGTCTCTGTTAAAATATCAGCTAGGGAAGGAGGGTATTAAAAAAGGAAACAACACATTAAATAGTTATGCAAATCAGAAAAAAAAAAAAAAAAAAGAATCCCCCGAATGAAAAGAAGAAGAAGAAGAAGAAGAACCTGAGATTCGTTTTGTAGACTGCTTTTTCCTTCTGGACTCCCTTTTTCTTTTCTGCAGCAAAAAAGAAAACTTTTTTTATATATAATTTCTTCTCGGTCAAACAAGGGGCTCTCCTTGCGCCGTTAAACTTATGCTTACGTAAATCAGGATTTTAAAGTCATGTGAATGGTACAAGTTTCAAGGCTTACATTTCCTGTCCCTCTATTGGTGCAATTTGGGCCAATCACGGAGCTAACCATGTTTAGCAAGCTATTCCTTCACGTGACATGACATAAACTAAATGCCATTATCTTACTAATCAAACCTTGTTTCCACGTCGAAGCAGCATAAAAAGCAGCAAAAAGCAGCAAAAAGCAGCGGTAAAAGCGATAGTAACAAGCCAGCAAGTGATAGCAGATGATAGTTGGCAGCAGTGGCAGCAGCAGCAGCAGTGAGGGTCTACTCTGTAGCGACAGTGTGTGTAGCGGGGTTAGGGGCAGTTTCTAGATACAAGAGCGTGCAATGCTCCATCGCGCAGCGGCTGGTTAACTAGTCATGTTCAAGGGAGACAGACGGCAGACGACAGACAACACTTGATAATCATAAGAGCAGCTAGACTAGTAGAGACGGAAGATACAGGGAGGAAACAGTGTGGTTCCTTGCTGTGCCCATTATTCGTTGCTTTCTCTGCGCTTTTCTCTCGGCAACGTCTTTCTGTCAAAAGGGCTGCAGGAAATCCACTTTCCGCCTGGGGATGATGAGGTCACCACCTCTTTTTTCTCTCGTCGTTCTCTCGTCCGCTCCCTCTCGTAACTGATTAGGTTAACTAACCACCCGCCACCCCGTCCATCGCGCGCCCCCGAGACGCAAGCGAAGAGGAGGCCGACGAAGACGAACACTGATCTACCTCTGCTCTGCTCTGCCTTGCTCCGACTACTGCGCCCTGACCTGTCTGTACCTGCGTCTGCTGCTGGGCCAGCTTGGTGGTCATCCTGGCTCCTCTGCGCGCCATGTCACCTCACGCGGCGCATGGCCGCGATCGTTTCCTCAAGCAGTCCATCGGCTCGCTCGTCCCAAAAGTCCATGAGGTATGGGAGATTCATCTATACGTGGCCATTGACCGTTTGTTTTACTGACAAGTTTTTTTGTCGCTTCTGGCAGAGCCGTGTGCTGCTTGTTGGCGCTGGAGGCATCGGCTGCGAGCTCCTCAAGAACCTCCTCCTCTCTGGCTTCGGCACCATCCACATCATCGATCTGGATACAATCGACCTCTCGAACTTGAATCGGCAGTTTCTCTTCCGCCACGAGCATATCAAGAAGCCCAAGGCTCTCGTACGTCTCTCGATGCATCTATATGATAGGGATGTTCGGTTCGCTTGGCTAACCTCGCACTCTTTCCTTGACATCACTTAGGTCGCAAAAGAAGTCGCTCAGAAGTTCAGGCCTCAGTCGACCATCGAAGCATACCATGCCAACATCAAGGAAAGTCGCTTTAATGTCGACTGGTTCGCATCCTTTGATCTCGTCTTCAACGCACTGGACAACCTCGATGCGAGGAGACATGTCAACCGGATGTGTCTAGCGGCAAACGTCCCTCTGATAGAGAGCGGCACCACCGGTTACAATGGTCAGGTCCAGGTCATCAAGAAGGGCCGGACAGAATGTTATGACTGCACAAACAAGCCTGTGCCCAAGTCATTCCCTGTCTGCACCATAAGGAGCACGCCCAGTCAGCCCATCCATTGCATCGTCTGGGCAAAGAGCTACCTATTCCCGTGGGTTTATCTGGCCATTTCCCCTTCCTCGCTTGTAACTAAATGACAACTAACATTTCTCTGGCTTCTACAGTGAACTTTTTGGAACGAGCGAAGATGATGTCGAGCTTGATCATACAGAAGATGCTGAAAACGGTACGCCAGCGCCAGCCGTGTCTTCTAAGAATTTTCTTGCGACTAACGAGATAAAAAATAAGCTGGTGAAATCGAAAATCTACGACAGGAAGCCAAGGCTCTAAAGGAGATCCGGAACTCCATGCCTTCTGATGAGTTTACTGAAAAAGTGTTCGAAAAGGTCTTCCACAAGGACATTGTGCGTCTACAAGCCGTCGAAGAGATGTGGAAGTCAAGACCAAAGCCAAACCCGCTCTCCTACAGCTCCCTATCCGAGGAATCTAAAGGAATCGACGCAGGCATTTGTTCGGATGATCAGAAAGTCTGGACTGTAGCCCAGAATTTCGTCGTCTTCAAGGACAGGTCAGTCATTGCTACATCCTAAGGTGTTGCTTGACCCTTTCTTTTTTTTTTTTTTTTTTTTTTTTTTTTTTTTTTTAAGGAAAATTAAGTTAACCAAAAAGGCAGTATTGTGAGACTGAAAAAGCGGCTCTTGGATGGTCAGCCCGGGACACAGGATGGAGACAAGATCATGCTGTCATTTGACAAGGACGATGTTGACACACTGGACTTTGTGGCTTCAAGTTCCAACTTACGTGCTGCGATCTTTGGATTGGAAGCCAAATCCAAATTTGACATCAAGCGTATGTTGCAGCTCCCTCCTGATGTTCAGTTTCGTTAAATACTAACCAACTCTAGAAATGGCGGGCAACATCATTCCTGCTATTGCAACTACCAATGCAATGACTGCTGCGCTGTGTGTTCTACAGGCCTTCAAAGTTTTAAAGAATGATTACGATAGTGCAAAGATGGTTCGCACCCCGTTTCTTCCATTTACGCGTGTATCTGTGTATCTCTGCTAACGTGGTGGTCCAGGTATTCCTTGAACGCTCTGGTGCTCGAGCTATTAATACTGACAGCCTCAAGCCACCAAACCCCGACTGTGCTGTCTGTGCTGTAGCTCAGAGAAAGATTTTCATTAATCCAGAGAGTGCAACCCTCAATGATCTGGTGGAAAAAGTTCTTCGGCTTGAGTTAGGCTATGGCGAGGAATTTTCAGTCAGCAACCAAATAGGGACCATCTATGATCCAGACCTGGAAGACAATCTGCCCAAGAAACTAAGCGAACTCGGCGTTGAAAAGGACAGCTTCATTACCGTTGTGGACGAAGAAGACGACAACCCCCGGGTTAACCTGGAAATACTCGTCTCCGAACGGTTAGTAGACCAAAATAACACATTGTTGTACCAGCAGCTAACGTCTACCAGAACCGACGATAAATCTCCCATCTCCCTTGAGGCGTCTGACGCTGACATCCCGCGGAAACCGAAGCCCGCTGGGGAACAGGAGCCTTCTGTTACCGCCCAGGAGAATGGAATATCCGGCAAACTCAAGCGAACTGCAGACGAGGCAGGGCTTGAAGTTGTCGAAGGTCAGCCTGCAAAGAAGATAGCTAACGGGACAGAAGACTGCAACAACACCCCAACAAACCCTATTATTGTCGAGGACGACACAGGCACTATCCTTATAGACGCTGATTAATGGATTGATTGGACCGGACCCAGAACAAAATTTAGAGAAGGGAACACTAATTTCTTTAGGCGGTGGTTTTGTTCCTCTTTCTTTTTTGTCTTATTTTTTTTGCTTTCATTACTAAATATTTCACCTAACTGGATGTCTGCCCCTTCGTGCCGGCCGCATGCATTGGGTCGCGACTACATATTGGAACCGGATAGGCGCAACTAAGACACGGCGGATTTCTTACGGCTGGGACATGTTCAGAATTATCCCACGGTTTCAGACTTTGCATTTACACTGGGATATTTTTCCTATTCACCTCCCTTCCTCCCTTTTGTTCCACCATGTGATGTGCTTTATGCTCTATGATTCTTGAACTCGGAAGTCTATAACCTAGCTTTCGTACCTGTATTATGCTACATATTTTGGCCGGGAGAAGAAGTTGAGGCACACTAATCGCTCCCAACGCCTCCCGGCACATCATTTCTATCTGTTACATGTCAAACAATGGTTGCTATCAAAAACTCACGCAGCACTCAGGCCTCCGTCGATATTTAGCACACAGTTATTAGCATATTGGTTTGTGGCTACGAATACGGCAGCATCGGCGACCTCTTCAACCATCCCTAATCGCCGAAGAGGAATGGACTGCACTACCTCCTTACGGAACTTTTCACTTAGTTCTATCCCAGCGTTAGTAGGGCAGTATATTACCGGAAACTGAACAAGCCCAACTTACCATCGAGCATGCTTGTGTCAATGTACCCAGGGACTATAACGTTTGCACGGATACTCGCGCCAGAAGAAGACAAGTTCGACTCCGCGACAATGGCCCTGGTTAATGCAATCACCCCAGCCTTGGTAGACGCATATGCTGCCACGCCTACTCCTCCCCTAGACGCATGCAAAGACGATATGTTGATGATACATTTCGAGCCAGCGTAGGATGCTGCCGTCGAGTCATCATTGGACTGCTGCTTCTGTGCTCGCCGTTGACGAAGGGCCTGTCTGGTCATGCTTCGGCAAGCAAAGATAGTTCCTTGCAAGTTGGTATTCAGTATCTGAGTGATATGCTCGTCCTTTGCAGTGGGGAGAAGAGACGAGTGAGAGACTCCAGCGGCGTTGACAAGAATGTCAACTTTGCCCTATGACTATGTATTAGTATCCTCTATCTAGAAATGCCATTCATCAAACCAATGCTATTAGGAAAAACGAGGACACACCATAAGGCGCTTGACGTCTTCACACCAAAATTTTGGACAGCCAACGTCCCCCGTCACCAGGGAGAAGTGGCCCGAATGGAGGATTTTAGCTGCTTCAGGACCTTCGTCTAATGAGGTCTCAGGAACTAACTGTCTCGCAGCATCTTTGAGTCGCTGTGTATTTCGTCCAACGAGAATGATTCTCTCTGCTCCCTCAAGGAGAAAACGCCGTGCGATTCCAAGGCCAATGCCAGATGAACCCCCTGTAACCATGCATGTTGCTCCCTTCAGACGACCCAAGGAGGGTGTCGATGCAGTTGAATAGGAACAACAAGCAGTCCAGCTCCCGGGGGCTCCTCTGATTGAATAGGGGTAGGCCCGTCGCAGCGCCCGACAGCCGGCACGATTAAAAAACATATGCTCCAACGTCAATCTCGTAACTAGGTAGTTATAACGACCACACTCCTATCGTTGACGTGAAAACTCCTGGTATCTTGGTATCTTGATAGTGGATGTTGTACGCCTAGTTAACTAACTACCATGGAGGTATTGGAAGAGCTGGCCTGGGCATCGGAGCCTCGGCATCGCCAACTCCGCTCCCCAGGAGTCTAACCGCTACAACGCAAGACGATCCATGTCGTGCAACCAGGTTGTCAACGAACTAGCATGTCGCTAGAAAGAAATGGCCCTGTCTCTCCAGATAGGTGGCTAGTCAGTTAAACTGGCCAAGGCTGCTGCCTGGCGAGTTGCTGGAGGGCCGTTCTTTCGACCTTCCGCTGCTCCCTAGTGAAAACTGCCTAGATAAAAAGCACCTCGAGCGTGTTCAAGAGCGTGTATCTGCTCACACAATGGAGAAACAAATACAGGAGCTGCTGGCTAGGGCCGAAGCGGCAGAAAGGCAGCAGCAAGAGGAACGACGACTTCGTGAAGAAGAACAGCGACGCCGTGAAAAGGCAGAAAGGCTTCACCAAGAGGCAGAAAGGCTTCACCAAGAGGAACAGCGACGTCGTGAGGAGGCCGAAGCTCAGTTACAGCCTGTACCGCTACCGGCCTTCCTCCAGTCCTGTCACGAGCTGTTGCTTTCAATCAACATCGTCACTGACCCGACCAAAACAACCAAAGGGCCAGTGACAAAGCCAGCCAACCGAAGGGTGCCTTCGCGGATGTTGATATGGGATACCTTTGCCGAGGAGCAGGCCACAGTGTGGGAAAAACTATATGAACATCCGTCATTCCTGGAGGAGAAGCTATTTCCTTCCGAACACCAGCTTGAATATGTTCGCCAGTTCATTTCCCCAATCACTTCGGAGATGGACCTTCGGTACTTTGAACGAGAAACAGTGGAGAATCATGTTCGTATCATAATCGACCGCATCACCGAACATGAGGATCTCAAGACAGCCCTCGGACTGCGAGGCTCCGTCACTTTCGAAAGCCACACGAATTTGGGGGCTACAAAGAAGAAACCCATACAGAGGGAAGAAGCCCGAAGTACGCTAATTGATGCAGCAGCTGCAGCAGAAACTGGACCCCCAGCGGCTGCTAGTCAGGGTAGCAACAGCCAGACCCGAGAGGCCATTACAAGGGGACAAGCAGACAGATTCTGCATCTATCGACAAGAGGGGGATGAGCATGTGCCTGCAATCGCCATTGAGTACAAAGCACCACATAAACTCATGCAAACTGAGATAGCTACCGGTCTCACCCAGGAGATCCAGCCCGCCCGGGATGTCATCGACAAGGAGTCTGATGACACTGAATTCTACTGCAAAAGGCTGGTCGCTGCAGTTATAACTCAGCTCTTTTCGTACATGGTACTCAAGGGGGTACGCTACGGTTACGTGTGCACCGGTGAAGCATTCATTTTTGTTTATATTCTCGACGATCCATCCTCCGTTCAATGTTCAGTTTGCACGCCAAGTCAAGATGTCAAAGGAACTGATGATAAGGACCTTCAGTCAACGGCAGTTGCCCAGGTGCTTGCATTCACAATCAAAGCACTTTCATCTCCGCCAGTTTCCCAGCAGTGGCATGATGCCGTTGATGGGCTCGATGTTTGGCCCGTGGAGTATGCCGATATTCTAGAACAGACTCCTCCTGATTCCCGCCCAAAGCGTATATCACCCCCGTACCGTGGTAGGCGACCACGCGACCTTCCTCGCTTTAGGATGTCGCTACGGTCAAGATGCCGGCCATCAGAAGATGGAGACCGGTCGTCAAGCTCACCCTCTCCATCTCCGTCTGCCTCTTCTTCCCGCTTAAGCTCCACTGTCCGCCGTGCACGAGCCAAAAAGAAAGCGGCCCTTCGGTCTAAGTCAAGCGGGAAATCAACTGAAACGCCCAACCAAAAGGAAACTACCAACGCAAGTAAATTCCCCATTTTTGCCCCAGAACCAGCTATAAAGACCCGCCCATATTGCACTCAGCAATGTCTTCTTGCACTCAGGAATGGTGGCCGTCCTGATACCTCGTGCCCCAACTATGGAGATCACCAGAACTATAAAGGCAAGATCAGACCAGGAAACTTTCGTTCCCTTATCCGTACACAACTTGCTACGGATCGTGGCCCAGATGCAGACTGCCGTCCGCTCTATAAAGTAGGTAGCTGTGGCGCCCTGTTCAAAGTGAGGCACTCATCGTCCGGACACACCTTAGTTGCCAAAGGGGTGGAATCCTGGAATTTGCATAAGCTTAAACATGAAATGCAAATTTACAACAAGCTCAAAAGCCTGCAAGGAAAGTGTATTCCGGTCTGCCTTGGTATCGTCGATCTGGTGCCAAAGTTTCCCTACTACTTCGATGAAGGGATTTATACCCACATGTTATTTTTGAGCTGGGCGGGAGAGTCGATTTCCAAAACAGGAGTAGTGCCCCAAGATGCCGATGTTTCAACCATGGTGCATAATGCCCTCCAGTCAATTCACTCAAAGGGCGTCCTCCATGGCGATGCAGAGCCACGGAATATTCTATGGAATCCTACCTCGCAACACGTAATGATCGTTGATTTCGAGCGATCCATTATACAGAACGCTCTGTCCGACGTGTCTGCGAACTCAGGAAGCAAAAAAAGGAAGCTGGCGGATACTTGCTTTACCAAGGAGCTTCAACGAATTGACGCAGTATTTGAAAACAAAGCTCCAAATTCCCGTGTAGGGCCTCTCTGATTTTGCGTCAGACGGGAGTTACTATAGTAAAAGGGATCCATATGCATCTATATATTCACCCAAGCATCTAGATATGAGCCAAAGAGCGACTCCACTCGGTACTAACCAGGGGTCAACAGGACGAAGCTCTATCTAGTATTTGTAGCAGAGGATAGATTATTTTTAGACTTATGGTTTTGCCTTAGTTACTTGTCATGTTACTTATTTATACCCAGATAGTGCCCTCTTTTTCCTTACTTACCTATAAGACCTATATATAATGTTTTATGTCTGTCTTCCGCTATTGCTCTTTGGAGTTCGTTCCTTAATTATCATTGGTCGCTTTATAGCGAGTGGCTTGCCCCACCCGACGTAACTGTGTCACGTGCTGGAGCCTAGCTTTAAGGTTGTGTTCGATGGCGGAAGGCTTCTGCGACCTTTCGTTCTTGATAAACATATGAATGATCAGCCAATAGCTAAACCAAGGACCACAGCTTAACTCTTAAGGAAAATGACTACTAATCAGGAATCAGCTGCTGAATTTGTTACTCTGGCTTCTAATGATGGGTTCGAGTTTGTGATCCCGAGGAGTGCTGCCTGTGTATCAGGCACCCTTCGCAGAATGCTGGAACCTTCAAGTCAGTGCAGCCCCATTGTATCCCACTATAGAGTTTACCCATACCCCCGATGTTACTGGTATATTCATTTTCTCTGGCCTAGCTCTGACTTGTTCATATCTCAGGCAACTTCTCAGAAGCAGTCACAGGGCGGTGCGTGCTTGAGACACTGAAGTAGGTCAAACATATACCAACTATCGGGCCCAGGACTCTATGCGTGCTGAAGACTATACCTAACATATTCAAATTTTGGTGTTTAGCGGCGTAGTACTCGAAAAGGTTTGCGAATACCTTCTCTACAATGAACGAAATAAAGGACAGACAAATGTCCCTGACATGGACATTCCCCCCGAACTCTGCCTAGAATTGCTCATGGCTGCAGATTACCTGGATAGTCAGTTATCCCACCCTATTTTCTTGCTATATTCTCTGAATCTTTCGAATTCAATCATTCTAACCCATGATATAGCATGATATTGATAGGTATTCAATACTTAATGCGTGTTAGCGCTCTGGGTCCTTTTTTTATTTCACTTCTTCCTTGTCTTGCAGAAGACTGAAATCCATTCGGCATTACATTCTGTGGTCTGCCACATCGTTCAACGGAATGTCTAAGAAGAATGGGTATATTAAACGCCCCTTGAGATCAGTTTGGTCATATATTTCCTCTCTTTGGTTTGGATCTATATCAATGATGATGGCTGGAAGGGAACAAAAGTTAGAATCTCCTGTACATCTCATGAAGGTCGTATCTCATGGGCTTATAATATACAGAGCATCAAAGGGGTATCATAAACATTTAACGTAGCTTGTTACACTATCAGAGAAATAGACAAGCCTTAGCCTCCACTATCGCTTTTTATTAGAGGGACGCCGACCACCTTTATTTCCAGGCCCAAGGTTCCTTTTCTGCGAATATAAAGGCTCCTTCATAAACCCAGCGTCGCTGATACGCAAATAACTAACGACTCCCTGATCTACCACCGCTAATATCACGTTTCGATACCCGTGTCGAAGACGCATATAGAGTAATCGATCCATCTTCTCGCCACGAGGAGGGTCTTGTGGAGTACTAGCCAGAAGAGCGCTTAGATTCTCAAGCGTGGGGATAACGGGGTTCGACCGGGCATCGACAACAGCAAGTCTAAAGTCTGGTGGGCCTGGGTTAGATTTCTTATATGGCGTAGAGGGTTTATAAACATGGAATGCTATTTTGTAAGGAGAGGACGGAGGATTTTTGTTGATTTCATCGTCAGGGTGAGAAGGGTCATATGCAGGTATAATGGATAGAGAGCGATAAATATCATCTGAAAGAAAAGTTAGTGCTTGTTCAGGTGGCAGAATTTGTTAATGGAACGAACTATAGCTTCGATGTATCCCTAAACCTATGACAGGTCCGTGGGCGGTGTTTCCTTTCGTTCTCATGGAAAATATAGACCTGAACAGTTCTGCAAAAATACTCATAACCCCAGGAGCAGGTGTTGGCGCTGGCTTCCTAGATTCTGTTTGCGTC